CTTGTACAACGACATCCTACCTGTAGTCGACAGTGCGGCTGCGCATAGACATACGTACCTTTGCTTTAGCTGCGGGTGGATTCCCGATGAGTTGGGAGCTGATTTGGGGTTGAGCTGTGCGTGAATCGAGAGGCCTGGGTAGTTGTCGTCGTTTGTTTTTGGATCGTTACGAGGAGTACGTCGAGGGGAGGGGACTGCAGTGGGCATCTGTTCAAGGATGACAGTCTCATTGGGGCATGTCACGTATGGTGACCATTTACCAAATGGACTCGGGATGTCGGAACCCGGTGATCTCGTGTCTTATCTCGCAGGGCATGATATGTCCTTTGCTGTTGGGATTGGCATTGGGATTGAGATTGGGGTTGAGATTGGGATTGGGGTTGAGATTGAGATGTGCGCCGGGACTCGTGTATAGTGTATAGTGTATAGTGACAGTATATAGTGACAGTATATAGTGACAGTGTATACTGTACACTGTATAGTCAAGATAGTCTTACTATACATGCTGCTTTGCTGGAGGATCTGTAGCCGTACCTGGCGAGCTAGCGGAGCCAAGAGCGCAGTCGACTTTAACTCATGTTCTGGTGTGATTTGTCCGGGTCGTAGTATTGATGGGTGCTTTCCATTCCACTTCTCAGGTTGTGATGCCAGGTTTGATTGGTACATTCGGTGCAATCACTGGGCACTGGGCATCGGGCATCGGGCATCGGCAGAGGCCAGAGTAAAGGGGGCTGCGATCAGTAAGGGGTAGACTTGAATGATAAGAGACGGATTTGCAGGGGAAAAAAACGCAAGTATGCTCAGTCAGTTACAGTGGCAAGGATATGATGAAGAACGATCATGAGTGAACTGTCAATGATTGATAACCTTTCACACATGAGATGAGTATCTTGCCTGACTTGACGGGATGATCACAATTGAGTGACGCGTACTGTAGCGTAGTAGCGCACTAATGGATGAGAGTAAGCTACTGATCTTTGTGCTCCATATGAGACCATGTGACCAGTTGACACTGACCCCCTGCACTACCCGACAAAGCAAAAAGCCACCCGACGTATAATTCTACATCTGGCACATCGGTATCGAATCTGACCTCCGAACCAGCAGGAGATCCCAAAGAAACTCCCCCCCCCCCCCCCCCAAAAGTCTAGCCCAGCCCAGATTATACTCCCTTAATACCTTTTTTCCCCTTTTCGCCAGGTACACCACCTGAGTGGACTTCCCCGGACAAATAACAAGCTCGGGAAAGCCCTCGCGACATTCTCGCCGAACCCGGACCCGATCTCGAGTCTCGACTTGTCCAGGCCTCTACGGGGGGAGAAATGGCGTTTGATTCATTCAAGAGGAGTCAAACAAGGCAAAGCAAAGCTTGCACGGTGGTTCTCCCCTGACATGGCGGATCTAGGTCAAATCGCAGTATGGGTAGTTGGTGTATAGGTCTAGACTGGGGTCGGTGCCTAAAAGGGCGCTGTTGGGGGAGGAAGTGGTGCCGGGACTGGGGTGCTGACAATCACCGGTGACGACCTTGCTGCTGTAGGTGGCCCAGGAGCAGGTGGCTAGCCGTGGAGGTTGGCGTTATGATCTAGATTTCCGAGGTGCTGAAAATAGATGATACATGTGGAAAAGTTCTTTGTGATGGAGACACACACATCCGCCTGCTTATTGAACTTTATTGGATTCGTATTGGAAAGAATTGTAGTGCTGTTAAGAAGGATATCTTAAGGGCAGCGTGAATGCTCCTGGTCCGTCACAAAGTAAAGCCTGAGGCCGGCATCACCAGGCAGTGGAGTGCTCCTACATTAGGTAATCACAGAGTGGACAGCACGAGACTTGGTTACAACTTGCCAGTAGTCGGGCGGAAATGACCCTCATGACGAGATTGTGCTACTGTTCAATACTCAGACCTACAAGTGTACGATATGATGAAATTTGCATGGACTGTGAAGCAAGAAGCTAGTCATGCCTCCTTATTCCGTGCTCATCATCAGTCTCGCATCACCCATCGCCAGACAGACAGACTCAGAAAACCCATGAATCTCACATTCATCAAGCAATGACCACCTGCACCCGACACGGGAGCACTAACAGCAATTGTGGAACGGGGCGACCGGTTCCACGGGCCCAGCTGTGGCCCAAGCTTCCCAATCATGTTTCCCACAAGTCAGCTGGACAAGGTGGTGACCCACTGGAGACTCGATGACATCGTGGTCACGAGGCCTACAGAGCCAATCGTTGAGGTTCCTGTGGTCCAAGCAATAAAGGGAAATGAGAAAAGATTCCTCATGGGAGGGAAAAATTACAGGAGGTCAGCCGACCACGGATCAAGTGTATATCCGAAGCGTCGTTCGATCATGTCTCGCCATGGGTTTCGGTCTTGGGAGGAGGTCATGAGGTTGGACTTGTGCAGGGCTGGTGGTCAGCGAGGCTGGTACTCGGCTGTGTAGCTGCGTAGCTGAGGATGAGGAGGAGTGATGAGGCTGGTCGAGGCAGGTACGACCTGCTACGTGTGCGGGTCCTTCTTGTTTGCTGTTTGTTTAGCTCTTGATTCGTTGATGACTGTTTGCTCTTGTTGTGTGCAGGACTAGCCAGGGTGAAAGTGGGGGATGATTGAAGTGAGTGTTCAATTCCGAGTGATTGCTATGCATGCCCTTTCGTGTTTGGAGTGTTGATTGTCAAGGTAGAGGGAAGAATCATCAGACCCTGTGGCTTGTGTACTCTTTGATGCTGAAGTTCACATGGTGGTAACATGGGTAGCGACCGAGCGATACACAGATACAGCATGCTGTATGTACGGTACTGTATATATCATCCACATATGTAATCATTAATCACTCATTACTCATTACTTATGTATTACTCGGTAGTTTACTAACGCGGGCCAAATTCAATGATATCATGGCCCAAGCCATCCGCTTCCTTTTAAACAAGTGATGACAACAAGCGCTTTCAGCCTCCAGCTTTGACAGGGTCCTGCGTCCATTATCCTAGACTATTGAGTATTGACTGTATAGAATCTGACCCTCACTGCCCTAGAATGTTCACAGTGATTTAGGAGCCCTCAGAAAGTGGGGACATACGGCTGAGTACATGATAGCCAGATGATGATCAACTTGCTGATCTTTGAAAGGCGACGTCCTGATCAGTGACTAGCACAAGGCTTTGAACCCAGGACGGCCTCTGGTCTCTCGGTGTTCACGGGCAAATAATATGTGATGTCTGCAAGTCGTTGGAAGAGCCCCGTTTCAATATCATGTAAGCCAATGACAACCTACCCAAGCTTTCCGGCAAAAGAAATCACGATCGGGCATGTCTGCACCTTTGTCTGCTCTGGGTATGATCATCTCTATATAAGCGTTTGAAGGGCACCGTTACGGTGATTGTAGCATAGTAGGATGGTACTATAATGCATAAGTGCATATACCTACGAGCTAATCAGTCTAGAAGGTATTGCTGCTAGTACCCACCGTAAAGGAACAGGGTTCTAGAATACTAGGTACTATTCAAGTTAACTCAACCTTGTACCTTTGTTTGAGCTGATGAGTCTTCACTCTTTAGTCTTCTGGTAACTATCACTTACACTCTCACTACCACTTGAGCACTGGCGGTGGGCACCGCCACAATACCACATGGCTGGGCCATTATGTGCCTCGAGTCTGGTCAGTGGTGTCACTCCCGAGTACTTGATGCACATCACACCACCTATTAGTAAACTGATGAGTCTCACCTGCTGAAGCGGTGCTTAGGATTGAGAATCGGGCTATAAAGATGGAAGCGACGGGTAAGCAGTCACAAGTCACACTCTTCTTCACCCACTCCGAGTCCACTATTGCTCCTCAATTCAGTTTTTGGGAGTTCAGTGTCAAGTCATCATTGAGCCAATTTTACAGATATCAAGTATCAAGTTAGTAAAGTGTACTTGTGTAGTGAGTGGTACTTTGTTTAGTCCGCAAATCACATGACCATGTAATACTGGGAGATGTTGAGTGAAGTGTGACCAGTTGCTATCAGTGTAAGGTTTCCATGAGGTGAAGTACCGCGTCCCAGTCCCACAAAGTAATACCAATACACTGTCTCACCAGTACCACTAGCCCCACCAAGAGTCCGGTGATGAGGCCCACCAAGGCGGTCTTCCAAGTACCAATCTTACCATCTCCCACTAGGCCGAATGAGGCCATGTTGACTCTGACCCGCCGCCAGGTGACCTTTGATGGTGATCTCTTGGGCCTGTTAGCGGCAGTTTCCACCACCGCCGTGATCAGAGTCACCCATCCTCCGGGCCATCAGCACCCAGCAGTCAGCGCAAGCTCCAGCACCAGCATCGGCATCATAGTACCATCGGCATTGGCACGGCACTAAGAGAACTCAGCTCTCAACACTCAGCAGTCGCAGACTCACAGAATCGCGCATACGACCATTCTTGACTCCCACGTCAACCCGTCCCTCGCGAGTCACCAGTTGTATCCGCCTGCCTCCTCCACGTCATGGTCATTGGTTTAAAATTACCCTTTTCGACGACTCGTTCCTAGAGAGTCTCTACACTCTGACCTTAGCCTACACATAATCTGCCTTCCTACGCTCGTCGTTGACTTCTCGTACCCTTACTGTGCCCACTCCAAACTCTTTTTACGAGCTAAAAGCCTCTCTCCTCGTGGTTTCGCTTTTCCTCCTTTTACCCTCACCCCATCTCGAACTCTTGTTGCTCTCTTGTTACTCTCTCTCTTACTACCTCCTCCCGCGATCCCTCTCGTGCATTCTTGGCGTTCGCCGTTTCTTCTCACCACGCCCCATTTGGTCTTGCCGCCCACACCACCACACGCCTTTCTCTTTCCCCCCCCCTCTCTCTCTCTCCCCCCCCCCCCTCCCCCTCCGAAGCTACTCCACCAGCCCGACCTACACCTCGCCCAAAACGGATCCTCTTTCCTCTCTGCAATAGCCCATCCCTCCGTCTCTCTCGCTCTTCTCCTCCTCCCCCCCCTCAAACCCTCCTTTCCTCTCAAACAATGTCACAGAATCGGCCTGGGCTATTCCCAACTTTACGCATGGGTGGTAAGTGCATCTTGACCTCTCCAGGTCGCCGTTCAATTGCGACTCGCAGATCTGGAATCCCCATCGCTCATGTCCACGTTCTCCACGCCTAGAGGTTATCCGCGAAAAGGTCCAAGATGGCCTGACTGGCGAGCACAAGGAGATCTCCTACACCCAGTGTAAGATCGTCGGGAATGGATCGTTTGGAGTCGTCTTTCAGACCAAGATGGCCCCCAGCGGCGAGGACGCTGCCATCAAGAGGGTCTTGCAGGACAAGCGGTTCAAGGTAAGGATACTCGTTCCGGGAAACCGGGCCTTGGAAGGGAATGCGGCGTCTGTGCCATCTGGTCTGGCCTTGGATACTGACCCGTTATATCCAGAACCGTGAGCTTCAGATCATGCGGATTGTGCGCCATCCCAACATCGTGGAGCTTAAGGCCTTCTACTACTCCAATGGCGATAGGGTACGTATGCTGCGCTCTTGTCTCCTCTCTTTTCCCGCCCAACCCATCCTGTCCATGGACGGGCGCTGTTCTTCCACCCCCTCCTCCTCCTCTCTTGATTCCTCACCCCCTCGACCTGCTGTCTGTGTCACGATCGGCCATCCACTCTCTCACCTATTCTGTGATCGACTCCTGCTCTTTCCTTGCCCTATAGCTTTGGATCCGAATCATCCTACCGCTGGTTTCCATGATGGCCCTGTCCCGCTGACTGACTCGTTGCGGTATCGTGTGATTCACAGAAAGATGAAGTCTACCTCAATCTGGTCCTCGAATACGTCCCCGAGACCGTGTATCGCGCGTCGCGATACTTCAGCAAGTTGAAGACGACCATGCCGATGCTGGAGGTCAAGCTGTACATCTACCAGTTGTTCCGGTCGCTGGCCTACATTCACTCACAGGGCATCTGTCATCGCGACATCAAGCCTCAAAACTTGCTGCTCGATCCCGCGACCGGCATCCTCAAGCTGTGTGATTTCGGATCCGCCAAGATCTTGATCGAGAACGAGCCCAATGTCTCCTACATCTGTTCCCGCTACTACCGCGCGCCCGAACTGATCTTTGGCGCCACTAACTACACCACAAAGATCGGTGCGTATTGCCATTGCACATTGCCATCATGTGAACTCTATTGAAAACTAATTTCCATCGTCTAGACGTGTGGTCAACCGGTTGCGTGATGGCCGAACTCATGTTGGGCCAACCCCTCTTTCCCGGTGAGTCGGGTATCGACCAACTGGTGGAGATCATCAAGGTGCTCGGCACCCCGACTCGGGAACAAATTCGCACCATGAACCCCAATTACATGGAGCACAAGTTCCCTCAAATCAAGCCTCACCCATTCAACAAGGTACGTTCCGACGATCGATGTCGATGACCCCCGTCTCTCTCTCTCTCTCTCTCTCTCTCTCTCTCTCTCTCTCTCTCTCTCGCGAAGCTTGCAACCCAGAGGCTTATCATCTCCTCTAGGTCTTCCGGAAAGCACCCCCCGAGGCTATCGACCTGATCTCCGCCCTCCTGGAATACACCCCTACGCAACGATTGTCCGCCATTGAAGCCATGTGCCACCCCTTCTTTGACGAGCTCCGTGATCCTGCGACCCGCTTGCCCGACTCCCGACACCCCAGCAACCCGTCCAAAGAATTGCCCGCTCTTTTCAACTTCACCCGACATGGTAAGTCTTGACTGGTCTTCCTTACCTTCCCTCAACCCCAACTGACTCACCATTACAGAACTTTCCATCGCACCCGAATTGAATGCCCAGATTGTTCCTCCCCACGCCCGTCCCGCTCTGGAAGCGCAAGGTCTTGATATCAACAATCTCAAGCCGCTCTCCAAAGAGGAGATGATGGCTCATCTCGACTGAGCTGGCCGATACCACCTCCGCGAAAGCACGCCTGTCAAAGTATTCCATCTCAGTGCGCCAAGATCCGAACCAAAAGCTCCCTCACATCTAGACAATCCTACGATCTCTCGGGTACACTCGGAGTCCAACGACCAACGGAGGGGTTTCCACCTGTCGATGCTGAATCTATCTCCTCTTCTTGAAATTATGCGGCGGCAATCATTATAGGCAGCTGTGAACCTGTTATGGACTGGAATGCTCGAATCGAAGGAAGGATCGGGCAAAGAATGCGATGGGGACCCGCCTAAAGCCGGGGAGTGAAGAGAGAGGTTTGACTGGAGTGCAATTTCTTTGCCCCTGCTTCAAGGACTCGGGTGGGTCTCTGTGGAGGTTGAGAAGGCCAGTGATCGTCTTTTTTTTTGTGACCCGAGGGGGAAACCAGAGAGAGAGAGCGGAACGAGTTGAACTCATATGACGAGAAGTGAATGTCTTGGAGGGGGTTAGAGGAGCTTGATGATTGTCACGGTGGTGGGATTCATGGCCCTGGAGTTTTGATTTCTTTTATCCTCTCCCCCACAACATCCCCCCCCCCCCCCCCCCCCCCCTTTGTCGAGTCTGCATTTCCTTTTCTTTTCCTTTTTATTTTTGAGTTTATTTTTTCGAGGTGTCTGTGACATGCTCTTGGGAGGAAAAAGTGATACCCTTTTTCTATGCTCGTTTGGTCTCTTGGGACTGGACGCTGTGTAGCTACACCGGTTGAGGGGGAAAAGGATACCCTTTGGGAAAACGCGCTGGATTGTGTCGTGCGAGAGAAGAGGGACGTGGTCCGGTTCATGATGATCATTGAAACTATGTTGAGCACCGGAGGTGGGCATCGATTCAGGTTGCTTGCCGAGGAGCTCGACTCGTGAGTGATGGTTGTGAAGGACTTGTTGGTTTCTCTTCTGAATTGTTCGCAGAGCAGACCTGGCCCTTTTCATTGGGGACCTTTTGTTTAATTTGGAATTGTTATGACACTCATTTTCATCAAAAGAAAAAAAGAACCCTCAATTTCCCTCCTATCATGAGCTGTTTCCTGTTCCTTGAATGACCAACAAGGTGATGTGTTTTATGTCCTGGGCCGCCCTCAGCTTTCTTCTCCTCTCTGGTATCACCCATGTCCTCAGTGCGTAGGAAAGCGTATGACTCTACTCAGTCTCCCCCTTCTTCACGAACCGGTCTCCGTCGTGATGCCATTTCCCTTCTACTTGACACTATCCTACGCATTAACTTACTTCACAACAACCCTGTCACCTCGTATTCCAATTCTCAAAATTGATGAATCAGCATGCCCAGTCTACTACCTAGTACCACTACCAACTAGTACCTAAACCTGCAACAATTCTACCTATTTAGTACCTAGTCCATGAATCCACCGTCGCCCGTCCGTCTCATTATCACCCGTGTCATTACTCATTACCCATTACACATATCATAGTCCTCTCTATTCCATAGTCCATTCAATATCACAACCTGCAATAGACGCCCATGACTCGATAGTCTATACATGTATTGTACTGGTGCTTGTCACACTCCCGACTCACGACTCACGACTCGCGACTTACGACTCACCTGGGCTGCGTCATGATTCAGTGAAGGAAAGAGAAGTATCGGGGTTCAGGTCTCGACCAGCTGAAGCTTGGATGGTGGATAGGGTCCCGGTTACTGGGTAGTACATGAGCTGGAGGGAACAGGTAGGGTGATCGGTTGGGTAAGGTCGTTGAATGGAATGGGATTGGGAGATTTTGAAAGATAGGGCTTCCGTGGATGTGCTGCGGCTTAGGTTACTGTGTAGGTGTTTTCGGATTGATGGTTTATGTTTCGGTTTGTTTTGGGGATGTTGGGGGATGTTGCTTGGTGTTTAGATATAATTAAGATGTTTTTTTTTGCTGGCGATTATGCTACTGATATGATGTAATGGTGGTGAAATGGCTGTCTAGTAAGGATCTAACATGAATTATCCCGCATGTTCATGTTTTTCGCATCCTACGTTGAGATGGATTTGAATGTGAATGTAAATGTGAATGTGGGTGTGACCAAGACAAGCCAGAACGATCAATGTTGTCTTCTATACGGTATAGTTGGTGATTGTTTGCAGGGCTATGTGGGGAATCGTTGAGGATAGGTTCGTGATGGAGGTGAGGTCGCGGGAGGGATTCGGGTGGACGGTGGTGGATGTGGTTGAACAATGATGGGGTGGGCTGGGTAAGATTGGGAGGGTTTGTGTCTTTCCCGGCTGAGATCATGCGTTGAGAGTGATGGGGCTGTTGAAAGTGATTGGTTTGTTGAAGGGGATGGCGAGCTGGAGAGCTAGGGTATGTGGGAAGAACCAGGGTGGGAAATGATGATGGTTTCGAGGTGGTTGAATAGATTTTGGATGAGAATGCAGAATTGACGGGGAGGAAGTGAATGTCTCGCGACGAATGGATCAATTGAGACCGAGGAGGGTGTATGCGGCTTTTGTTGAAAAGGACATAAGAAGAGTGATGGATGAAAATGACGTTGAAGACGACATCGGCACGGTGTAATCGGGAGTGGAAGCACCGCCCTAATCACTTCGCTTCTCCAGTCCATATCCACCAATCTCATTCATGGCGCCGTACGTCTTTGCCTGACTCGAAGAGCCATCGTTTCGTGGTCCGCGCGCTTTGAGATCCTCCTTCAACCACTTCAGCACCAGTTCACCCAACCGACTATTCTCCGACGTCCAATCCGGGACCTGATTGTAGAACGTCTCTACTGAGCCCCACGCCTTCACTTTGCCCAGATGCATGTGCACCAGATGCGTAGGCCACTGCGCCAGATTATCCAGGATATGAGTGGCATACACAATCGTGCAGGGCCGAGACTCCGTTTCCCGCTTCAAAAACGCCAGGAAGTTGCTCCGCGAAAGCAGGTCCAGGTCAACCGTGATTTCATCCAGCAGGAGCACAGTCCATGGTCGGAGCAGACCCATGGCAAGTTGCACACGACGTCGCTCGCCATCGGAGACGGCGTGCATGCGCCAGGAGAGGTCAATGTCGAGAATCTCGATGAGTTCGTCGCGGCGCTCGGGCCAGTGGTTGCCACCGACGGAGGCGAGGAGGGTCGGCACGTCAATATCGGTGCGGACGATGCTGTTGAGCACCCATTCGACGCCGAGGTAGGTGACGCCTTCGAGGCTGTCTTTGAAAGGGTCGAGGCCGCCGACGGTGATGGTGTTCGTGGGGGCGAGTTTCTTGCCGGAGAGGAGACGGAGGAGGGTGGTTTTACCCGCGCCGTTGGCTGGAATGGAAAGATAGTTGTCAGAATGTGCTAGGTCATTCTTTTCGTTTCCCTTCTACTCTCTGTTGGAAGAGGACGACGACGGAAGCATGTTCTGGAACGTACCGCCGATCAGAAGCGTTCGACTACCCGCAGGTAGGTCAAGAGTGACATTCTCAAGACCGTCAGAACCATCTTGGAATTTATATGAGAGGCCTTGGACCGCAATAGACGGGGTAGGGGTCGTCATGGTGCGAGTTTCACGGAAGGTGACGGTGGATGCGAGGGGGAGATGGTGGGGATGCGGGCGAGATGGATACAAATAGAGAAGCTGAATAGAGATCGAAGAGGTGAGAAAGATTGAAGAGAGAAATAAAAGCAAAAGACGTATGCAATAACAACCCGGATGTTTCTAACCCTAGAAAACTCAAGGTTGTATTTATGTAAAGTTGTCGATCGATCGAACGTATCTGATCGAGCTGATCGAGCTTCCGGAGAAAGTTCCCGCAGCCGACTGCTGCAGATGAGGTAATGGCACTGATAAGGAGTGGCCGATAAGGAAAATAATCCACTATGTTCAATGTTGTAACTTGTAACTAACTCATCACCTTTTGCTTGAAGACTTAGCGTACCACGCCATCCTCACCTCCGTCATTCCTGCGTATTGGGTGCTGTAGGCTCGGTCGATCAGCTCCACCCTCCTGCAGAGGCACGATGTGGAGATCGGCATGCTTACGGCCCTTCGATCTCTCAATCCCTTTCGTCCAGCTATCATGGATCCCCTCATAACTGTGGTAGGCGCGACAGGCACCGGCAAGTCCAAGGTATGAACGGACCCCGCACCCCTCTCCAGACGAAAATCTGTAGAGCATGTCTTCAGGCGACAATGGAATACGGCGCACATGATCCAACTTTCTCCACTGATCAACTAATCGATACAGACAGCTCGCTGTGGACTTGGCCGCCCGATTTAACGGTGAAATCATCAATGGCGACGCCATGCAAATGTATCGCGGTTTGCCCATCATCACCAATCAGATTCCCCTCAATGAACGAAAAGATATCCCCCACCATCTTCTCAGCTGCGTAGACCTCGACACCGAGGCGTGGCGGATCGGACACTTCAAAAGAGAGGCGCTACGACTGATCGCTGACATCCGAAGCCGTGGCAAACTCCCGATCCTGGTCGGGGGAACTCATTACTATACGCAAGCTGTGTTATTCAAGGATCAACTAGTCGGTGAAGGATGCGATTCAGAATCTGAGACCACAGCAAAGACAGCAAACGAAACGCAAAGGCTGGACTCGACCTCCACATCAGAAAAATGGCCCATACTCGACTCTTCTCCCGAAGTGCTCATGCAGAAATTGAGAGAAGTGGACCCGGTCATGGCTGCGCGGTGGCATCCAAAGGACGGCCGTAAGATTCGCCGCTCTTTGGAGATATATTTCCAAACCGGGCGACCGGCCTCGGAAATCTATGCGGAACAGCAAGAACAGAAGCAGAAAGCTGCTACTCAAACGGAAGGAGGACTGCTGCGATTTGACAACACGTTGATCTTCTGGGTCCATGCCGAGAAGGAAATTCTCAATCAACGACTGGATGCACGAGTCGATGGTATGATCGAACAAGGCATGATGGCCGAGGCGGAGACAATGTACGACTTTATACAACAGAAGAAAGCCGAGGGCGTGGAAGTGGATCAAACTCGTGGCGTGTGGGTTTCTATTGGGTTTAAAGAGTTGGCACCATACTTTGCGGCACGTCACGAGGGAGTTCTCAACGAGGATGAGTTGGGCACGTTACGCAGTCAGTGCATCGAAGCGATTCGCACGGCGACGCGGCAGTACGGAGGCTCTCAGATCAAATGGATCCGCAACAAGCTGTGGCGAGCACTCGCCGATGCTGATATGACCCAGCGACTCTACCTGTTAGACAGCAGTGACGTTGCACAATGGACTAGCCGCATCACAGAACCGTCAGAGGACATTGTCCGCGCGGTGAAGCAAGGTGCCTCGACGCCTGATCCCAAATCTCTGTCCGCCCTCGCTCGAACCATCCTCGGCGCTCGAGAAGAACAGGGCGTATCGTCTACGTCGCCCCTGAAGGCTTTCACCTGTGATGTCTGTGCAAAGACGGTCGTAGGAGACGCCCAGTGGGAAATTCACTTGAATTCGTATGGGCATAAACGGGGTCTCAAGTCCGCCGCTCGAAAGGCCGAGCGCGACGAGTACTTTCGCAAACGCGCCATGGAAGAACAGGGAGAGGGTTCGGAGAAAGATGCAGATGCGAAGGGGACAAACAAGAGGACTTTCGACCGAACAGAGAATGAGTAGAGCTGGCTCATCCATGTCTGTTGGACAAAACTATCCACTGTACAGAGGAAGTGCTCCTTCCATGTCCAATTCAATGTTGACTTTATGATCATCTTTGTTCCCTGTACAAATGCTACATACTCTGCGCAGGTGGATGCTCCGACGAGTCATCCGTGGTCCTCCCCAAACTTTCTCTCCAGGACTTGAACGACGACGAAAGAATATCCCCATGGCCCGTCTCCTCAATCTTGAACACCTCAATCACATGAGACTTTTCCAATTTGCGTATCCTCCAAACTCCCTCCCCCTGAACAACCTGCTTCAACCCTAAAACCCAGACCACCCAAGCATTAGCCAAACCATCCGCCACCTTTCAAAATAAGATCCAAAAAAAAAAAACAAGAAAAAAAAAACGAAGCAGCAGGATATCAAACTTACAGTCCAAAAACCCCGCCGCAAAATTAATACAGATATTCCCATCCCAACTCCCCCTCCCCACGCTCTTCACTTTCCCCGGAATACTCGCCGTATCCAGCTCCTCCAGACGCCGTACAATACCCTGTTGATCACGGAATCCCACAATGATCTTGGGCACGCCCAGGAGGAACGATTGGGCCCAGAATTTGAGCAGCTTGCGCTCGTATTTGACCATGTCTCTGTCGTTGCGGATCTCGGCGGACGTTTTGAGTTCGACCCAGTGGATGGGGTGTTCTTTGAGGACGGGTTTGCAGTCCCATACTGTTTTTGAGATGAGGATGTTAGACGGTGTTTGCATTTGTATTTGGGTATTATCTTTTATTCTCCTTCTTTCGATACGGGAACTGTCGAGAGAGATCCAGGTGATGAAGAAATGAAGATGAAGACACGAAACGTACCGGCATCCACTTCACCACCGAGTACCATGCGCACGTGTCCCATTCCGGTCTTGACGACGGAACAGTATTGGGCGCTGTTGTTGACGACTTCGTCTTGTCGGCCTTCTATCTCTGCTCGGGACGTTTCGTCCCATGGTTTTCGCAGGACGGAGAGGGCTTCGAATTTGTATCCTGTTGGATAGTGTCATTGGTATGTCAATGAGGTGATTTTTGACAGGAGAGGTTTCAATGCATAACAGATTTGAGAAACATCGAACGCGATGAGTTAGGAGGGAAAGGCCAAAGGGACGGCGCACAGAGGGTTAGACCTACCCCAGTACATCATGAGTTCCTGAGATGCCATGCCTGGAGGCATCCTCTGATTCTTTTGGATGTGTTTCTGTTGGTTCTTGTAGGCGTTGTGTTCTTCGATGAATCTGGTAGATAGCATCGCGTGGCTTGTCAATACGATGCTTTGATCCTGGCTTGAAGCGTTGAGTGTGGTATTTCGTACAATGTTCCCTGTGCAAAGATTAGCCATGTGCAGGTGATGAGAGTGTCGAGCTCCTGCTTCAACTCACTTGAAAGCATGTTATATTCATCTCGAATCTGCAGAAGAAAGACAAGAGGGAATTAAGAGTTAGTTCTGTATTAGTTTGCATAGAATGATATTCGTCACTTCATTTCTTCTTCGATCGAGATCCCGGGAGAAATAGAGTCAGAGGCACTCACCCGTTCATCATATCAAAGGGAGCCGTCAGTATCTACATGAGCAGAGTATCAAGCCATTAGCATCAGGCTCCTCATGGCCCGAATTGATACAAGCACAACATGATGAAAGCACACCCTCAACCCTGATCCTTGATCTCACCTTGGTCATCATGCCTCGCCAAGTAATGACATCCGTCTCACACTTCTTCCCCGTCTCCTTCTCCATGGCCATGATCGTTTCAAGAAGCGCATCCAGATGCTCATCCGCCGAGTCATCCAGTTTTTGAAACGTATCGAACCCGATGTTCAGATCCGCTGGGAGATTCGGCGGATAGTAATATGCCATTGACGCATCGCCTAACGAGAAACGACGTTCCTGGTCATAGGAGAAGCACGCGATTTCCTATACAAAGTCGATTCAGAGAGGAGCTCCCATCAGATAAAGAGGACTCAATTCGCTGTTTTTGCAAGATGGGATTCATCTGTTATTTGTCTCGCGCCTCCGAATGACTTACCCTTGGTCGGCGGATGGTGGTGTTGACTCCACCGAAGCGCGCTATCGGTTGGATTTCGAAAAGTGCGCGACTCATGTCGTGAGCTGTGAGTGAGGAGGATCCTCACTTGTTGCGTTGCGACGAAAGTATCGAGAGAGCCCGCCAATCCTCAAAAAAACGTTGCTTTTGCGCCTAGCGCACTAGCTTTGGCTCTACCGTCGAGATGCGATGCGATAATTGGAATGAGTCGTCGATGGTCGGTGGGCTCACTCTGCACACACCAGTGTCTCTGTCTAGTGGAAGTCAATGCACTAACCTAGTCAAGGGTTGTAGAGCTTGCACTGCGCAGACTGCAGACTTATTCACGAGTCGAGCTCGTCTCTTGCTCCAGATCGCGCAGGAATGTCGCGCAGCGCGGGTGGACGTGTAGACAAGAGTGGAGCTAGGACTGGAACAGACGAGAATAACCTCTATAGACCTGACTTGCGTACTCGTGAATAGTTGCAGTCGGAGAGTCGGCGCTAATTGACGTAGATCGAATATGGCAAGGAGATAGATATTCCCAGTACAGTAGGCGATGTTCCGAGCCCGGCTCAAACAGACATGTCGATGTGGTTCTGCAATCCGGTCCGTTGCTGGTTGCTATTCCGATGATATGCAGACCCGCGGGAGGAAGCGAAATATTAATGATGCAGCAGCAGTAGCAGCAGCAGCACAAGTTAACCCGCTCGAGTCTTAACGACCGGCCAAGCTCCAAACCGAACCAGCTCGGCGCTTCTCTCTCTGTTCGGGACCAAATCGCCGACTTGGTCCAGCTCCCGTTTGTTTCCCCACTCTTTAACTTTCGATCCCCCGCGGTCTTGCAGCTTCCATCACTTTGCCTTCTACACGGCCGCTCGACGTACTGTCCCTGGCTTGCTCATCCTGCTCTATCCTATTGAAGAATTCAGACTCGATTCTTCTCGTGTCCTGTCAAGTGCGGACCACCCAAGACCGTCCTCGCCCATGATGACGTCCCGCATCGACAAGGTCATTGCTCGCCAGCAAGAAAAGTACGTTGACATTCACATCCCTCACGATCTCCCTGCTTGTGTTTGCTACGACCAGCAAGCTCTGTTCACGCGTTCTAACCCGCACTTCCTTCTTCTTCTGGGAACAGAATCGCAGCAGGCGCTTACTATGAAGCCCACCAACAACTCCGTGTCATCGCCGCTCGCTACATCAAGGCCTCCAATTGGGATGCCGCCGCCGAGTTGTTGGCCGGCGGCGCCACGGCTCTGCTGCGCGCGGGTTCACAGCAGGGCGCATCGGCGAGCGGTGGTGATCTGGCCATCATGCTGGTGACGGATGTGTATAACAAGGCCGAGTGGGAGATTCGGGGTGGTGATGATGATGCGGAGGGTCGGGCGCGGAAGAGTGAGTAGAGTGGTTGATTGACTCGGAGGTCCTTCACTGAGTGGAGGGTTCGCATGCCTGGTTCATGAAAACGTTGCTAATTCGTGATTGCGGTCTTGTGGTGTTGATAGAGCGCCTGATTGAGATTCTACGGGAATTCCCCTCAGATGAACCGACGAGAAAGCGATACATTCAGGAAATGATTGGGTGGAGCGGTCGACATGGTCCGCTGGAACGAGGTGATCCTGAGCTTCACCATGCGGCGGGTTCTGTTTATGCGGAGGGTGAGTGATCCTGGAGTCACAGTTTACGCATCTCTCTGGTTTAGCAACGTTCCAGATGGATGTTTCACAAGGGTGGACAAAGTATCGAGCTAAGATTTATCCTAACTGACCCATCTGTAATCACACACAGATAACGAGCCCTATGATGCCGAAAAACATCTGGTTTTGGGCACGTCAGAATCCGCCGAGACACTAGCACGGCTCGAATTCGAATGGTACACGCATGACGATCCTCACACAGCGGCTTTGTACGCCTCCCGCGCCGTCTTCCCCTATCTCCTGACTGGCAACGTTCGCAGTGCCAACAAGGCTCTGCTCATTTTCACCTCCCGCTTGTCCACTGCCAACCCGACTCTTGGCGTGCAGAACGTCAGCAGTGCCAACTCGGATATCCGCTTGTACCCTGCACTACCGCTGCTCAATTTCCTGGGCTTGTTGATGCTCACGATCCAGCGCGCCAGTGGGGATTTATTCCGACAGTTGACGGCGCATTACGCGGCTCAAATTCGCGACGTAGGGATTTGGGATGACATGCTGGCTCAAATCGGCGAGCAATACTTTGGCATCAAGGTGCCTCGGCAAGGCAACCCGCTGTTGGACATGATGGGCAGCATGTTCTTTGGTGGCGGTCAGAGCCAGGGTCAGGGACCGGCCGGTGGTCGATCGACCAAGAGGGTGGCGGCGCCTCCTTCCAGCATGGAGTTGGATTAGACAGGCGCAGATAGTAGTCTGACTTTCGGAGGTTGAAGGAGAAGAGATCTTTCGTGTCGCTGTACCTTGCGGAGTGCGCCGCCCGAAGACTACTATAGCAATGTAGCACATATGCATAGTCCCTGGTTAGAGGGCCATGCATCTTCGTCATGGGTTCCCTTTTGAGCAATCGAATCTCGATAGGCGTTTCATAGCAAAGCAAGTCCTTGTTTCTCCTCGCCCCGTATCTCGTCCTTCACGGTTGTATTTCCCTCTCCGGTTCAAACATCCAGTTGTCGTCGTCGAGGGAAGCGACTTGTTTGCGTAAGTTCTGGTGTACAATATCCAAGATTTCTATAGTTTGATCCATCGCAGCCATTAGTACCTCTGCCTGGCTCTGCATCCCGATGAATCACTCATAAATCCTTGACATGCATAGCGGTAGCATCGCAGTCCCAGACAACCATAAAAAAAGTAGAAATAACTCACCATCAGGCCCCCCACTCGTTTGACGATTGCGATGCCGAATGACCATTTCCACCAGCGCAGCTTCGAATTCTAGAAGAAGACATCACCCATTAGCCATACTTCAGGCCCGAGGCGTCGGCCCAACGGTGTCGCAACCAAAGAATCCCCTTCGGAGACGAAAGAGAAAACATTTCACATACTCTCTTTATCCTTCCCACTCAACTCCGCCTCCAATGCATTCCTCATTCCACTCCCACCATCCACACCAACATCGACATCCACATCCCCCAATTCCTCCCCATCCTCACTGAACGATGTTTGCGGTGGCAGACTCGGCATGTCCAGTTTATACCCGCCGTGTTTGTCGCGGACGACGATCTCGCGGTCCTTTTCGGGGATGTGGTATCTCATCGTGCGCGAGGGGTCTGTTGCCGAGGATAAGTGGGAATGGGGACGCGAGTGTGAGGCTGGCTTGAGACGATGCAGGGCGGAGCGGTTGGAGAGGGGCGCGTGGTTGTTCGTGGTGCCCGTGGTGGTGGTGTTGTTGTTGCTGGTATGGTCGTTGGATGGTAGTGGCATGGGCATGGTTGTCGTATTGGGATGAGGGGGGAGAGATGGGAAGGGGGGAATGGAGGAGTAATGGTGAGCGTGAGGATGGAGATGTGACTGCGAAGGAGGGTGAGAATGAGGATGGGGGTGAAGGTGAGGAGGTGGAGGAGGAGGAGAAAGAGGAAGAGGAGTGGTTGTCGCAGGTCGGCGGCTAAGCGTTTGCTGGAACAGGTTGCGGCGGACGGATGGTTGTGACATGGTTTGGTGGTAGACAATGATGATGACGATGGTAATTTGTGTACTGTGGAGTGTTGTCGCAAGGATCGATGGCGAGTGATAGTGTATGACGGGCGCAATTTTGGAACAAGTGATTCGCTTATATTGGTTGAGATTGCGAGCGCAACTTTGCTTTTTTGAAGGTAATGAAGTGCGGTCTTGAGGGAGTTTGTCGTCGGAGCTGTCGGAGCTATGTAGATGCTTTGGTTGATGATTTTAGTTGCGCAGGTCTGCCAGACAGCGCAGGGCCGGGTAGATTGGTTGTGGTCTTCGAGACAAGAAAGAGTGTTGCGTTCGAATGCCGGGTCAAAATTCCTCAAGCGATTGACTGTAATCTGTATTTGCAAAGAAGCGTGTGGTTGTTAAAACGAAGACGTCAAAGATCTATCAGGACCGTTGTGTTTGTGTTTGATGAAAAGAATGATCGGCCCTTTGCAAGTGGAGTCTACATTTCACGGTAAGCCGCGAACGGACGATAAGCCTCGGCGATTAGGGATTGGATCTGGCCTCTGGCCTCTGGCATCTGGCATCTGGCATGAGGCTGGAGTTGAGATGTTTGAGGGAAGTAGTGTGTATGGTAGATCCATACAGCCTGTAGTATTCGGAACGATTTTGAGTCTATGGCCGTCGGGCCTGGTTTATAAGACGGATCATCCTGCCACGAAATAAGATTTCTTTTGTGTATTGCTGGAAAGATCGCTTCATCATTGCCTGGCCAGCTGCACAATCATATTGTTGAGAGAGCGTTCAAAGGCGGCGATTCAATCAAGACCCCATTCAAAACTCGAACACTCAGAGCTCTCTTCAGTATGTATGTCGCTCTCACTCTGTCAAAATAATAATAATAATAATGTATGCTGGATCATCTTCCAAATCAACGCCGTCTATGCACTCACAAGTCACAACTATATGACTCCAGCTCTACCGCAGCTCTGAAGCTGCTGCAGAGCCGCGGGTTATCAGTTTATCAGCTTATCCACCCATCAATTACCAGCTTATCGCGACAACGCGTCCATTTTCGCGTCTTCCTCCATCACCGCTTTCTCCCCCCCCCACGATCTATACATATCCCCAATTCACGCGCAACATGGTGCAAGCCGAGTCTTCCAAAGTGGCTGAGCGTACAGGCCTGCGCGCTGTTACAGCAGGTGCTCCGGCAGATTATGAACTCCCATGGTAAGTGGACGAGTGTCGTCACTTTCTGTTGAGCTGGAAAGTAGTTGAAGGGCCTGGACAGCTGACTCGTTTCCTTGTTCTGGCGAACAGGGTCGAAAAGTATCGTCCGATTTTCCTCGACGATGTTGTTGGAAATACAGAGACGGTGGAGCGGCTGAAGATTATCGCCAAGGACGGCAATATGCCCCATGTGATCATCTCTGGTATGCCGGGAATTGGAAAGACAACGTCGGTGTTGTGCTTGGCTCGGCAATTGCTGGGAGACGCATATAAGGAGGCAGTTTTGGAACTCAATGCCAGTGATGAGCGAGGTATGTCTTGATGTGGACAGAGGGAACTGGTGGAGTGTAGACCTGTCAATTCTACTAGAACCCCCGGGATCATGTATTGACGTCGGGTCTACTCTAGGTATCGATGTGGTTCGAAATCGAATCAAAGGTTTCGCTCAAAAGAAGGTCACATTGCCTCCTGGAAGACATAAGCTGGTCATTCTCGACGAAGCTGATAGGTATGCCCCTCTCTTCCTCGTCCAACCCATGAGCTTCCAAACGACGTCGCTCACTCGGATTGCCAATGATGATTAGTATGACGCCCGGCGCACAACAAGCCCTGCGACGAACCATGGAAATTTACTCTACCACCACTCGTTTCGCTTTTGCTTGCAACCAGTCCAACAAGATCATCGAGCCATTGCAATCCCGTTGTGCCATTCTGCGCTATTCCCGCTTAACTGATGCTCAGGTTGTGAAGCGAATCCTCCAGATCTGCGAGGCGGAAAAGGTCCAGCACTCGGAGGATGGAATTGCTGCGCTCGTCTTCAGTGCCGAGGGTGACATGCGTCAGGCGATCAACAATCTGCAAAGTACGTGGTCGGGCTTTGGCTTTGTGAGCGGAGACAACGTCTTCCGAGTGGTGGATAGCCCGCACCCGGTCAAAGTACAGGCAATGATTAAAGCCTGCTGGGAGGGCAAAGTGGATGCGGCATTGGAGATTCTCAATGAGCTCTGGTGAGTTGTTTATAAGAAGCCTGTATTGGACCGGTTGAGTACATTGGCTAATATGAACCCTAGGACACTGGGTTATTCGTCGCACGATATCATCAGTACCATGTTCCGAGTTACCAAGACGATTCCGACCCTCTCAGAGCACTCCAAGTTGGAATTCATCAAGGAGATTGGTTTCACGCATATGCGAATCTTGGACGGGGTGCAATCGCTTCTACAGTTGAGTGGCTGCGTTGCCAAGTTGTGCAAGATCAATATGAAGCCGGAACTGTTCCAGCCTGTCACTGCTTGAGTTTGAGCTTTATCCGAAGTGAAAAAAAGAGGAACATGAACGAAGATGTTTCCATGTCACATAGCATATTCTCCAGGCGTTTGGGTTGAAACTATAAAAGACAATGATCAATGATAATAGTATGACTAACTCTAGATCATCGTAGGGATTTTCCAAACGTAGGCCAGACCGTGTAGACCACTTGTCAGGAAGCTAGATTACATCGCTCAACCGGCAACGTCTGCCCATAGATCAGCACGCAAAAAGCGATCAACATTAGTAGTACCATCCTCACGGAGCTCGTGGCAAGTGCCCTTCAAATCCTCCCATTCCTGGAATTGTTTGTCGATCACCTCACCCATCCCGGATGCGTTGAAGATCTCTGTAATCCGCCAATGGCAGTCCAAGTAATCTCTATCTGGGAGTTTGAGATCTTTCGCATCATCCGCTTGCTTCAATTCAATGAAGCCACTTGCAGGGCTCCACATTCTCGTCAGAGCTGAACAGCCTCGATACGTCTTCACTTCGTGCTTGTTATTTTCGTTCTTGAGAATATATTAGCAGGTTGATTGGGGCTATCGAGGCCCTGATTCGATCATCTTACTTCAACGGGTTTGAACGCCAATTTAAAATTTCCGAAATCAGCATGACACTCGCGCTGCATTGTGAGTCCATTAGATTCGCAATTGATGGTCTCAGCCGACAGGCCCGCTCGGCGAACGCCAGGGAAGCAGCTATAGAGTACCCTCCAGGCACTTGCAGCCTCATGTCGTGATTCCTGTTCATCATTAACCCGAGGACGTATTAGTCATTTGTGGTTCACCATGAAGAATCATTAGAAACCCATCATCCATTGCATGGCCGTGACCGTCGAAGTGACAACGTAATTAGCAACTATCTTACCGTTGTCCTCCACGAGGCGTATGAGAAGGGGATGGTATGCGCGACTTCAACATGCGCGGCTTTGATAGCATCTGGTTCATTAAGTTGAAGCCAGTGCGCGATCTGCATAAAGCCACTGAAAATGCAGCGATAGCCATCGCGTCGGAGACATGAGGCCTTGAACATATCATCGCGGGTCTGCGACTCGTCAAGGTGCGAAGCACCGACCTCGACCTGTCTCACGCGCTTGGAATGGGGAGATTCTATCATTGAAGATGGCTTAGAGAGTGCTTTCACTAAAATAGGCGTTACTTAGTTATGGTTGTTGTAACTCTGTGATAACCAAGCTACTAAAGACTTACTTGGCATTGCAAGACCCTTGTAGAGATTCATGAAGACCTTATACAGGTCATCATCAGTCTTCGCATCCCTGATGTCTCTCGCCACAGACTCCCGGCCTCCTCTTGGTAACCAGTTGATGAAGGCTTTTAAGGAATCTTGGAGGAGGTCTTCACGATGGCGGTCTTTGGGCTGGTACTGCGTTATTCTTGCCTCGGCAGCGGCAGCCAACTTTTCCCAATCCTCTGTCTCTGTGTCGGTGGACAAGCTTGGCAATCCTCTCGATGGCTGAGAGAGGGCTTGTGGTGTTCTTCGTATGCGTTTTGATCGTCTCGGGCTTGAAGCCGGGGAAGGCGTTCTATAGCGCTTTGATCGAGCCATTTTGTGATGGGTAGTGGTACCGTTCATGTGTAATGGAAGACACACAACCTAGTGGTCACTGGATTTGTAGAAATAAACAGATAGCATTGGCTTTGTGGCTCGCCTGACCTGGTGGTCACCTTAGGTTGGCAAAATACTATTACATGGGAGCCATCAGCACTCGGCCTGTTAACCCTCATGCCCGCTGCCGCAAAGGGTTCTACTGCGTGTATACATGATGTCAAGAAGGAACCTGGATCAGAGTTGCGGGGACTGTCCGACATGTGGAGATTGTCCAATGCCCCCCCCCCCCAAAATGAACGGCACGAGAAATCCATTCGAGCGTCTCCACTCCTCTCAGCCACCGTTGACCACCGACGCAGCCGCAGCTTCCTCCATCAGTTCGAACCTCCCAAAAAAGCGATCATCTTGCCCCCCTCCTGCTCCAGTATTCTTTCGTCTTTAAACAATCTCGACAGGCTGCACCGCGAGCCACATTGTTCCAGACGGGGCTTTCCGCTCAAAGCTAGGGTTGTTCCCTACTCTCCCGAGCTGCCCCCCTCCATCGCAGCCTTAATGGAGTGGAGGCGCCATGGCTTCTACGAGCTCAGGGTCGCCGTCGGCCAGTTCGACCGGTCCTATTCGCACCCGCAATAAGACCTCGGGAACGATCGCGAAGCGGGCGTGCGATCAATGCAAGTTCCGCAAGATCAAGGTATGCCCGCGTACTGTCGGACGCAATCGAGAGACTTTGCGCCTACCCTGGCCGAGCGAAGATGCCGATAAGCCTCCCTTTTGGATCGCTGGGGCGAATACCTTCGAAAATTCGTCCCAGCGCGCGTGCAAAAGCCCGGCTTCGAAGCATTCGCGAGGCTGGGGGCCCAATGCGCAGGAAGAAGCAAAAAAAAAGGCACGCGTCTAACGGGTTTCGCTATAGTGTAGCTTGTCGCAACCCTGCAAAGCATGCCAGTCCATGGGCTTTGACTGTACATTCCTACAGCCGCAGAAGAAGCGCGGACCAACAGGACAGTAAGTAGAAAACCTTCCCTCACGTCTCGAGACCATATCCAGGACCACACATATCCGGACACATCCGCAAGATTGCTGCATATGAACCGACGCGCACTGAACGACGACGTACTATGCAAATGGACTAACGCGAAAGCGCGCGCGCCTTGCTGCGGTGCCGGAACAGTCGCGTATCGCAGATTCGTCAGCAACAGACCAACGTCCCGTCTCGAAGTTCGCAGGAGCCATCCGTACCCAAAGAAGAACCCTTTGGATATCATGGTCCATCCTCGGGCGTGGAATCGACCCAGTCCGGCCAGATGCCGGGTGCGCCCTGGTCCGCAACACAGCCTCAAGTGACAACAATAGCGATGGATGGACCAGCCGGGCTGGTTGCTCCAAATCCACCCCCCAACATGGCAGAGGCGTGGGCGGGTGAAACTGCCTCTCTCGACTCATCCGGGGCTAGTGTGGGATGGAACGAACGTCCGGATGTCGAATATTGGCTGCCAGATAATCTGGGCGCGCAGGTCCCCGTCTTTGAATTTCCCGGCAGCAATATATACCTGAAACCGTCCCTTCCGTCCATCATTCAGCCCGCTCCCGACGTCTCTACTATGAACCTGTCTGCGGCGGACCCTCAGGGCATCCCCTTTTCACCCGTCGTAGGGTCGATACAATCCTCGGAGAGCCAGCAGCCGGAGGGATTCTGGCCGGACTCGATCAATGAAGCGAATATGATCCCCTGGTTAGATGTATACTTTGACCGACTTCATCCAACAGTCCCGGTATTAAGTCGTTCGTCATTATACACCCGCATGATGCTCCAGGAGCATCGAAAAAACACACAGTTTGGCGCAATGTTATTATCATTATGCGCATTTTCCCTGACGCAACCTATTGAGATCAACGAGCGCGCAACCACCTCGTCACGCGCAACGCAGGCTCGGTCAATGATGAATGAGGCGACAAAGATGCGCAGCTCTTCCGATTTTGGTGAAAACCCTACTATCGAGGCTGTTCTGACGAGCTTTTTCCTCTTCGGCTGTCTGTTTGGCAGCAATCAACATAACGCAGCCTGGCTACGGCTGAGGGAAGCCCTCGATCTTGCATCTACGTTAGGACTGAATGATCCTGAGTCCTATCGAGACCTATCTGGTGATGAAAAGGGGCAACGGCTACGGACGTATCTTGTGCTCTCAATTACAGAAAGGTGCGTTGTAAGACAGGGGAAGTGTGGGTCCTGGAAGTATCTAACATCCGTCTTGTACAGAGCATATGCTTTGCAACGACTTCACCCGGTATCATTTTCCGGAAGGCCGGGGTTCAGCATGCGATCCGTCCATGATTTCCTACACAACGCTACTCACAGTCTCGTCTCGGGCATCATCGTACATAACGAAAAAGACGCCGAAGGGATGATGGGTCTCGCTCGGCTGATGGAGATCTTTGACGTGATAGACGAAGATTTTGTATGGTGCTGGAGCCGGCGCTGCGACCTGAGCAATGGGTACTGTTCACGACTCACCGAAGTGAAAGCTCTGAGTATGTACGACAGCCTCGAACGTGTCAGTCAAGCGGAGCGATACAAAGGGTACGACTGGTTCGAGCGAGCCAAAGGCGATTCGAACGACTCTAATGCACTCCTTCCGATCGGTCTGCGTGAGACGCAGGCGGCAGACGTCTTTGTCACACAGAAATGGGTGCAGAATCGCGTTTGGCTATCGTGTTTGCACCATGGACTACTGCGGACGCAGTCTGAGCGGCCGGAGTTGACATTTCGCTTTGCGGTTACCATTGCAGAGTCTACGATTCAGCTATGTCGGTCCTTGAGGTTGAGCTCGATGGAAGCTCACGGCATTGGATTTGTGAGTTAACCCCGATTTAATCTCATTTTCTTTTCTTCATGTGGTCCGGGACCAATCTGCTAATGATGCTTCTACAAAGACCGAAAAATTATACGACATAGCTGTCGGCGCCATGGACATTCTCTGCAATATCAACCCGCCGTTTGGCACAGGAATCACTTCCCTCGGCAATTTCTCCGACTCAATACCCCAGACCTCTACACCACAGACCATGGCCGAGGATTTCCTCTTGTTGTTGACTAGTTTTCGCGGTGGAAACCATCCGTTCGTGGAAAAGTTCAAGGCTCATTTGCGGGCTCTGCAGATCCCGGGCAATTGGAATTCCGGGCAAGGTTCTGGAACTGGGTGAGAAGATCTGGGTAGGTCCGATAAAGAGTAGGGGCCATTTTGATATTGCAATGGAGCATTGACTGCTTTGTGAAGAGTCCCTTAATTCTCCCCATATCATCCAGTCCCCATTTGCTACTAAGTGGTTGGGAGATCACGCTAGAGGGCAGTGCGTTTTTGCTAACGCATTTGAAAGAATCCTGGATAAACTCTTATCACCACCCATCTATCTATCCATCTATCTGCATGGACATAACCATCTCCATTTGTCTGACTATTCCTTGATACCCGGTCGCGCGCTGTGTGCTTTTGATGGAAGCGGAACTGAGGCGTGTAGGCGAAGAATATATACTCACTGTAATGGTCTATTTGACGCTGGTGTAAATTTGTCTTAGGTTAGTAGGAAGAGTGCGCGCTCTTGATCTATCACAAAGAGGTTTTTAAACACGATCCATCTAGCAATGAAGTGTACTTCATTTGCCCACCACAACATGGTGTACCCTTTTTGTGGGCCCAACTTCCGCAATGGGTATTTCTATCAATACCTTATAGCTTGGAAGGTTGTCATTCTATGTCTAAGTTCATCATTCATGAAAACAGGTAGAGGTTGCCCGGCACCTCCCCCAGTCTACATGGCGGTTGAATCTGTCTTCGAGACGTCTTTCAATCATGCCGTGTCAAGTCATTCAGGCTTTTCGTCTGCGCTCGTCTGATCTCATCTCGTCTCATCGTGTTGAATCGTTTCATGTACATGACTTCTATTCCATAGCATTCAGATTAAAAACCGTATCGTCTCAGCAAGTCCATCCCAGATATCTGCCTTAAGCAGCACCGCGGGCGGACATTCGTCCTCTACCGTGGACTCAGCGAAGAACCTCAACCCATGATCCTGCTCCGATGGGAAGGCCTGGGAATCAGTTTGTGGTTGAGGCTGAGGCTGAGGCTGGGATTGAGACAGAGACAGGTGCGAGTGATGCGTATAGAGTCTCGTAGAAATCACCGTGCGATCGTTGACAAAGACTTCGAGCACGGAGGAATCGTAAAATGCGTGAATTTGAAGTGTCTCCTCGACTTCGGCCGTGTCTTTCTCTTTGTGTTGGCTTTCGGTGCAGATATCTGTTTTTGAATCTTGTGTGTTGTGCTTGGATCGATCGTCTATTTCGTTGCGGTTGCGATTGCGGTCGTAGCTGTTGTTTTTGAAAGAGAATAGAGTGTGTGGAGCGGATTCGTAGCCATGGTTGATGGTCTGGTCTTTGAGGGTTGGTCGGTGGATTGTGAATGTTTCGGATGAGGGGGCCCAACAGAGTGTTGTTTTGAGAGTGTGATCTGCTGGAAAATAGTTAGAGATTGAGTGTCGCGTTGACGGAGTGAAGACACAGATGTAAAGTATAGTGTCTAAGGTGAAAGGGGATGTCTCGAGAGTGATGGAGTGATGAACGAAACGACTGAGAGAAAATCACGCGATAGCCGGAGCTTCAAGTGAACTTTCGTACGTACCTGATAGATGACCAATCTCAATTCCGACCCTATCACAGGATGCATTCACCTTGAACTCGGCTTTGATTTCCCATCGCGAGCTTTTTAAGGCAAGCGACTCGCTAGATGAGTTACCCAGAGCAGTCGGTAATCGATGAACGAGCGTGTCGGACACTTTGGCGGCTTCCTTCCGAATTAACGTCATTCTTGGATCTGGTTTGATTCCCAATGTATGTATGGTGTATGTTCTTGGACCAGCCGAAGGTCTCTCGTCAGGGACAAGCTCAACAGACGAAATGGAGCTCAACTCTGAGCTGCGCGCCTTCACCACGCCACGAATCGTTCTCAACTCTACCACGCGAGGAATCGAAATGACTCCACTCCAGCCCTGACGATGCCGAGCTTCATCCGGGAGATCTTCCTCGGTGATCCATCCATACACCACCCGTCGAGAAGTGACAGGGTCCCAGAAAGAATTGGCGGCGTATAAACAGCCATGGTCGAAGTGGCCTCCAAATTGATAATTCGCCAACACCTCGTCGTGTCCAATCTCTGCCCGCCGATTGATACACATCCATAATTGGGAGCGAGGTTGTCGTTTGTGTTGTGCTGAACCATGCGTGGTCCAGAGAGAATTGTTGGCGCGCAAGCATCCTTCAGCGCCCATGATCGCAAACTCCCGATAGTCGCCGGCGTCGTTTGTCAGAGTGACTAAATTGCTCACTTCCCAATTGACCCCAAAGTCTCCGGACCAGCGCGACGGGTGAAAGTTTAAACCAATGTCGACCAGCAAGCCTGTGTATGTCCATTGTCGTAGATCTTTCGGGTTCACCTGATATACAAAGATTGCGGGCGTTCGACCGACGACGCCTCCGGCAACGATTCCATTGGCAGGTTTCTTGACTTGGTCTTGACCCTGGCCCACTGGGTTGGTCTGCTGAGCTGCTGGCCATGTCGTTAGATGAGGATCCCTCCAGCCGGTCACAGAGAGATGCTCTGGAGGACCATCGAGAATCGGGTTGCAGTCTGGGCGTTCCCAAGTCCGTCCACCGTTCTTCGAGACGGCCAGGCTGAGAGACTCGCAGCCGAAAGTATACGGTAGAGTGTAGTGCAGTGGCAGATGTTTAACCGATGTATATATGGCGGTCAAGGCACCCGGGTTTCCCCCAGGATCCGTTGCTTGCAGACACCCTGTGAACACTCCGCAACGATCGTACTCTGTAGACGGCGTCAATGCCGGCGTAGAGGAGACTCTCCATGATACCAAGTCTGTGGATGTGGCGTGTCCCCAGGAAATGTTGCCCCAGTCATTGTCGGAAGGATTCCATTGGAAGGACATGTGGTATAGTCCTGTTAAGGGATCATAACCCAGGCCACACGGGTCATTCATCCATCCATTAGAGGCCGATAGGTGGAAGGATGGTTTTGAAGCAGCCATCCTTGTGTCCTGATCATTCATAGAATATGTTGATGCCTTTGGAGAACATTCGTCTCTGATCTCTGAGCTCAGAGAGATCTGGGTACTCAGCAAGACTGACATCTTCTGGTATTAAATTTATAACTTTTTGAGAAGTGCTCGGGTTTCTTCCTTTCTTGACGGTTGAGCAGTGCAAGTCAAAGTTGTTGTCAAGACAAGCGCAGGGTCAAGGCGAAGGTTTCAAGAAACATGCCTCGGCTCAGCGAACAATTTCGGAATAAGGAAAAGGTCGGGTAGATATAGATTGGACACGTTGGAGTACTAATTCCAACTCCGATGGGGTTCGTTACCAAAGCTTCGACTAGCGCCATGAATCATGCAAGTGAGCCTGGAAATAGAACTGTCAATTCATCTCGGATTGCATTATGCGGGCTTGTCTAAGTTGATGGACTTGTTTAAACGCACTCTCACACTCTTCCGTTGCATACGCAGAAACTGACGGAGAAATGTCCGGTCCCGAGCGGGATAGCGGTGCGGTCTAAGTAGCCGTTTGTCATTTGGCGATCTTGGCGGTGGATCATCGGAAGAATCTCGGTGCTGGACGGAGTTGGAGGCATGCATGAGACAAGTGACAAGGTCGTCAAATTTAAAATTCGACGAAGCTTTACTAGAGAGAAAGCCAGGATGAGATAAGGTTTCACTGCCAGTTGGAGCATGTGACTGCTGAGCATCAACCAACGCAACTTCACTCCGATCGGGTTCCCATCAGCCTCAATGCGACGACCACAGAATCCTCTTCCCTAACTTTGAAACCTTATTCAGCTGACCTGCAAAACCTCGGCGAAACCCTGACGTCTCCAAAACCGGACATTGGGAGAAGAAAAAAAAGACCGCTCGAATATCATCCACCAGGCACGACCTGCCAGTCTAAAGGAGAGGATCCATAGACCCATTTATCGGAATCCTGCCTTCTCCATGGGGTAAACCCACCTGCGCTTGCCTGTGAAACGAACGGTGGGGCATTCGATGAGGCTGTAGGGCTAAGGGTCTGTCAAGTCGTCTCAATCGCCTAGATAAGGCTGAATGACCGTGCAAGATCTTCCTTCGAGGGGAGAGGATCAGCTCGAATCTGCCGTGAAGGCAAATAGCTCGTCTGGTCCATCCAGTCTTCCTGCATCCAAGCTCTCGTGCTGGGCGGATTTACATCGGTCCATCATGACAATCTCTTGCGGGGAAGTCGTCAGGACAGCTCAGGTCAAGGACATTGGCGATTTGGCTCGTGGCAAAGGCGCCGTGAATGGGCGCTTGGTATTTGCCTGTGCTGTCTTTTGTGCGGCTTCATTTGTTTTTGGATACGATGACAAGTTGATCTCGCCGGTGGCAGCGCTGCCTGCTTTTGTGAGTTGGTCCCCATACTCGAGATCCTATTGTCTCCCTATGCCAATGCTGCGCGCGTCGGACTTCAAAGTCTCGTTCAGGACAATTAGAAACAACTAACGCTGATACTGTATCAGGTCGACAAATATCAAGGTCCTAACCCAGTCACGGGTCGGTTGGTCCTCACGGCGCGTAACCAAGACCTCGTCTTTTCGCTTCCGTTGGTTGGGTCTATCCTTGGAGGATTGCTCAGCTCGCCACTGAACTACTATCTAGGCCGCAAATGGCCTGTAATTTTGGCATATGTCGTTTCCGTTGGCGGAGGACTACTGCAGGTCTTTGCGCCAAATTTAGGAGCCTTTGTTGGTGGCCGGTCCATCAATGGGGTCGCAATGGGTATTGCGATGGCCACTGCTCCACTGTACCTATCAGAGGTATGTCAATCGCAACTCGGAATTTGAAAACCCTAGACCACGGCACAATGTGCACTGTACTGACTCATGTCATCAATCCGCTACAGGTGGTTCCCGCTTCTATGCGTGGGCGAAGCGTCACCTCAATCAACATTCTCAACCTCACATCCGGAGTTGTCGGCACGGTTATCGTATGGGGTACGCAGAAACTTGGCGGACACTTATCCTATCGAATCCCGCTTGTCATTCAATCAGCGATCCCGGTGATCCTTCTCCTCCTCACCATCTTAGTCCCGGAGAGTCCCGTGTGGCTCGTGGCCAAGAATAGGCTAGATGAAGCGCGTGCCAATCTCCGCAACTTGCGCGGATTCACGGACGAGCAAGTCGACGACGAACTGCGTCTGATGCAGCTCGGGGAAAAAGAAACTCGGCATATGCGAGCACAGGTCAAATTCTGGCATATCTTCAAACGAGAGCACCTTCGGCGCACTCTTGTCGCAGGCTCTTTCTACTCGTTGAATCAGGTCTCCGGTATTATCTTGTCAACGACATACGCCACGGTTTTTCTCACACAATTGGGTGTCGTCGATGCCTTCTCGCTCACCGTTATCGCCTCGTGCTGTACCCTAGCAGGTACAATCGTCGCACCTCTAATCATTGATCGAGCCGGCCGTCGACCCACCGCATTCTTTGGCATGTCCATCCTCTTCGTCATCGACCTGATCGCCGGTGTTCTCGCTTTCTACCCCAACAACCAGCATGCCATCCTCGCCGTCGCCGCGTTGTCCTTTATCTTCAATTTCTTCTGGGCGTCCTCTTTCTCCTCCCTTGCCGCCCTGATGCCATCAGAGATGGCCACCCCTAAGCTTCGTCATCACACCATGTCCTACACAATCGCCTGCCAGGCACTCACTGCTGTCATCACCACGCTCGTCGTCCCACAGCTAACATCTGCGGATGCGGCAGGACTGGGGGCGAAGACGTACCTTGTCTTTGCGGGGTGTATGGCTGCGATTCTCGTCTTCTATTATTTCTATATGCCGGAAACAAGAGGCCGGACCTTTGTTGAGATTGATAATATGTATGCTGCAAAGATACCAGCTTGGAAATGGAGGTCTTATAGACCGTTGGGTGATATGAGGGTTTCCCGAGAAGTAGTCACGTCGGGAAAGACCTGACACGCAAGGATTTGCATCTGCTCTAGATTGTTCTATATGATTTAAAATGTACTACATACGAAATTCAATTCATGATGCTCTAATATCTCGATAAACTACCACAATCGTCGTCGGGATTTGAAATTCTGGCAAACGCTCGCTATGACTGGAGATGGTCTCTGAGAGAATAGGCGCAGACCAAGACCTGTACTCATTTGAAGTTGAGGGTTTGCGTGTTGACTTTGTTTCATTCCTATCGAGAGCACAGACATCGGCTCATCCCAAAGCGAACCGGGACAACTGCGCCAGCTGCCAAGATCAAGCCGACAGGCGTCGAGTAATGCCATTGCTCTGTCTTCTCTATTCCATTTCGGCAGTGCGCGTCTTTTTTACGAATGTGCATTATATTGGGAATTTTGTTGGGGTCTTCGATTATTTTAATGACAGGTAGTAAACCCCTCATGGCTGAGAAACGATAATGCGAGTGGCTCGTGTGAAGGGCTAATGTGAAGTGAATGAAGAAGACATATTATCTATCTATGTGTTATTAAGCGAATCATTAGTAGTGGCATTCTAGCGCAGAAGTCGTGGTCTGCTTCATTCTGAATTGCCAGTCAGCCATGATGTCGTGTCACGGCTTTGATTTTTATAGGTATGTTCGGTCGATACTCCGTCAAATGGTCATCGCGAACGTTTTCCCCAGAATTTCCATCCTGCAAGGCCGGTCGAACCATCGCGTTGGTGAATGCGCCAGTAGTACACAGGAATACCAGTGAGAATGAACGCGACGACGATGAGCGTCTGGAGCGGCTCGGCGATGACGGCACGGCTAAGGAGAAACAAGCTGACGCAGCAGAAAATAATTGGTGTCGTGATCCATGTGCGGTATGGTCTTTCGAGACGAGGTTCACGAATGCGCAGCACAATTAGACCCAGGACGGTCACAAAGTAAAATGTGTAACCCGCAACGCCGTAGAATGTGACCAGTGTACTGAACTCGCCGACGCAGATGTAGACCACGACGAAAGCAGCATTTAAAGCCATGGCATTGATCGGAGTGAATCCCAGGCCAGTCTCGTCACCAAATACGCGTGACAAGGATCTTCTTGCCCACGAGCGTCGACGAAGACGACCACCAGCGGGAGGTGCTGGGGCCGTAGAGCTGCCCAGACCGATGCGAGAGAAGACGGCGGGCAAGTAGCCTTCTTTGGCAGCGGCGTAGACCAGTCGACCGCTGGTGAAGGTGGTTGCATTCAAAGCGCCGAAACAGCTAGCACCAACGACGAGTGCGAGGACAAGAGCGCCGACAGGGCCGAAGACTTTGCGACCAAACTGCACGGCGATGGTGTTACTGGCTTCGATGGTATCATGCGGAAGAACGAGGAAGTAAGACACATTGGCCATCAAATAGCTCAGGATAACCAACGGCATGGCCGTGTGAATCACACGGGGAAGATCCCGGTTGGGATTCTTGAACTCGCCCGTGACATAATTTGTCTGGTATAAGAAGGTGTATCAGCATCGGGACTCAGACCAAGCCGTAGCAAGCTTGCGGTTCATATTCCAGATATTACTTACGTTGTCCCATCCATCAAAAGCCCATAGTCCAGCGTACAGCGCCACTGCAAAGTCTGAAATCTCGGTATTCGTCCCTTCGAACCAGCCATGGGTCTTCCATTCCTGATTGGCACCTCCCTTGGCCGAGAATCCGGTGATGGCGACCACGATTCCAGTGATCGTGACCCCCAACAACGCCACAAATTTGAAAAACATGAAGAGATCACCAATGCGAGTAGCAATCTTCGTGGAGATGCAGTTAAACAACGTGACCGCGACCAAGCCTCCCAGCGCAACACCCTTATTGATCCATGGGTTGACATGCTCCACATCAGCTCCCACGAATGCGCGCACAACATACTCGCCAAAGATGATCGAAATGATTGCCGCTGATCCTGGCTTCAATACTAGGACTGCGCACCAAGTGAACAGGAACCCTGGTAGCTCGCCGAAGATCTTGGAAAGGTAGACCTGAGAGCCGCCATTCAGAGGGATCGCGCCTCCTAGCTCCGCATAGCTCGCCGCACCCGTCCACGCCAATAACCCTGCTATGGCCCATACGATGAGCGCCGCACCCGGTGACCCAGCGTTGGCGTTGACCTGGGAAGGCGAAGAGAAGATGCCCGATCCGATGATCAACCCCACAATCAAAGACAGACCATTCAAGTATGTCAATGTCTTGTTCCGTTCCAACGATCCATTTGTTCCTGAGCGGTCCAGCGCCGACGGCGTTCCCAGCGGCGCATATCCGCTCTGGGTTTGCGACAAGGGAAACAAGTTGCGGCCAAAGTCGAAGGCAGACGAGACCGAGTAGGATCGTGGGTGCCGCGGACGACCAGTCTCTAAGAAGACGTCCCCTTGTTCGCCAGCGAGAGGGTCTTCATCTTCCAAGGAAAGCTTGCGCGACGAGGAAATTCCGTCGGGGGACGAGGAACGAGAGGAGCCACCTACGGAGGCGGGCGAGGAGGACGCGAGCGAGGCGAGCTCTAATGAGTCTCGAGGTGCAGTTAGATTACCATTTCGAGGATCGGAAGCGAATGTGCGACTCGACATGTCTTGTGTGTTCTCTTTTGCAGAGAACGTGAGGGAGCGGTCGTCGTAAGCTTATACAAAGAAAGAGTCGAGAACAGATGCGACAGAGGAATTGGTCGATTCAAGGGTATCTCAAGATAAGCCGCCAAGTCTCTCCATCGTCGAATCTGGACAACAGACAATATTGGGGTTGAAGTCTCAGATGATTCTCTCCTGAACCTCGAGAGAAGTGACTGTCTCGAGTGGAGGTAAGTATCCACGAGACCAAGTTGATCGATGCAAAAGTTTCGCCAAAGGGGGCCTGTGGATGAAAGAAGGAGTGACGATCATCCAATCGGCAGTCCGACGGTGGTCCAACCCAATTTCCACGCTTTCCCCGCGGTCTTTCAGCTTTCTGGATGGAAGTTCTGGCTAAAGCGTTCTTTCACTATTCACCAAGTCTTCCCTCCGCTCATATTCTTCCATGAAATCGTCAATACCCGCTTCCTTCCGCTGTAGCTGCAGCAGGTCGACTCTGCAGTCGGTCGGTGGCCGATCGCGCCGTCATGCATCTACCAGCTCCTCCGCATCCTCCACCGCAAATGCGCCCACTCCGTCTCGCAAAGCCCGCTGGCTAGCAATCGCCTTTGTGAGCGTCGCTGCCGCCAGTGGAGGCGCCTACGTTCGAGCCCAATCTCCCAAGTCTTCAGAGCTCAACCCAGAAACATTCACCAAATACTGCCTGGTCTCTAGAGAGCCCGTGTCCCCCTCGAGCAGTCTATTCACTTTACGTCCCAAGTACCCCAGCGACAGCAACTACGATATCTACGAAGAAGCTTGGCGGGCGGGCGTATGGAGTGTCATGTTCAAGCAGCCTCAGCTCCAAATCGGCCGAGAATATACACCATTGCCTACAACAGCAGCGACCGGGCTGTCTGTCGACGAAGAAAACGAAGGGTATCTGCGATTCTTCATTCGCAAGGATCCCTTTGGAGAGGTGTCGCGGTATCTACATACTTTGAATACAGGGGCCGATATCGAATTGCGCGGACCTAAGATCGAGTGCGCGATTCCGGAAGAGACTCGGAAGATTCTCTTCATCGCGGGTGGGACAGGAATTGCGCCTGCGTTGCAGGCGGGTTATTCATTGCTGAATCGGACTACGAGCACGAATCGACCACAGATCCATATCGTTTGGGCCAGTCGATTGAGGGCAGATTGCCTGGGTGGTGTCAGTGACACGCTCAATGCCACGACACAGGTCTCGGCAAGCGGATCGTGGTTCTCAGGCTGGTTCGGCTCATCATCAAATGCAGTCCACGACGGCGTGGATACGAGAGTATCTTCGCCACAGGAGCCGTCGCTGATTGTGCGGGAACTCGAAGCGCTCAAGTCACAGTACCCTGGACAAGTGACGGTGGATTACTATCTGGATGAAGAGAATCGATTCATCGGGAAACAGGACCTGGCCCAATTTATCAAGCCCGTGGGTGGAGGCGAAGACCAAGACATTCACAACTTGATCTTGGTCTCGGGTCCAGAGGGCTTCATCAGTTATATGGCTGGTCCTAAGGTATGGGCCCAAGGCACAGAGCTTCAAGGTCCCCTACGTGGAATTATCAAAGAATTGAATCCTAAGGGCTGGGCTGTTTGGAAGCTGTAAGTATATATTTTCAGCAAAAGAGGCCTTTCTTTTGGGAATCATGTGTATCATATTATACGTTGCGCTAGTGAACACCGCCTCTAAACAATGACAGGAAGTTATGTCGGTCATGGTCTTTTTTTGCGTAGGGTTAGGTTTTTTTTCGCGATCCCTCTGCTCGCATAGGACCCTCAGTGAGAGAAGCCGACCCGTCAACTGGAGCAAAGAGTAGAGTGCCAATCCAGATGATCTCACTTTCTTGAGGTGCCTGAAATCGGAGGGTCGTTGGTTCTTAGTTTGAGCTCTCGGATCAGATAAAAGATTTTAGTGTCCTGAGGCAAAGTCCTCCAGATACTTGACCAGCTTCTGGACATTTTCCAAAGGCACGGCATTGTAGTTGCTTGCACGCATACCACCAACACTGCGGTGACCCTTGAGACCCTGCAACGAACGCTTCTCGGCACCGGCGATGAACTCCTTCTCCTTGGCATCATCACCGCCACAGACACGGAAACAGATGTTCATTCTGCTGCGGACGGTCTTGTCCGGGACCACCTGGTACACTTGGGGGTATTTGTCCAAGACACCGTAAATGAGCTCGGCCTTTTGATCGGCAATCTTCTCCTGGCCGCCGACCTTCTGGGCGCCGAAGATGTCCATGAGATCACCCATCACTTTCCCGGCAACCCAGAGGTTGAAGATAGGGAGAGTGTTGTAGAGAGAGTTGTTCTTGGCAATGGTGGCGTAATCGAGCACAACCGGACCGGGAAGTCCTCCGATATTCAAACGGTGCAACAAAGCTGGAGGGGGTGTGGCAGTCAGAGGGGGCAGAAGATCCTTGCGAACAATCACGATCGTGATACCAGTGACACCGATGTTCTTCTGAGCACCACCCTACAGTCACACGCATTAGTTTCACACACACGGCATAATTCCAATTTTGTTTCGGAGTGATCACTCACAAAGATCACAGCATACTTGCTAACATCAACTTTCCGGCTAATGAAGTTGGAGCTCATATCCGAAACAATCAGGCGCTCGTCCTCGGCATCCTGGCCTTGAGGCTCCAGCGCCTTGGGGAATGCCGGGAACTCCACGCCGTCCACAGTCTCGTTGTCACACATGTAAACGAACGCAGAGCCCTTACCACCCTCCCGCTTGGTCGGGGTCAATGACCAGGTATCTTCAGCGGGAATCTTGCCAAACTTGCCGCCATTCGCTTTGCGAGCATCCACCGCCACATTGACATACTTGGAACCGAGCAATCGAGCAGCTTCCTGGGAGGCCTTGAGGGACCATGAGCCCGTGACAAGGTAGTCGAGCTTCAGCTCTTCATCGACTTCCTTCTGTAGCCTTTGGAAGACCAATTCATCGATGTGAGACTTGTCGGCATCTGGGTTGGCTCTGGACAAGTCGGCTTCGGCACGGCGGCGGCGGCGCTCGATCCAGACCGGAACAAGGTTCTGAACTACGGCGCTGAATTCACCACTACCACCACCTTGCATGAAGAGAATCTCGTAGTTATCAGGGATATCGAGCAGGGCAGTAAGGTGGGCTTTGGTGTCGTCGAGAATCTTGTTCGCGGTGGGGGAGCGATGGGAGATTTCTCCCAGGCCGAGACCGGAGTTGTTGAAGTTGACGAAGGCCTGGCCGGCGGCCTCAACCACGGGAGTGGGCAGAGGAGCTGGGCCAGCGCCAAAGTAGGAGATTTCGTGCCTAGAGGGCATTGTGAATAGATATCGTGGGGTGGTGAGGAGGGGTATACAAGGAAATATGGAGAGGAGGGACAGCCGCGGGGACAGAAATAAATTGTGTAGCAGGTACACGCATGTCGAGTCATCGGTGGACCCTGCGGGATTGCGCCGCTGGGGTGGATCAGCCTTAGGAGTCATCACGCCAGGTCCGGAAATGCACGCATTTGTCTCGTTTGCGAGGATCAGAACGTCCGTCACTGTTCTGCTCTCGTGCCCGCCACGGAAGTATTTCAATTCAGTAGTCTCGGCAATTTTGTATCGTTAAAATTTGGCAAATGGCGAGCATTTTCGGTCGATGAACGGCACCCAATCTGTCTGTGCTGCGTAGGAGACATCCACTTTTCATGTTGAAGTATGAAAATTGCTAATGACGCGAATTCCAGCTCAACCGTCTCATTCTCTCAGGCCCAAAAAGAGACCCTCCCGGTAGCTCGTATGATTTGGCTATCTTTTTACAAGGAGAATGGAGCTCACCGTATACTCGGTCTATATCCCAATGCACAAAGTAGGACGCGACTATACACTTCATTGTACAAGCATGATTGATCATCGTAGCGGGTTGCACTAGTCCGAGTTCGGCCATCCAGGCTAAAAACACCTTGAAATCTTATTTTCAGCACAGATAAATCTCTTGTAGAAGGCATTCGACGTGGAATACAATCACCAGCGCTGATCTCTCATTCAAAAAGGGTGACTGGCAATCACCGCGTCGTGCGTTGACCAGTGGAAACGAAGTCAGGTCCCGTCATTCAGAATGTGAGAAAAGACCAATAAGCCCAGTGTATTCACCGACGCCGGTTTGATCAAAAAGAAGAGGGTTGCGGTAAAATGAGTCTCATTTTGAGTTCGATCCTTCAATATTCGGAACAGAAACTTCACGGACGTCGACTTGTCGGAGCTTGGATCACCCCGTATTTCAAAACTACCACCGTGATTCTTCAGCTCTAACGGATCCAGCCAGTCTTTGTATGACGAGGGATTGAAGATCCATTCATACGTTTAGGAAAGAGCATCAGCAACGGCCGCCTTGCGATTATGTATTTGCGGGGATTGAAGAGAGTGTGAGGACATTCGCGGGTTATCTAGTACTGGAGTTTGAAAATCTTTTGATGTATTCGTGCATTATTCTTTCTGGCTTGACTCACTCGTCTTCCCGCGAGACTTCACGTGCGGAGATAAGCAGACTCTTTCTTTGAAGTTCGCGGCTTCATTTGGTAGTTGACGACACCGCCAAAGCGTACTGTGACTGAGCTCTCATTCGATTGAGTGGCCTTTGGCTTGACCGGTTTCTGTTCCCCAGATTCATCTCTACCCATTTTGATAGATGGACAATCCAATGATAGACGATGATCTTCTTAACCCGCAATCAACTCATTGTGAAAACGTTTGAAGGATGTTTCGACTGCCCAGAATACCAACAATTGACCGCAATTGTAAAATGCGACTGATGGACAGGCTGCTCAGCTGGACTCCTAAAAGCGCGGTTCGTTTCACAGGTGTCTACCTAGTCGTCTGAACGGAAGGAAAGAGCTTCCGCCTGGCTTATGGCGCATCGATCATCTCGCAATTCCGGAGAGTCATGTGTGCATCCCATCAGCCCACAGATACGAAATAGTCTCGCTGATGAAAGAGAGATGCTGGCGGGGGAGAGCTTGTAGTGGGAGAAGTGTGTACCTCAACATCCGAAATAGGAATGATGATATATGCCAATTTAAATGAGTGGAATTTCCGATGAGGCTCTTTGTATTTTGCAGTGCAAATCAGTACGAATGCAAGCATTCGAGTTTGTCAGTGCCAAGCCTTCTAAATGTGAATATCAATCCTATTGTATGATCAGATAAAGTAATCACGTGACAATGACTTGAAGGGGAAGCTGGAACTCATGGCGAAAGTGCGCATTTTCCACGAGGTTGTACTGAAAGGTACATTCAACGTGGCCAGTCTTTTCTGCCAATGCTTTGACGTAATTCCAGATCCGGTGTTTAATGTCAACCATATTACCATGTTCACTTTTAAATATGTTCTACCAGCCGCCGAAGTTTCTCTCGATACTCTGGTCTTCTTTCTTCAATTCTGCTGATGGCCTCAGTTATGTCGGATGCAATAAGGAGTAGTTTCAAGGCGGTATCCTCGGCAGTGAATGTAGACAGTATATTTTTTGAAAAAACTTATTTAGCCATGAGAGCTGAAGGCCATGGATCACCCTGAATATGCTGACATCGAGTGTACAGCCGATTAGACCTTCTGCCTGACGGCTGACGCTAAAAAGCCGATGTCGGCTGGGTCGAATGGTCATCACGTGATACCCTGATACTGATGGAGTGTACGTCATCCAGACAGCAGCCAACCAGAAGAATGATGAGTCACCTCATGCATTCCCCAGTCGCTCATTTGCCGAAAGCCGGGGAAACATTTTCGAGATTTGTTTCGGTGGTCAAGTCAAACAAACACAGGGTATCATGACTGTAAGTGCTCAATGTGGTCATTTTTGAATTGAATCGACGCAAGAACTGACACCGTTCGTCAATGTAGTCCAGACTGATGCCAGCAGGCCGTCAGGCTATGCGCAGTCCCTTCCGATCCCTGCGCCGAACCTTTGCGACGTCTCGCGCGTTCCTTCAGACATTCAACACCCAGCAGGGTTTCCATTCACAGCTCGAGACAATCGCTCCGGAAATCTTGTCATCGCTGTCGTCCAAGGCCGTTCCGCAAACTTTAACCGAAAAGATTGTTCAGAAATACTCCGTAGGACTCGCCAAGGACAAGTATGTCCAGTCTGGCGACTATGTCACAATTTCGCCTCACCGATGCATGACACATGACAACTCATGGCCTGTTGCGTTGAAATTCATGTCCATTGGCGCGTCCAAGATTCATAACCCTGACCAGATTGTCATGACATTGGACCACGATGTGCAAAACAAGACCGAGAAGAACCTCCAGAAGTACAAGCAAATCGAGAATTTCGCCAAGCATCATGGTGTCGAGTTCTATCCTGCCGGGTATGTGACAATGTGACTCTAACTACCTCAGAACGCGACCATATTCTTACAATGGGCGCTTCTAGTCGCGGTATCGGCCATCAAATCATGGCTGAAGAAGGCTTGGCCTGGCCAGGAACCCTCTGCGTTGCGTCCGATTCCCACAGCAATCATTACGGTGCGCTTGCTTGTTTGGGTACACCCATTGTGCGAACTGACGCTGCCAGCGTCTGGAGTACCGGCCAGACCTGGTGGCAGGTGCCCCCAATTGCCAAGATCACTCTGACGGGTGTTCTCCCCGCTGGCGTAACTGGCAAAGACGTGATTGTGGCACTCTGCGGTCTCTTCGACAAGGACGACGTTTTGAACCACGCTCTCGAGTTCGCTGGTTCGGAAGACACGATGCGGAGCTTGCCCATTGATAGCCGAATGACTATTGCCAACATGACTACGGAATGGGGCGCTCTGTCTGGTCTGTTCCCCATGGATGACGTGCTCAAGGGCTGGATGAAGGGCAAGGCTACTCTTGCCGCCATGGGCTTGGCGGACGGTCCGTTCAAGACGACTGCTGCCAAGCGCTTTACTCACGAGGCCATCGAGGAGCTCTTCGCCAACCCTGTGACTGCGGACAAGGGAGCCAAGTACTCCAAGGAACTCTTCCTGGATCTTTCTTCTCTGACCCCGTACGTCGCCGGCCCTAACTCTGTCAAGGTCGCCACTCCTCTCAGCGAGCTCGAGGCTGCTGACATCAAGGTCAACAAAGCGTATCTGGTCTCTTGCACTAACTCGCGTGCCTCGGACATTGCCGCTGCCGCCCGTGTCTTCAAGGAGGCCGCGGAGAAGAACGGTGGTCAGACTCCCAAAATTGCCGATGGTGTCCAATTCTACATTGCTGCCGCCTCCATACCCGAGCAGCTGGCTGCTGAGGATGCGGGTGACTGGCAAGTTCTTGTCGACGCCGGCGCGACCGTCCTTCCCGCCGGTTGTGGTCCTTGTATTGGACTGGGTGCAGGCCTTCTTGAGCCCGGCGAGGTTGGCATCAGTGCCTCTAATCGAAATTTCAAGGGCCGTATGGGCTCGACTGACGCGAAGGCCTACCTAGGTTCTCCCGAAGTCGTGGCTGCCAGCGCTCTCAGCGGCAAGCTCTCTGGTCCTGGCTGGTACAAGACCCCGGAGGGCTGGACTGGAGTCAAGCGCGGCGAGGGCGACGGTATCGCCGAGGAAGACCGCATGCTTACCACGGAGGAGGCCCTGGAGAAGCTCCTCGGTCAGCTTGATGACTTGGTGGCCGAAAACGAGAAGAAGTTTGCTCCTGAGACTGCCACCGAATCTCAGGTCGAATCATCCTCATCCGATACGTCAGGGACCGCTCTAACAGAAGTCTACCCGGGCTTCCCCGAGCGAGTGTCTGGCGAGATTGTCTTCTGCGACGGAGACAATATCAACACGGACGGCATCTACCCCGGAAAATACACTTACCAAGACAACGTCTCCGTCGAGACGATGGCCCAAGTCTGTATGTCCAACTACGACACCGAATTTTCCAAGATTGCCAAGGCCGGCGACATCCTCGTCTCCGGCTACAACTTCGGCTGTGGCTCGTCCCGTGAGCAAGCCGCGACCGCCATCCTGGCCAAGGAAATCCCCCTCGTTGTCTCGGGGAGCTTCGGCAACATCTTCTCGCGCAACAGTATCAACAATGCCCTGATGGGACTCGAAGTGCCCCGTCTTGTCAGCCGTCTGCGCGAGACTTTCAGCGATGCCCAGGGCAACAAGGTTCCTACTCGTCGTACGGGCTGGACTCTGACGTGGGATGTTCGTCGCAGCCAGATTGAGATTCAGGAGGGTCCCAACGGGCCCAAGTGGACTCAGAAAGTGGGCGAACTGCCTCCCAACGTCCAGGAGATCATTGCCAAGGGCGGCTTGGAGAAGTGGGTGAAGAATGCGATTGAAGCGTGAAAAGTGAATGGTCAAGAGGAGGTCTGTCACACCCAAAAGAAGAATAAACGGAAACAGGTGATGATGTATGGCGTGCCATTTTGTCGTGATACCCGAGCTTTGGTTTGAATAGATGCCGGCGCGGAAGAGACATGTTCTATAGATCAGAGTCGAGGTATATGTGTCTGTACGGTACAAATGAGTAATTTCCAGCTCATACCTTGAGTAGTCCTTGGCGATAAATTTCAGCAGCTTATTTGTCTCGGTTGAGTTTGACAACATGCATCACGACACCACGACACGTTGAGAACGCCGAGTAGTAAATTATGACTTGAGGAAGATGGTTCTTTCGACGTGTCAATGGTAGCTCGTACAAACAAATTCGACCATAATCACTGACATCATTCTTCATTCCCACTCTCTACCTTCCACGTCAAAAGTACCACGTAATATTTCTCCATCCCAGTCGGCACCCCAGTTCGCGGCCCTTCCCCATTCTCATACGGCCTCAAAACCGGCGTCTCAGGCACGGACCGATCCATTCACGCCGCGGCCAAAACCTCATTCCCAGACATAACGCCCGCAAACTGCGGAACCAGCGCCGACTGCTGATTATCTTCAGCCTTCAGATCATTCTCCGTTGCGCCCACCCACGTATACGCCCGAAGAGACGCAGGGTCCGCAACGAGATAGATCAGTTCCTTGGTCCCGGGACGAAAGCGAAGCGGGAATTTCCAGTGCAAGGCCCGCTGGATAATATTGTCTAGTTGATCTCGTTTGCGCATGACGGTCTCGAATTCAAAGGTGAGTTCTTCAAGGCTGGGCATGGTGATGAATTTGTTGCCCCAAGCTCTTTGAGAGGGGAACGCAGCTCTGGAGGGATCTGGGCGGGGGTATAGGCGGGCCTGGTGTTGGGAGATGGTGGCTCCTTCATGGAAGGGATTGAGGGCGAGGGGATGATTGTCTTCCCAGAACCACCAGTCTGTGTGGCGGATGGTGATGGTCCGTGTACGCGGGGAGATTTTGATGATTTGTATTCTTTGGACGTTGGGAATGGCGGTGGAAAGGGTGAGGCCTGATGTCAAAAGTTGACGCGATGCCAAGTATGATGGGAATGGGATGATGCCGTTGTGAGATGGTCTATTATCAATCTCATTGGTGGTAGCTCCTCCGACGGACTCTTTCTTCCTCTTGCGGACAACCTCGATTCCATTCCAGATGTTCGACCATGTATCCTCCAAAAAGAATTGCTGGGTAAAGAAATGGAGGTGTTGTACTTGTGATTGTTGTTTGGGGCTCATTTTACTGAAATAATCCCTGGGAGAAAAAGCGTTCTTGACATGTGGAGGACCGCGGTAGAACCAGAATGTATGCTCGCTGACTTCAGCCGGGAGAAGAGAGGCTTCTCTGTAGGTTCTCTGGCATGTTTGGAGGAGAGCGATCAAAATACGTCTCGGTTGGTTTTACCCTGGTCGGAAGCAGAACGCGTTTCCCCGATACGGGGCATTTGTACCCGTGGTCTCGTCTTCGTTGTTGTCTGCACCTCCTGGATCCCTCCGCGCTGGCTGACTCGTATCTGACCAAGGCCTTACGCCCGAGTGCTCCAAAGAAAGTGCGTAGATGCGATTGCGTGCCTCTGGCGGTAGCTTTGTGAATAAGGGACACGCATCTTGGTCGTTTTCGGGCAGTGATGGCTCTAGATCGGGTAGCTTCTCGGTCGAGGGGTCGTCCTCTTTTAGTGGTCGAAAGTCACTTTTATAAGAAGACATTTTCCTCAAGAGGGTGCCTCTTCGGTCCGTGAATGGGCGCTGTAAGTGCAATCATACATGGAGGCTCAAGTAAGGAACTGCAAGCCCAAACGATGAAGCTTGATCTCTTGCATTCGCTGCGGGATGAGTCACTGATATGGGCTGTCGATCTCAGTGTGTGTGTAATGGGTACAAATTCAGGCGGCAGCCGTTGGGTTTCAACGCTCGTAGTTATCCAAGCTCATTTATGCGGGGGTTTGTACTGACTCGCAGCTTCTGCGGTATTTGCGACATCCATCAGCCACGACCCCAGACTCTTTCAGCCACAGTGACGGCTCGAGAAATCCCTGCGTTAGTGCCACCATGATTTAAGACTGCAGGAGAACGATGCCTGAATTCTGAAGAGAGAATCCAGGGAGACAAGAAGTGCATCGGTAGTCCAAGGCTATTCTGATCAATCGTAATCCAAAATGACCGGCGGAAGTACTGTATAGCTTGACAAATGGAGGCCTCCAAGAAGGAGAATATAGTGAATATTGAGGCGGAGTACCAACTGGAGACGCCCAGAAAGGCGGCTTCCGCCCGCAGAAAGTGGGACTGGGACACTGGCCGCTCTGTCATCAGATTGTTATAGCCTAATGTCGTGGGTTTGATTGTAAATTCGTACAGGATCCGGGGATGCTACACCACATTGACGGAGAACGCATGCGATGAGGAATCACTTCGCAGAGCTCAGTTCAATCCACAAGCTTCGACAGTGTCCAAGTACCAGCCAACCGACTGGGACGTACAAGGTCGAATCGGAACCATGGCGACCAGGCTCAGCCCTATTGCCATTGTTCCTCACATACTGTCGCAGTGTGGAACTGTGGATAGCAGTATAACCTCTTTTTCTCGGGCACGAACAAGAGAAGCCTTCCTCAAAATCCGGAGCCACTTGGGATCGCTTGGCATCTCGACAAGGGCGCTTAGTCGTAGACATAAGGCCGGGCCGTCTGATCTTGAATAACTGGAGGGTCTCAATGACGGGGATGAACAGCCACAGATCAAGTCCAGCTGTTTTCTATGATGAGCACGTGTTCGCAACCCCTAGCGAGCACGTGGTCCGCATCGAACGTGTTGGTCAATTCGCAGACGGGTTTTCGTCGCCCCCACGTGCTCTTCTCCCACCTCAAAGACATCACCTTTCAGCTTCAATCAATCAGGCGGACGAGTTTCCATTGTCCCCACGTGCTCTTCCCCAACATAAAGACATGAAGTTTCCAGTTCTATCAGGCGTGGGAAAATCTTTTCCGGTCTCGCTACCAAGTCGAAGCGAATCCTGACAGGTTATGGACAAGTCGTTGTGGTCCCTCCGGCACTAGAACAATCTGAATCGAATCAGGTACCCAATGCGGCAAACAAGTCCGCCGCAATTAGCAGACCTGCCGACATACTCGTCGTCACCCGGGTGCGTCCACATATCTCAAGTTGAACGGCCTCGTGTTCGGTCATAAGCTCGCAATCAAATAGCGTTAGCAAATGTGGACAGTCCCTGTCAGGGACCACATCAAACCCATCCAACGGGACCCTCTCGATCGCCCACATGTTCTTTAAGTAAGCTTCTGGAGGCGGCCCACTCTGGCGGCCAGCGTGCTTTCTCTGCGGTCCGTGCTCAATTGAGTAGTCCATCGAATCAGCAGCTAACTGTGTCCTTCGGACATTGTTCGCAGGATCAAAGCATGCTAACTGTGTGGGCCCTGTACTTGTTCCTTGCGCGCTGATGGACCTCTCTTCAAGAGAGGAAGGTCGTCGAAGCCAATGTCTACCTGCTTGAGAGATGCGGGCCTGACTATTTAACAAGGCAGGTCGCTGCCCGTTTCTGACCTGGCAGCAAGTTGATTCCAAAGCACTCAGTCATCGAGCCCTTTGTCAAAATGGGATTCGCAACCAGCAAGAAACTCTCAGCCACCTTGGCAGCAATGCCTTTGTTGGCTCTTGCGGCCAGTGACAAGACCGGCATCAATTCGCAGGTTCGTCTGGCCTATCATGGCGACAACGGCATGATGGTGTCGTGGAACACCTTCCAGCAGCTGAGCAAGCCTACTGTCCATTTTGGTCTGTCGCCCGACAACCTCAACGAGACAGTGTCGTCCGCCATCTCAGTCACTTACCCAACCTCATTGACATACAACAACCATGTCCTCCTGACCGGCTTGACGCCCGACACAACCTACTACTATTCTCCTTCGTCCTTGGTCGACCAAGCTCCATCGAAGCCCTTCAACTTCACCACCAGCAGAGTTGCCGGTGACAATACTCCTTTCTCCGTCGCTGTCGTCATCGACTTGGGCACCATGGGTGCTCGCGGTCTGACCACCAGCGCAGGCAAGGGTGTCGACCATGGCAACATTCTCGCACCCGGCGAGACAAACACCATCCAGTCGCTGACCAAGTACCAGAATGAGTACGAGTTCATCTGGCACCCTGGTGACATTGCCTATGCCGACTATTGGTTGAAGGAGGAAATCCAAGGCTTCTTGCCCAATACCACCATTGAAGAAGGGGCCAAGGTCTACGAGGCGATTCTCAATGATTACTATGACCAGATGATGGCTGTGACCACCACAAAGCCGTACATGGTCGGTCCTGGTAACCACGAGGCCAATTGCGACAACGGCGGAACTACTGACAAGACTCGCAACATTACATACACCTCGGACATTTGCGTCATGGGCCAGACCAACTTCACCGGATTCAAGAACCACTTCCGTATGCCAAGCGATGTCTCCGGCGGTACTGGAAACTTCTGGTACTCGTTCGATAGCGGCATGACGCATTTCATTCAGCTCGACACTGAGACGGATCTGGGCCACGGTCTCATCGGCCCCGATGAGGTGGGCGGCACAGAGGGGATCAATGCCGACCCCGTCAACGCCACCATGAACGCTCAAACCAAATGGCTCGAGGCCGACCTTGCTGCGGTCGACCGTGCCAAGACTCCCTGGGTCATCGTCGCCGGTCACCGACCCTGGTATCTCAGCCACAAGAACACCACGGGAACAATCTGCTGGTCCTGCAAGGACGTCTTTGAGCCTTTGTTCCTGAAGTACAGCGTCGATCTAGTCCTGTCCGGCCACGCCCACGTCTACGAGCGTCAAGCCCCCATCAACAACGGCGTCTACGATACCGCGGAGTTGAACAACCCTAAGGCGCCCTGGTACATCACCAACGGTGCCGCCGGTCACTATGACGGTCTGGATGCCCTCAGTTCCGACCGTAAGAACTACAGCCGTTTCGGTCTCGACACTTACAACGCTACCTACGGTTGGTCGAAGCTGACATTCCACAACTGCACCCACTTGACCCACGACTTTGTCGCCAGCAACAACGGCAGCGTCCTAGACACGGCTACGCTGTTCAAGAACCGCAACTGCAGCACCGGCAGTGTGACCGGCAGCAAGCCGAGCAGCACTGGCGGCGCCACCGGTGCAGCGAGCTCCACTGCTTTCCCTGGATCTGCCACTGCTGTGACTGTGTCTGGCAGTGTCTGGACCATCTTGGCGGCTGCTGTGGCTGTCTTCGCCTTGTAAATATAACGCTCTGGCTTACTTTATCTTCGGATCTTGACTTAGAGGATGGGTTGAGTCCACTTAGTCCTCAATGTGACAATAGGTAAATAGAGCAATACACTACCAGTTGTGATTTGAAGTGCGAAATACAAATTGATCCGCGGTCCAGATTTAGCATAACATTGCCCGTCTTTCTTGACATTTCTTCTACTGTAGTTCTCTGTTAACAGGGAAGATCATGTAAACTTCGAATAAAGTGTCCTCCATCAGGGTATTTGAATCCTCTCATATCTAGGACTGCCTGCATAAGTCGTCTACGACCAAGATATAGGTATCCCATAGGTCGATGCTCATTCGCGATTGAACTCGTCTACCTGAAAGTGTCGGCAGCAAAAGCGTGGTATTGACGGGAGAGGCCTCGAAAAAGAAAATTTGAATATATTAGTCTATGTGTTGAACTGTACACGGTTTGAGTCTTTCGCTCGAGCGATCGACTAGTCACCTCTAAGTTAAATGTTGAAAGATCTTACACCGATATACATTTCCGTTGCAATTCCATCCCGAAAAGCCATCCGAGCGAATTGACGAAGAACAAGAACCACTATCCAACTAGCGCCGGCACAGACATATGAGAACAAAAAAACAATATATCATGGGGAGCTCACGAGACGTTCTGTGATGATCTGAAGACATTACAGACCGTTCGCAACTTGGTCAACATTTCATCCCATTCACCCTCTGCTGTGCTCAGCGTAGTGACAGCACCCCCGGCACCAATTTTCCATGTCTGGTACGGTTCAGGCACAGCATTTTGCTCTGGTACATGGGTAAAGGCAGTTCGAATCAGGACCGAGAAGCTGCCTCCGCCCCCCAGATCCAGATACCCCATCACCCCGGAGTAGATACTTCGTTTGCGAGACTCAATGTGGCGGAGATGCATGCATGATCGCTCTTTGGGCGCACCGGTCATAGAGCCAGGTGGGAGACAACGCTGGAGCGCTGTGAGACCATGGACCGCCATATTGGAGGACTTCAGCTGAGACATATGCCGCACTGCATGGCCCAGGCTTTCAGGCCGTACTTCGCCCTTGACGTGTGTGATCATCTGGTAGACTCGGCCGTGATCTTCGACTTCGAGAAGTTTTTCGACGTGGACGCTGCCAGATCCGCAAATACCGTACAAGTCGTGGCGGATGAGATCGGCAATCATGAGGTTTTCGGCCATTTCTTTTGTTGTGCTGAGGATTTCACGAGCTTTTAACATGGTCATCTCGGGTGTTTTGCGGACGGTGCCTTTCATGGGTTTCATTTCAAGCATGGATCTGCGGTCCCAGTTGAGGAAACATTCAGGACTGCTGCTGGCGATCTTGGTGCGACCGAGGTCAGCGAATGCGCTGAACGCGGCTGGGTTGTATTTTCTGAGTTTTTTGTATAGTTTCCAGGGGAAGATGGCTTGATCTTCATGCGACTTTGGAGTGGGTAGGATGATGGAGGTTTCAGATGTGAGGCACAACTCGTAAGATTCTCCTGCTTCGAGCTCGGCTTTGCATTCTTCAATCTTTTGCTTGTATACCTCTTCTTGCGGGAAATTGAACTGCACGTGCTGGAGTATTGAGTCCAGAAATTGACTATCGGCAGCTCCGTCTTCTGGGACCGACGAGGATTTCTCTTGGAGAAGTCGCAGTTTCTCGTCTAACCAACCGTGTGACGTGTCATCTGCGGCAGATGTAGATTGTATCACAACTCTCGCAGAAGCATTATCAATGACAATGCTTCTTTCACACCACAAAAGACTGACGTCGGCTGGTGTGTCCTCGCTATTTTGACAATCTGAGGGTACGTCAGAGTAAGCGGGCTGCGGCGAGTCCTTTGGATGAGGAAGACAGGCTAGCCCAAGCTCATATGAGAAATACCCCAGGAAACCGCCCCAAAAAGGTGTCTCTGGGCAGCCAGCATCGACTCGCTTCTTGTCCATCAAGTAGCGAAGTGCATCCCACAGCTGAGTCACCGTCAAGGTGGCTTCCAAAACCAAAGGCTCGGCGCCACCAACCTGATACATGGTCAACTTTTGAGGCTCGGTTCTGTATTCGAATCGCCAGGACCCAGAACTGGGAACAGAGATGATCGTATAGCAGCCATTGGACTGGAACAAAGCAGTCGGAAATCCGGGCTTGTTGAACAGCTCATTGACCGACTCCGCAGTCAAAGGACCAAGTGGGAGGGAACGATAGGCCGAGGAAGACGATGTTGACGCACTCCAGCGAAGCATCTCATGTGCTATCTCAGGGAAAGAATCTGGCTCTCCAAATTTCGTGATCGCTGTGTCAGACAGGGTCGCAGCCCCTCCCCGTCCTACAAGTTTGTTATATGTAAGAGCTTTGCGCCACCAATTCAGCAACAATGTCTTGCAGGCATCCCTTTCCGATTTGCATGATTCCGGGTGGAACTGAACGCCCCAAAAGGGCTTTTGCCGATGACAGACCGCCATTGCAATCTGGCTAATTGACCCGGACTCTAACTCAAGAGGGAGCCAAGCCAGAAAATCCAGGTGATTAGATTGCGCAGCCTGAGACCTATCCAACCCGTCCAATTTGGCGTAGAGCGAATGGTACAAGGTGACCTCCATATCAGGTAGGCTGTCAAAGATATCTCTTCCCGCTGTGGAGATGAGACGAACCTGTCCGTGGAGTGGGTAAGGTAACCGCTGAATCGGCACCCCATGATGCAGGCACAGACTCTGGAAGCCTAGGCAGATACCGAACACTGGAAGAAGCTCGCTGTCCTGCAGATTCCAGATATCTCGCATGATTCCAACGTCCTTGTGCAGATTAGGGTCACCGGGACCAGGACCCAAGACGATGGCTTCAAATTTTCGGAGAAAGTCGTTCATGTTGCCGTTCGGCCAGTCGGAGTCAATAGTTATGACAGTTACTCGGACGTCGAGTGTCTCTTCAAGCATGGCGACCACATTGTAAGAGAATGAGTCGTACGCGTCGACATACAGAACATTTTTTGCGGACGGAGCCTCATTTGGAAGTTTGTGTGACGAGGATGTCCCTTCTTCTTCCCATGTTCCGAGCAATGGCGCCATCCTGAGATCTTTTATGTGTCACCAGTCGAGATGGCCAACGGGAGTGTCAACAAAAAACCAGATGATTCCAGATACCGCCGAACGGAGGCCGAACGACGAAAATCCTGACTTATAATTTTCTCGTTTCAGATCTGCGAGACGGCTGGAAGTTGGCTTTTTCCTGAGGATTTGACTAGCGCTCCCTTAGCCCGATCGAGTCAATGAAATATTTCCCGTGGGGACTCCGCGATTGCAAGCCCTTCTCCGGTGGATAGAAAAGAGTGTCCAAAGAAAGAGGAGAACTGTATTGCGGATAGTGCTAATTCAATCGATAGCGATCGGCAAGATCACGTCGATCAATCCAGCATTGTTTGATGAATCATCCTGTGAAATTCGCCGTTAGAAAATGTCAGATCGTAGGTTGAACCTTATTTGGACGTCCACGCGCAGCGCTTAAGTAATCAGGCAAGAAACCTCTCCCGTCGGGGCTGTCAAGACTCAAGTCCGATCTTGAAATCGGGTGTTTGAGTTCTCTATACGTCAAAAACTAATACCCGAAGTGAATAAAGACAAACAAAAAATCTCGGTCTCAGAGAAGTCATTCGGGTCAGGTCTATCAACAATATATACGTGTCGCCAAACCCTGCGTCCCAAATCTTGACCAATTCACTGCTGCCGTGGCTGCGGTAGTGTGGCGAGCTTTGCAGCGACTTTGGGGAAATATTGAGCCACAAAGCCCTCGGTATAGTAGCTGTGTGCAGAGCTATGATCGCCCACGAGGTTATGAGCCAATTCATGGCACAGAATTACCCACCAGTAGACGATCGCGTCGGTCCGGTCAGGTTTGGCGCTCTGAAGCAATGCCTGCTCCTGGAGTTGCTGGAAATAAAAGTAATTGCAGAAGATGCTACCAGCGCGATTAAAAGCAATGGTCTTGCCACCGGGGTCGTAGAAAATGCTCAAACTGTCTGCCCGCATAGCGAAGATAGAACCACAGTCTAGGAGAACCGATGCAAAAAGATTGATACCGTTGCGGTTGGTGGCGAGGAAGGCCGACCGATCTGTGACGGTTCTCACGAACAGCACGTTCACACCACTGGGAAGAGTCGCAACAAATTCAAGATCATGGCTTGGTCTCTCATCACAGTACGATTTGCTTTCTGAGATCTGGTTCGTCTCGGGTCGGCTGTACACGTCGGACGACCCGTGGGGTCGGCATGCTTGAACGGCGGAGAGGAGTTCTTGGTTCAATCGATGAGGCGAACTAACCGAGGCGGTCTGTTCAGGTCGCTTGTTTTGTGGGTCCGAGGCAGAGTACGGAGGAGGCGGCTGTGAAGATACGTTGCTCTCATTGAGTAGCGATCGTGACTGCTCCGATGTTGAAGACGAGGGGTTTTTATCTAGTCCAAAGCGCTTTGTCAAATTCGCAAATAAGCCACGGGGGGCCCTTTCGGGCACAGAGGGTTCGGCAGGCTCGCTGTGCTTGTCTATCGCGGTTGACTTGCTCTTCGGTGATTCAGGAAACACGCCTGGCATTGGGCTTTGTGACTGTTGAACGGGCTGTTGGGTGGGATGCTGCTCTTGGGAACGCTGAGCCTGAGCCTCAGCCCAAGCGGCTTCCTTCGCCTTGAGAGCCTGTCTTTCCTCTTCGAGCTGTTTCTGTCGCTTATCTTCAGCCATTCGAGCCTCGTGAGCTTTCTGTCTCAAAATACGCTCCACATTGTAACCACGAGCACGGAGCTCCAAGAGATCAGTCTTGAGCATCATCTCCAGCGTCAGAGTAGAGTGAAGCTTGGGGCGTTTGAGTATCAGATGCACAAGAGACTGGCTGATCTCGTAAATTTCATATTCACCTGGACAAATACACAGACCCCATCCAGTGGACAAGCGCGCAACAATCGCACTTCTTTTTTGAGTATGGGACGCCCTGCGGCCCGTCAAGGAACGAGTCAACGTCATTGAGTTGACAACTTGGACGACGAAGCTAGTCTCTAGCCATCTTGCCCCGTGCTGAATTGAATCGGCCGGTTGGTCATGCAAGAACAGTCGGGCCCGCTCCAGAATGAGTTTGTGCAGTCTGGCACCAGAACTTTGATCGGCCGCAACACTCCCGAACCGCGTTTGCTCTTCAACTAGACTGCTCAGTGGCACAGCGCCCAGTGCTGAATAGAAATTTTCCAATGCCTCCTCCTGTGGCGCAGCCAGAATGTGCTCTTTGAACAGATTGAAGCTCTGGAAATCATCCACGACAACAAGTTCTTTCGCCGCAGCCAGACTCCACTCCCGAATGTCCAGATCTTCCTCTGCGTCCATGCTTTTGTCATTTGACGGGCTTTTACCAGTTTGCGTTGTCGCCTGGGCAGGAATATCTCGGCTGGCTAGAAGAAACTTGGCTCGCTTCATTTCGCTGAACAGCTCTCGGTCTTTCTTGAGCACGGGGAGGTGCTCCGCCAATGTTCGCAGAAGCATCAAATATTTGTCAGAGCTTTGGAAGGTTGCCGAAATACGAGCGGGCTCTCGGACTAGCATGCGAGCTATCTCATTTTTAGTGGGTTCCCTCCTTGAACCAACTGCCATGAGGAAGAGATTTGCTTCTTGTCCAAAATCAACAAAGTCGAATATGTCCTTGTAGTCTTCACCGTCACCCAGGTAGCAGAGCCTGGGTGCGACAAATCGAACTCGGGGCCCTTCCTCGGATGCACCGCTTGCGGTAACAGGAATAACTGGGGCATTGCCGACCCGCTCAATATCTTGTGAGCTCAAGTCCGAGACTCTGCTAGCCAGGTACTTGAACATGCTTCGCGCATCTCGTTGTGTGGAAGGGGGCTGACGGATGAGGATCTGCAAGCATTCGGACAATGGGGGGTGGGCCTTCACACCCAATTTAGAAGCATGAGGGTGGAGACGCCTCTGCAGGATATCGAGCCCGAACAAGGAGGCACCTTCATCGGTGAAACATCTTTTCGGTGTACTTAATTTGTCTGCGCCTTCCACGGGAAGGAAGGGTACTGTGACAGCGCCAATATCAAATGCGGCATACCCGTTGGTGTGGTATTCATTCAGAAAGTAGATCAGGGCTTTGTTTTTCCGTGTCACATCTTTTTCTGAATCACTCATGACCATGAGTCGAACAAGTTCTGAACCTGTCGGGTAACTCTTCAAGCCCATCATGCTCAAAAACTTGCCTTCATTACTAGCATTGTTGTAAATCCCAGGCCACTCAATGATGGGCAGTCCCAGGGCGCGGAGTGAATCTTTTGGCTCATAAAGTTCAGCGATCTTATACCGGGTGCCATGGCTTTGGGAGTCATTTTCTGCAGTGCAAGTGCTTGTATTTTTGAGTCTCTGGATGTCGTTGGCTGGAATATCCTCACGAACAGATGCCAGATAGCGGATCAGGTCCACATGGTTCCATCGTCTAGTCGGTGGGCCTTTGACATCGGTGGAATCCGGAGAATTGATGAGCCTGTCGAAAATAACGCCCAATTCGACAGTCTTGCGAACGCCCAAGGAGACGAGGAATTTCTCTTTGACGCCATTCAGACCATGCACGACGGGTAAATCGTCGAACAGCCTGACAGAGGCGAAATATGTCTGTGTTGGCTGCTTCATCCCGAACCTTGTCGGAATCACAGTCTTGGGCTGTAAAATCTCAACAATTGCTTGCCGCGAGGCTGAACTCAGGGTTTCCCAGACCTTGGACAAGACCGGAAGCACTTGCCCAGCGAATGCGGGACTCTTCAGAATGTTTTGCTCATGAGTCAACAAGCTCTCGTCGTTTGCATTGGTTACAAGCCATCGGGTCCACGGTACTATCTGCAGCTCGCCCCAACCGAAAGCCTCCAATTCTGCTTTGCTCTGCGATTTTGTGAATTTGAAGGGCATCACCGCGGGGGGGACCGGCAGATCAGCCGGTATCCTGTGAGGATTCAAAAATCCTGCGATGTCGGCAAAAACGATGAGTCGCGTAGGGTTGCCGTCTTTGTCCTCATCGTTGGCGACAGCGACTCGCAACAGGCTCTTCACCGAAAGCTCGTCAAGTTGTCCATTAACGGCTTTATGGCCTAGCCAGGATAGGAATTCTGAGATCTGGCTAGGTCGCAAAGTATGAGACTCCAGTTCGCGTTTGATGTCAGAGACAGTTATCTCTGTCACAAGCCCGAAGTCTGTCAATTTTTGCACAAAGTCTTTGGCCTCTAGCACCAATTCGTTCGGCAAAGCTGGAATGGAATCCATGAAGCTAAGATCTTTAGGTGCGATGCGAGTCTGGTGACTCGGGATCACACCGCATGTTGAAAGTATCTCAATGGAGGCGTTTTTGTTACACATCCAGAAGGCATCCTCTATCGTCTGTCCCAGCATGGAGGAGGGTGTTGATTCGCGGAAAACAAATTGGTTGGCGGTATGAATCGCTTCCGGAAGAACGTCAATGATATCCTCCTTTCGAATACTGGACGTGCGCGTCGATCCAACTGTAGCAGCAATTTTCTGCTTGATTGTGCTCATTTCTGTCGACCATGCGATTCGGCAGACGATACCCACTGCTCTTAGCATTTCAATATTCCACTTGCTAATATAGCGGGTATTGAGATCAATACTTTCACGTTCCACGGTTGGAATCACGGACGGCGCAGATACATGAGCGTTGAGGCCCGTTGTTTGTTGCGTAGGGAACCCAATGAATATTCTCCCAGCTTTAGTTGGGAGGATTGATGCCAGAATGTCAGATTGCGATTCTGACCCGCCAGTTGCGATATTGGCATCATAGGATGGTGTCAATATGGCGATGGTTGCCCTCTTCGGGGGCGGCTTTCGAGTAGCTCGTTCTAACTCTTTGCTAAGCGACGTGCTGATTGAGGGTTGAATTGACGCGGTGTTGATGTGTAGAAACACAGTCGCCCTCAACATTACAGTCATACTTTCTGTCTCGTCGGCACGGTCTGCTTTGGGGGCTTGAATCTGCTTTTCGGGTCCGGCCTGACTGGTGAACTTGGAAAAGAAGCTGCGCAGAGAGCTTGTAGTATCACGCAGGTTGTCCAGGCGGAACATGCTGGCATTGGGATTCCACTCGACAATGCGCATCCAAGCGGCATCGACTTGAGCAATCTCCTGGATTATGGTAGTGACTTTCATGAGCCCGTCGGTGGTTCTTGTTTCAATGTCTCTGGGGATCGGCACAATGACGCCAGGCGCGGTTTTCTTTGAAAGCTTCAGCAGATTCCAGTCGTCCAGCCACAGTTCAATCTCTTCTAAAGCCACGAAGGTTAAGCTACATGACAAAAATTGGCACAGCTGCATCAGCTGTGGGACTGGAGAAGAGTCATTGCGGTAATCCAGTACGAAAGTGGTGTCTGCTGACGGCGTGTCACCCGTGTCAAGGCGACGCGTGAATAAGGCGTTGCCCTTCCAATAAAAAGCCATCGCGTGATTGCCAGATGAAACAAATGGCTCTTCACAATCGTCGAAAACACTGTAGAATCCAACACCAAATGCTCCGATCTTTGTCTCGTCCGGATTTCCGTCGGCAATGCGCTTCAACCGGGCCCAGTCCTTCTCACTAAATGGAGAGCCGTTGTTTGATATCAATAAACGTCGAAGTGTATGGTTTGATATCGTGTGCTTGAGGAGAGCTGTGGGATCTGTTGATGAGGGGGACGGAACTGTCGTAGAAGGCAGAGTTTCGAATTTGATAGTCACTTTGGTTGCGGAAGCATCGGCGGCATTTTGAATCATTTCTCGAAGTACAGTCCTATGATTATATGATTAGCCTCTTGACAGTCCTCTAAGACATCACGCAAGCTTTGTACCAACCATTTTCCAGAATATCGAGCAAGAACTTTGGAGATGAGACCTCGAGTATCCACCGTGACAGCCTCCTCATCCGCGCCGGACCCCATGGTGCGGGCTTTGAGCGCATTGTAATCCATTTTGAGAGCCATACTGAGATACTTGAATTCAAGCGACAGGCTTCAATATTTGGCGTATTCAATGTCATCAGCGGAGGCGATACTTTGCTGATATCAGTTGTGTTTTGGGCGTCTCCCAGCCCAACAACAATGTCTCGCGGAGGAAAAGAGAATGGAATAAGTAAATGCCGTTAAAAGCTACACACGGCGTCACTCCTATGTATAGCGCCAAGCTAATGAGAGCCGAAATCCTGGCTCCGATCGGACAACTCAGGATAACATCGCCCGTACTGACAGCTCGACACTTCGGTGACAGCGGAGACATCCCCTTATCAGGCGGCCTCGATCTCTTATCAGCTTCGGACCCTCGTCTACCTCCATGTCGGGTCCGTTATGCTTATCTAATCACTCGCTGTTCCCACTCTCCGCGGGCCAGCGCAGTCAAGGTATTTGTGTCCATGCGGAGTAATTGTCCTCGGTCGAGCTCAAAAAGCCTGCCCCCTCGAACGCCAGAATACATTACGCGGGGCACATCTTGCTGTTGTATTTTCTGTGCTCTAAGCTTGAGCTCCTAAGTCTCATTCTTCGGCCCTGAGCGCATTTGCATTTACTCTGAATGCGGGCCTCAAGCTGTCAACCGCCGCTATTTACCCCATCCACCTTCGCACGCTACAATGGGGGTTGACACACTTTCTCCAATTGCGCCGGTGCGCTTTAGGGCTTTACTTCTTCCAATTGGGAAAATCAAGCGTTCACGGTTCTTGAGTTTTGCTTCAAGACTTCAAGCGGAAAATGTGGTGCGACTGGGGGACATTAGTCCCGATTCTCGACCAAATCGAAGTACGCAGTCGCGAGTCTTCACGCATGACAGTATAATCCTCTAGTGAGGCCATTGCTGACCATGCGGCCTCACAGACATGTTCTCTCCGCTTGCCTTCCCCACTGGTATGATTCTCTACGACCTGTCGTTCTCCGTACCCCCGACCGACCACCTAGAGCTCTTTCCGTTCGAGACGCACCGAGAGCCGCTTGTTGTTATTGCAATCGCGGATGGCACAGAGCTGTCCGAGAGTAAAAACGCTAGTTCGAACCATCCTGCGCCGCAAGAACTGGATCAGCTACAAGAAGAGCTCGAAACCTTGAAGGACAACCATCCGCGAGCGTTGGTGAATCAGCTTTTGATTTTTGACTACGATGGCCTTGACAATATCACGAACGGTCCGGAGAATGTGCTTTGGGTTCCTCGACTAGAGGCCTCCAAGGCGACGACTATGAAGACCGTTCTATGTGACGTGACGTCCGTCTTGTTGTCAGAATTGGATCAATTTGCCAAAACTATTCAAAACATTCCTTCCATAGACTCGCCACGAGCCTCGTCGTGGGGCCCAACTCGACAGCCCGAGCTGCGATCACGATTGATGGATCGAGTGTTGAACAGGATGACACTTCCCGCGCAGATGCCGTCCAACCCGAATGGGTCCCTGCCGGATACAGTCCTGAGTTCAAAAACAACGTCTCCTGCGCCATCTGAACATGAAACCCCTACCACGTTCGATGAAATCACCCGCTCTATACATCTGACTCGAACGAACTCGGGAGGGCGAAGCCCTGCAATAGCGTCGCCAAAGGAGCATAGTCGCGATCGTATGTCTGTCAGCGGTCTAAGCGCCACGGACAGAACGAAGAATCGCATCAAGGGCAGATCCGGAGTAGTCGTCGGCACACTCTTCCTGCAGGCGGGAAGGTGGCCTGACGCCTTGAAAGAATTAGTCGAAGCAGCAAACAATGCGCGGGCTGCTAGTGACTACATCTGGCATGCTAAGTCACTGGAGAATATTCTAATATGTCTTGTGATGCACGCATGGGCAGGAATGGATTTTCAAATACCTTCTATTCTCTATCCTGTCGCCGATAAAGCCTCCAGAGCTGTGAGAGATGCTCTTCAGGGACCAGCTGCCCTCGGGAATCGTCTTGTATCTCTCCAAAATCTGACCAACTTGCTACCCGATCTTTCGAACACCATCGTCAACCTATACATTCGGGCTGCGAATATGACCGACGAACCTCTTCCGCAGTTGATATTTTCTGAGACCGTAATCCGACTGTCGAGATTAATCGTATCAGCTCGCGTTAGAGACGGCGGGCTTGACGATAACGCCTTGAAACATATTGTTATGAACGAGCCGTTGCTTCCCTTGCTGCAGCCGGAACTACCACGCGGCACCGTGTTGATGCGCAGGTCTGATATTGCCAACTTCCTCTACCGTGCTCTACCTCTTGCTGCTGAAGCCGAACTGCCCGCCACCGACTCCGTTCCCATTATTGCGGGTGTCATTTCCGTTCTGAATCTCCTCGATCTGCCCCGTAAGAAAGCATTTGTGCTTCGCGAGCTTCTTACTGTCATTGTACCCAGCCTTGTGCAGGCTCGAAAGATCGGTGCCGCAGAGGCTGGAATCCATCCTGCTGCTGGTTTAGGGTCTCTTAATGACACGGCCTTTGATGTGAATGCGCTAGATATCGGTCATGGCAACATGGAGCAGAGTGTCCGCCTCCTTCTAGCGTCAATTGGTGAGACTTATGGTGCCCAGCCATCGGCATCTCACGAGTGGCAAAAGCGACAGAGCCGAATGTCTGGTAGTGGGAGTGAGAAAGAGCTGCCCGCCTATGATTCCCTTTCAAGTATTGTCGACCGCACGTTCCGTCATATTGCCCTCGATCAGTACGGTGATCTCAACCTCAAAGTGGACGTTCTCAAAGCATGCATCAACTGCTGCGAGGCGCTTCCCGACTTTGATGGCGTGCTGCGCTTCACGGTCGAGCTACTGCAGACTATTCGGGGAGAATTGATGCTCAGCGAGGGTCAAAGGATACCGCCACGTCTGCCCCGTGACGAGCAGATTCGTTTATTGAACAACATCAAGCGTACGGTCGACGCTGGAAATCGGCTCGGTGCGTCGACCATGGCTGCTGAATATTGGGATGATTTCTTGGTCCGCGACGTACAATTACTGCCCTTGCCTGACGCACGACGGCCTGTCAGTAGATTGAAGACAGAATTGGACGCAGCCACAACTAACTCAGAGAAGGCGAAGAAAGATCCTTTTCTCTATAACCCCTTCGCAAAGCCGAGCAGCAAGGCCCTGGAGATCTTGACTGTCACTGATGAGCCTGCATCATTTCGAGTGACGCTTCAAAATCCTTATGAGTTTGAAGTTGACATTGAATCACTGCGGCTTGAAGGCGAAGGGCTCAGATTTGTGGCGGAAGCCGAGAACATTGTAATTGCTCCGCTTTCTCTTCAAGACGTCCTGGTCTTAGGTACCGCTTACGAGGAAGGAAGCCTGACTATATCTGGCTGCTCAGTGAAGATACGGCATTGTCGGGAACGCAAGTTCCTCATTTTCAAGTCAATATGGAGGCCGCTTCCCGAGGTCAAATGCAAGCGGACTGGTCTTTCAGCAAAGCAACCACTCTGTGACCGCCCACTGTCATGGAGCTCAGTTACAGCCAAGGATGGAAAAGTGTCTACCAAAAAGGGCCCTGAAACGGATTCTTGCCAAGTCAAGGTCATAGGCAGGCAGCCATCCATGATTATTGAATCAATGTCGCTTTCACAGTCAGCAGTAATGCTCCTCGAAGGCGAAATTAAAACATTCTCGGTCACTCTTCAAAACACGTCCGCATGCCCTGTGGACTTTGTGTTGTTCACATTCCAGGACTCGACTACCCGTCAACTCCAGTCAGCATTAACAAACAAAAACCTCCAGCCTGTTGAGATCTACGAATTAGAACTCAAACTTGCAACTCAGCCTGCCCTGAGGTGGAGACGGGAGGGTCCGCAGTCTGATGACTGTTTTATCGCTGCTGGAGGGAAAGCAACGTTTAATGTGGATGTCTTGGGCAAGCCTGGACTGCAAGATACGACCGTTCAGATTGATTATTCATACGTCAACAAGGAACAAAACCAGCTGCCGGATGTGTTCTATACGCGGCAGTTGTTCGTTCCTCTCACAGTAACCGTCAATGCGAGTGTGGAGGTTGCTCGTTGTGATATTTTGCCATTTGGAGGGGATTTTGCATGGAAAAATAATCTCAATGGTTCTTCTGAATCGACCGAAGAAGCATGTGGGCTTTCTATGTCTGCCAGCGTGGAAGACCCGTTTTCTGGGATTTTGACTCGACTGGGCAATGGTGCATATGGATCAGATCACTGCATTGTTCTACTGGACGTGCGGAACGTATGGCCCAGTCCACTTTCCGTCTGGCTCCGCGTGAACGAGCATGCCATCGCACAAACCCCAGAATCCTTCAAGGACAATAAAGCAGGTCAATACGCTGTCGACGGCCATCTGCAACCCGGCCAAGTCTCGCGGTTCGTGCTTGTGCTACCCCGCGTCTATCTGGATAATCCATTTGCAAGCATTCCACTGGTCAACACGGGCAATCGCCGGCAATACGTCGTCAGTGCAAACAAACTCACTTTCGAAGCCGAAGGAGCTTCTCGCGAAGCCTTCTGGTTCCGTGAGGAGCTTCTGAAGCGTGTCAATGGAGGGTGGTCTGAGCCCGCAACTGGCCGCAAGGGATCCATCGATTTGCGCAATATCCGACTGAATACGCGCATGGTGGAGGCTATGCGTCTCGAAGACGTCGAAGTTAGCTTTTCCCTCTCTGGCCCCGAATCAAAAGACAACAAATCGAGTGTGACACAGACCGGCCGTTCCAAATTCCATGCACAAACCGACGACCTTCTCACTCTGACCGTCACCGTTCACAATCGCTCCTCCCGCTCTATTCATCCAATTCTCCGCCTCCAGCCCAGTCTTCGTCACCAGCCGAATAACATCGCGCTTGATCTCACCCGCCGTCTCGCATGGACCGGTATGCTTCAGCAAGCATTGCCCGTCCTGCCAGCCAGAGAATCAACCAAAACCACCATCGGGCTCACGATTCTCTGCCGCGGCGAGTACGAAGTTGGCGCTAGCATCGAAGAAGCCAGACTTTTGCGTCCGTCAGAAGAGAGTGGTAAGGGTGACGGTGCCGGTACGACTACTCAATTCAGAGAAGACGGTATTGAGGACACATTTGGTGCGGGCGTTGTAAAGCGTCGACGCATCTGGCACGCGAAGGAAGGTTGTGTTATTCTGGCTCATCATTAAAAAGGCTGCTACGATTAAATGTGGACGTTCTTGATGATTTTTCCCGTATCATGACGAAAATAGATGCACATACTAATACCATTCTCATTGATTCCCTTCCTTTCATCTTCTAGGTTGAGCTTTTCATGGTGTGAAGCCAAACATTTCATGTGATTTTTTGTCATCCAAAAAGGTCAGGAGCAATTAGGCTAGTTCATCATAAAGGTACAAAACGTAGATATTCCGATGAGGGTCACGATCACTTTCTTCGCACCCTCGAGCTTCCTAATGAATTGATGAGAATTCAGTATGTGTGGAGAATCTAAAACAGGTTTCTCGCAATCTGACCACTATAAAACTCAGTCAACTGGCGTGGCTGGACATGCAGAACAACGATGTAATCCTCGTTCAGCCTGTGGTATAGGCACACCAGACAGCTCTTCCATCGTGACAGCTGTTCTCAATTCCGACAGAGGGCCTCCTTGGGGATGAGACGATTTCCTAAAAAAAGCTTGGCGGCTTGCCGAGACTGTTCGGGTTGTTGAGGGCCTACTCACGGTGAAGATCGGGCTGATCAATCCAACCCGAGGACACATTTGAGAAAGCCATGGCCCTCGGCGCGTGTATTTGCTGCGACGCTTCGTCGGCCATTTCCTTTTTTTTCCTTTGAAAAAAAGGAGCTGAAACAGGCCCATGTAGTTGGGCAGGCAAAGGTCAGAGCGATGCCTGACTCTTTCCATTCTTCTCCGGATGGGATATTCTCTGCAGCCTCGTATTTGAGGGTTCACCCACTGCCGCCATCGCCATCCCCGCCATCGGCACTATCAGCGGGTGCAGACCTTTCACGATTCGCAGGCGCAGGCTGAGACTCTCCCAAGGGAAAACTCAAATGCTTCCAGTCTTCAATCTCCTCAATGATACATTTGAGACGATCCCGAATACTCTCCACGGCATAGGTACCAAGGATCAATCGTAGAGGTGGATAAGAGCAATGGCCCAGTTCCCACACCAAATGCGCAGCTTTCACCGCAGACGCAGGCTGCTTGTCACCTAGCCACATCAGCATCCGTCTGGCATGCGCTGCAGGCGATGTCGCCGTGTTATACGGCTCGCTCGGCGGCTTGACAAGGAAGTGGCCGTATAGCGGTAGAGGCGAGGAGAGATTGTGCTCGGATGGGTTGGCTGCCATGACTGACGGGGACACCAGATCTCCCAAGTCATCCCGTCGCATGTGACCGGGTTCCACGAGAGTCGCCTTAATATTGAAGCTGTCCACTTCATAAAGCATACTCTCCATCAAACCCTCCACCGCATACTTTGACGCGCAGTACGGTCCAAGTCCAGGTACCCCTAGCGCACCTGATGTAGAGCTGAAAATCAAGTATCGACCCGCGCGCCTTTCCCTGAAGTGCGGCAAAGATAACTGAATGATGTTCAGGGTGCCGGTGAAGTTGGTCTCGAACTGATTCCGAATATCGAACTCGTCCTGGTCTTCACATGCACCGATCACGCCGTAGCCGGCGCAATTGGCAATAACGTCGATGCGGCCGAAGCGCTTAATCGTCCGATCTATGACTCTTTTCACAGTCTCTCGTGCCCGAACATCACACAGCAAGCCGAGGCAGTTTTCGTGTTCGGCTTCCAATTCTTGCATGGCTTCGGGACTGTTCTCGAAGGTCCGGCCGACGGCGGCGACGAGATCATTTCGGGCGAGGGTGGTCTTGACGAGCGAGCGGCCCATGTGACCAGTGGCTCCGAAAATCTGCTCGTTTTGAGTGGAACAGGTCAGCCTTTCTGCGCACCAGCGATCATGATTTACCGCGGAAGACGGTAGCCGCACGCGATTGAGAAAGCGGGGAGAACAATGGGTGCGCTTACCAGCCATACGAGACGTTTGGGGGGATTTTGCGGTCCAGGAGGGTCGGTCGTAGAAGGAAGATGCAACCGTGAATCGCGAGACGCAATGGGAGAGCTGGGCCCCTGACGAGCAGGCGAATGCTGCTCCATTGTTGTGCGGGGAGGAGGAATTGGAGAAAGCTGGAAACACGAGGGGTACTTTTGGCGGTGGAAATCTCATGCGGACCTCTCCGCATTGACGGAAACTCCACTTTCGAGCTTGAAAGCATCGAAAACAATTATAGGAGTCCGGTCGTTTACATATTGCCAGTAATGAAACCTGTGTTTTGACGACAGACGCTCTTGTTTTCATCCATTGATCAATCAAATTATCATATAGGTGCTATTGTCAAGACCCAGCCCTGTCAATAAAAATCTACCGCCCGACTTCCCTCCGCAGCCGTCCAGCAGCCGTCGTAGGACCTGGCTCTGGCCAGCTGCTTACAGCGTCGTCAACTTCTTCAAGGAATGTAGTACTGTTGTGGACAGATGTGCCACTCAGAACGACACGCACACCAGGAGAGCTGGCATTGACTTGGGCAACCATCTTCGCCTCCTCGTAGGTCGTACCTCCAACCATGAAGATGATGATGTCTTGAGGTTTATCCCGTGTGTGTCCGCTGCCTTCCAGGAACGGATACTGTAGCTCTTTCAATCGGCCCTTGATGAGATTCTGGAGGGTCATCTCGAGTCTGGGTGAGTGTTGCGTGTACACATTCTCAACGCCCTTGAGACCCTTGAAGCGATCCCTGGCACCGGAGAAGAAGGATGTTGACTCAAATAGATCAGTGAAACCCCCAGCTACTGGCGGGGCTTGGAGAGAGTGATGGTAGGCGAGAAGCTTGGGGATTATGTTAACACGATGGGAGGGAACATCGCCCGCAGTGACGAGCAGATCCAATAATACCGGAAGAGAGTTATTCGACATGCTTTCGTAACGAAGACCGTAGAGGGCAACGAGGCGCACTTTGCAGTCGGCTGGAACATTCGGCAATGAGATGATGCGTTGAAGAGACTATGCGGGTCATTAGTTTCTCTTTTGTCAGTAGCGCTTGAGTAGGGCTTGAAGGTCTTCTTACCTTAAGATCATTGGAGTGGTTGTCATTACAGGCCAAGCTTTGCTCCAATTCGCTGACGTCCAGCAGATTATCTTCTCCAACCCGTCGACTCAGCTCACCCACCAGAGTAACATGCTTGCTGACATTACCCGACAGCTTGCGAAATTCAGGGTAGTCCTCTACAAACCGTTTCATATCAGCGATTGAGTCGATGTTCATGTTACTCTGCGTCTTGGCCTGGTATTGCTCCACGTATTCTTTGATGTTTTGACCCAGATCACCAAAGTTCTGGTACATGTTCTTCTTGAAGAAGGGATCTTGATCCTGCGCAAGGACAATTTCTTGTAGCTCAGGCCGGATATCAGGGACATCACGCAGATTGACTCTCCCATTGTGAATTCCGAGGAGCTCGTGAACCATAGCTTGGTAGGTCCATTGTGAAAGCAACGGGGTGATGGGATCGTCGCGCCGATCCAAAATGAGCAGGATCGGCGGCGTATCCGTCCGACGGAAGTTAAAGAGCTGTTCCTCCTGGGTGATATGATATCTGACTTCCGTCGCCAGTTTTCTGGCTAGCAGGCTATTCTTCTCGTAGCGGATCAAGGGGTTCTTCTTCAACGCAAGCAACAGGGCCAGGGTTCCTCCCGTGGCCCGCTGCAGCGAGTCGGGGTTCCAGAGGTCCGGCGTGTGGCTCCAGAGCCGCGAAAGCGGGAAGCCCAGATTCAAGTTGGATAGATCCGGGTTGATGACCCAAAAATCAGCGAATTGTTCCTGCACGCATTGTACGACTTCGTGGCTGTCTGCCTCGGCTAGGCGCTCGAGCGAGGACTTGCGGATTATGTTACTGAAATAGATGAAATATTCGCCGTATTTGGGATCGCGGAGCTCGTCGATCAGCAATTGTAACGAATTCGAGGAAGGTCGCACAAAGCACAAGCATCGCAAGTGACGCATCTTCTCTCGCGCGGTGTTGTCCAGGCGGTCAATGAGGTAGACCTCGTGGTTCAGGAGCGCGGACTGAGTGATGGCGGTCGAGACAATGGAGACCTGAGTAGGAGGCAATTAGTCTATCAAGTCTCGGATTGTATTTTGAGTCAAGCGCAAGTCCCACTGTCTCACTATCCAAGAGCAAGATCTTCATCTTTGTCGACGATGATCCTGAAGCCGACTCGCCGGCCGTCACCATCTTGGAGATGTAGCCCGAGACGGCCGCGACAACGTCCATGGTGAAAGAGCGGTGCGCCTGGGGCGCAAGCAATCGCAAAGGAAGAGTTTCGACTCAAGAGACAGGCAATGAAAGGACAACAAAACGACAAGTCGCAAGTGAGAAAGAAGCTCTGTGGAGTCGTGGACAGCAGGTACGGCTGGTCAGTCTGGATGACAGTCGAAGGGCCGCGGGGGTTCAGTGAGAGGTGGAGCCTGTCCAGGTGGTCGGTCATTGATTGCATTTGGCGCGTCTGCTTCTCCCACATGACGTCCTCACCGACGATCTTTCTCCAGGCCTTCTTTTTCCCTCCTTCTCTAGTCGCTTTACTGGCTTCACTTTTTGCGAGATTCTTCCAGTGCATGTATCTCCCATTCTCAAAGACTGGTCTTCCATCAGGGTCGGCAACATGTTGCCCTATATAAATGCTTGTTCGTCACTTTCGTCACTGCGACTTTTGATTTTCGCCAGGAGAAGCTATAGCTTGGGTACCTCGGGCTAACCTCGCCGCAGTTTTTAGCTATCCGGCTGAGCTGACAGGTGCTTCGGTGGATGAGCGTACGTACCTATCTTCGTCTTTAAGCTTGACGGACACGTCTTCCGTCAAGGATTCTAATATCTTGTTCCAGTCAAGCTGCTGGCGTCTTTCTTGATCTCTTACCCACTCGCCGCTTTGCTGAAGCGCGTTCCGGATGCGCAACCGTGGAAGAAGAATGCCTTCATCATTGGAGCCTCGCTGTTCTATCTGGTGGGCCTGTTTGACCTGTGGGATGGCCTGCGAACATTGATCTATAGTGCCGCAGGCACATATGCCATTGCCTACTATATTGATGGCTCGTTGATGCCCTGGATTGGATTCCTGTTCCTCATGGGTCACATGTCGATCAATCATATCCAGCGCCAAATCCTCGACGACGCTCAAGTGGTGGACATCACCGGAGCGCAGATGGTGCTAGTCATGAAGCTGTCATCTTTCTGCTGGAACATCCACGACGGTCGCCTTCCTCAAGATAAATTGACCGAGGCGCAAAAGTACTCTGCCATCACCGAGTTCCCCAGCATTGTCAACTACATCGGCTACGTGATGTTCTTCCCGTCGCTCTTTGCTGGTCCCTCCTTCGAATACGTCGATTATCGTCGCTGGCTCGATACCACACTGTTCGACATACCGCCGGGAACCGACCCGGCCAAAGTCCCCAAGACCCGAAAGAAGCGCAAGATCCCACGCAGCGGCACTCCGGCTGCTAAGAAAGCTGCCATCGGTCTATTTTGGATTGTGGCCTTCCTTCAACTGGGCTCGTGGTTCACCAAGGACTTTATCCTTACCGATGCGTTCATGGAGTTCTCCTTCCCACGTCGAGTCTTCACCGTGTATATGCTGGGCTTCACTACGCGCCTCAAGTATTACGGAGTGTGGTGTCTGACCGAGGGAGCATGTATTCTGTCCGGCATGGGTTACAATGGGTTTGACCCCGAAACTGGCAAGGTCTTCTGGAACCGCCTGGAGAACGTGAATCCATGGAGTCTCGAAACCGCGCAGAACTCCTACGGCTACCTGGGCAGCTGGAATAAGAACACCAACCATTGGCTGCGCAATTACGTCTACTTGCGTGTGACTCCAAAGGGCAAGAAACCTGGTTTCCGCGCAAGCATGGCCACATTTGCGACCAGTGCCTTGTGGCATGGTTTCTACCCTGGCTATTACCTTACATTTGTGCTAGGGTCTTTTATTCAGACGCTTGCGAAGAGTAAGTTATCCAGGCTTGGCCAATGCATGAGCCCCATCCCCAGCCCTCTAAGAGGACATGCATGGTGTTTTCCAACCTCCTCCTCATCGACCCTCCTGCTAACCTTCTCACAGGATTCCGTCGCTACGTGCGCCCCTTCTTCCTCACCCCCGACGGAACCAAACCTACCCCCTACAAACGTTACTACGACATCGCCAGCTGGCTCGCCACCCAACTGACCCTCGGCTTCGCCGTCCTCCCCTTCATCTACCTCGACTTCACTGAATCTATAACCGTCTGGTCCCGCGTCTACTTCTACGGCATCATCGGCACCGCTTCCTCCATCATGGCATTCACCTCCTTCTCCCCCGTCCGCTCGTACCTCACCGCCCAGCTCAAGCGCCGCAATAGACCGCATGTCCCGCGCACCATGAGCCAGGAGACGATCCACCCGCCTACCCTGGGCTTATCGAATGATCTGGAGCGGGAATTCGACGAGGCTGTTGCGGAGATTCGTGCGGAAATTGACTTAAGGAAGCGCAGGGGAAGCGTGGCGACGATGCCGACTGGAGAGGATTTGAGACATGCGGTGGAGCAGAAAATTGGTCGGAAGCTGTGATCTGGGAGCTGGGAGCCTTCTAAGCTCAGTCAAGAAAGAAAGAAGTTGAGAGAGAGTCCTCCAGGACTGGATACTCCTGCCGTATTATCTTCATTGTAATGATTCATCGGACACGATGACCTGGTCGTTCAGAGATACTTGTGTATGGTACTATGCACCCGAAACCGAACGACTACCCTGTATAGAATAATGAAAGTGAAGCTAGATAGTGTTTTCTCACGATGCGCATGAATCGTGACATTTTGGACGTCAACCAACGTACATTCCGATCTTACACCAATGACGATGAAACTGAAAACCACACAAAGGAACACCATGTACAGTCCACCCGACCTTCAAGGTCGGGCAGGCGCTTTCTTCGAACCATTCAGATACACTCATACCTGAAATGGACAAAAGCTTACCTCGTCCTTCATAAAGTTCGCCTCCCTACCAGCGGAGAACCTCCCGCCATGTTGTCTTGCGGGAGATCGTATGAGGTCGGGAGTTTTTTCACAGGGGTATTGAGTTTCATTCAATTTCTCCAATCTTCTGGGCTCACCTACCTAATGTGGACGTCAGTATTCATTCCCATCGGGGACGGCACGTCTTTACCAGTGGGAATTGGGGTGGATGCCTCGAGGGTGAACACTGAAATAGGGCAGGGCAAGGGAGTGCCCGTACTCGATTCAGCATTGTCTGATCACTCTCGTGGGAATCAAAGCGAGAATCCGGAAAGGTGCCGGGCAGAGCTCAGGTGGACGGGTGGATGTCTGGTAGAACGGACAAAGGTGGGAGGATTGAGCTTTATGTGGTAGATTGCAGGGTTCAGGAAACGACTCCATGAAACAGCCAACCTTGAAGGACATGTTTGGGTCTTTTTGAATCTTTGAAGATTGATCATAACGTTACAGGTTGGAATGAAAGAGCAAAGTAGAGTAGATGAGAAAAATATATAGAATAGATCTAGAGAGATCGACTCAAGAGATGGGAAATCCACCAACTCGGAGTAAGAAGAACTTGAAACCAAACGGCTCAACGCCAGGAGGCGAGACAGCACGAGTGAAGAAAAAATATATACTATCAACTTGACGCAAACATGCAAAGAGATGGCATGCAAGGAGAAGGATATTATGAATAAAAAACAAATATGTGCGTGGCAATCATGTCATGTAAAGTCGTGTCGGAGAAAGAATGTCCAGCGAAGTGAAGAACAGTGCCAAGAGTCAACGTGAGTTTAAAAAAGATATGTTTTGTCGCCGTCGCTTTCGCAGAAGATGCATCGTCGCATGAAATGCAATGCGTGAAAGTAATTGTTAAGCCAATAGCAAAGCCAGCGGACAAGAAAGAAGCGAGGCAATGAATCGAGATTGGGCGCGGGGATATAGAACGTGGTGCGAAGAAGGCGAAGCACTGGGGGAGAAGTCGCTGAAAATAAGAAGATGCAAAATCATGACCGGATTCAGCGGTGATGGTATACAGAGGTCGAAAATGAGGATTGAAGGTCAATCCAGGCGCCAATGGCGCAAAGATGACTGTAGAGACCCAATTAAAGTAGAGGGCGGGTTCAGAAACCAGTCGTGGTACCAATGACGGCCAGCACAATCTAGCAATCATTAGTCGAACTCTTTTGTGGAAGCAGATATTTCATTTCTTGAAACACTCACTATAACGATGATGATCACCGCGCCAAGCGAAATCATCCAACGATTGAGATTACGCCACCAACGCGCATTCTCATGTCGTCGCCGTTGCAGCGATATCAACTGCGATTCTAATGCCGCCTCGACGTCACCACCATGCTCGGTCATCTCTGGGGCGAGTTTAGGCAATGGCGGAAGAGGTAGGAATGCAGCAATCATCCAAGCTGAGAATGATACGTTAGTCAACGGCTCAACAGCGGGCCCAAAGACCTGGCGTCATGCAGAGGGGGAACGATGATCAAAACTCACCAATGGGAAAAATGAAGCCAACACAGAAAGAGTACACCTGAATGTTCCTCCTTCCAAAGACAGGTTCATTTCGAGAGTCCATCGAAGGCGCAGTCCATGCACTGGTCGACCGTGGCATGCCGCGTTTCGCAAGCAGATGAGGCGACCAACTGTGCCGCGCTCCGCTGTGCGGTGTCCCAACTACTTCATCTTGCACATCTGGATTAGCAACCCAATGAGCACGAGGATCCAATGGGTCACTCTCTACGCGGCGTGGAACAAATCGAATAGCACCCGGTCGCTGCGGCAAGGCAATTTGCGTCGGTGCATTGTCTGAAATGAGCGATTGGGCAGGACTAGCAGCCGTGATCCGTTGAGGCGATCGTGAGCTCGAAGGCGAACGTGAACGGCTAGGGGACCGTCCGCGGGGGATATTGAGCGCAGTGGGCATCAGACCGAAATTGAAGACACTGGAGTTGGAAGTCCCTGGACGGGTGCTGGGAGGTCTGCTCACATCCACTACCGACAAGGCAGGATGAATACTCATCGGATCAGCTCGGTAGTAAATCTTGGCCCAGGTCGGCAAGATATGCCATACGGTGTTCGACGACGCTCCAGTGCTCGGTCGTTTCATGCTGGTCATGCTGTTGCTGCGCCGAGATGCGGTCGATACACTATGCGCAAAGTCGGGACGTGAGGGCAAGTTGGTCAGACTGTCCAGTCGCTCCTCTTCGTCGCTTTCTGTCATTTGCCACTCACTGGAATGACTGCTGAATTTGGAAGCGACGGTCAGTGCATTTGAAGCTACTCGGCTGGCGGGCTCTCCCGTGGAACGTGTAACGGCGATGTTGGCCTCTGCATCACTGGACCAGGTGGACGAGGAACGAGAAAGGACAGGATTTTGACGACCTGAAGCGGGACCAGGCGTAAAATCCCGAAACCGTGTGTAATCTTGGTCAGACACAACTGAGACGGCAGCCTGAGAGCTTGTGGACGGTGATCGAAAAGCTGCATGTTGAAGTGGAATGCCACTATCGATCGAGGCCACAATTTCAGAGACCGAACGAAAGCTCAGCGTCGAGGAATTGGGTGACCGGGACTGACTCAAGGAGGGACGCCTTGTTACGGACTGAAATGAGGCCACGGAGCGCAAAGGTGGACTGGACCGGAATAAGGAGCCAGAGCGTGTGCTCATCTGCTCGGCAGATATCCGGCGCGTGACTGATTGAAATGACGCAACGGATTGCAACGGCGGGCTTGAGTTGAATGGCGATCCCGAGCGGGTGCTGACCCGCTCCGACGAGGCAGCTGTCTGAATCCACGGTGCTGAGACCCCGGTGTGACGAACGGCGGTGCCCCTCGAGTTCCAAGAGGACAAGGAACTTGATCGGGGATTGGAATTTGATCTCGCCGCGGCGGGGGGTAGATACGTCTCACTGGTGTTGGCCAGTGTGACAAAATTGGGACTAGAGGGGGCCCCGATCGGCTCCATGTTAGGACTTGATGGCTCTCCAAGACGCCGGAAATTAGGGCTGGACGGCTCTCCGATGGGCTCGAGATTAGGACTGGACGGTTCTCCAATCCGTTCAAAGTTGGGACTTGAGGGTGCTCCGATGGTTTCCAGATTGGGACTAGAGGGCTCTCCTAGGCGTTCATAGTTCGGACTGGATGGCGCGCCAATTCTTTCAACATTAGGGCTCGAATATGGTTGTACCGAACCATCGTCGTCGCTCTCCAACCTGGACGAGCTTTGATATTCAGATTCAATGGCTTTGATGGTAGGGGTCCTCGTGGGTAAATCCATGTTCTCGTCGTCATCAGAATACTCGGGCTCCCAGGGACCCTCGGAGATATAATCCGCTAGCTTGGCCATGGGACTTGTGTCGGGCAAGGATGATTTGCTGGATGAGGGGTCATCCCACAAGCCAGGCGGCGAGTTGAACGTGTCCACCATGGAGGAAACATCCCAGCTGTCACGGATGGACAGGTCCCGCGTGCTGCTGGCAGCATCTTGGCTGAATGATGGTGAGGAGATTGTGGAAGTGGATGCGCGGGGATTACTGGCGTAGAGACCTGTCGGCGTCAATGGTCCCCGTTGTCCTTTGCCCGGAATGGGCAGCAGAATCTGCTCGGGTTTGGTTGGGAATGGCGTTGCTGTATACATGTCGGCGTCGTCTTTGTCCCCGCTAATGATGCGGAGGGATTGCATAGAACGCGTCGGCGATCGTTCGTTGGTGTGGGCCGAGCTTCGTTCCTGCAGTACTCGACGCGGCCGCGGCCCCGGCGATGTGGACGGCCGTGATGTCGACATGGTTTTGGTCTTGTCGGGTCGGTCGATGTGGTCAAAAGTGTAATACTTTGCGAGTGTCAGGGCATCATTGAATTTCCGCAGAAGACGAAATTCGAACGACTACCCAGGCGGGGAAGCGCTTCAACGCGAGGCACTGGGAAGAATGCCAACAAGCTCGTTGAAATTGAAGCCCAAGTGGGCCAGAACCGGGCAACTGATGTGGATTCTTTTTGTGAACTCTGGTGGTCAAGACGGATTCGGGCAGATGGGCGCTGCACCAGCGATTAATGAGCCCGATGTGACGCCGCTAGGCAATGCAATAGAACGACGGGCGAGCAATGATGGGTGATGGGAATGATTGTTTGTGTTTTGCGGAATTGGGTGTCGGGCGTGAGGAATGTTGGACTCGAGGGTTAGACTCCGTCTGTTCTGATATTACTGGACACTTTGGAATGCCACGATGGATCTGGCCGAACCGCACGAAGGAGAATCCAGTAGTGTAGTCACTGTAGTGCCGTCGGGCGGGAACGTCGATAATAATGTTATCCTGAATAGACCGGGACGGTCGGTCGCTGGGGAACTGGAAGCGGGTCGGAATTCTTCACGAGAAAAAAGGAGCGTCGGGAGTGGGTAAAGCAATGGCAATTGCAATGGTGTAGACTGTAATGTAGTAGTACAATTTAGTGAAGGGAACGATAATAGTCAGACGAACAGTCTAGTTATCTCGAAAACAAGAGTAATTAAATGAGCGTCGAGTCGTCATGGACCACAGAATTAGGCTTCTGATCGTTTCAGCAGCATCACGGAGCGTGACCAGAAAAAGAGGGTCATTAAAGGGTTTCAAAAGAGGGACGACAGAGGCAGAAGGACTGGCGGCCACCACCACATCATTCTCCGACGTGCAAAACAAGCAGCAACCGAGATAATAATCGCCAACCGTGGGAAGGTGTGGAACGGTGGAACCGCGCGAGGGTAAAAGAAGGGGAAAAGAAGGAAGTGAGACACTGGGCGATCTCGCGAGGGAGACGAAGGGGCAGCCGCCGCCCCAGCAGCAGTTGGGGAAACTCGGGAAACAGAGTCAACCAACTTGTGGCACAGAGTCAGAGAAAGTGGATAGAGGCGAGTGGAGCGTCTGTTGGTGGAAAGTGGAAAGTGGAAAGTGGAAAGTGGACGGTGGAAAGTGCCAGGCCGGTGGACGGGTGGAGAGGGCACGAAGTGGGACGATTCTGGACTCGAGCTCGGCGGGAAGCACAGCTGAGGATTGACTAGCGTGTCAGCACGAGAGATGCAGGAGACAGGGTGCAATGGTTCATCGTGGCAGCATATTGACGGGTGATGGGAGAGAAGATCCAGGATGGATGGAGGATGACTGGGGAAGCGATGAGAGAGAAGAAAGCGCCGGCGATCCGCAGGTTCTGAAGAGGGACGGATGCGTGGTCACGGACTGTCAGTGTCCAGTGATCAAGCGCCGGCCAGCTCAAGTTGGAGTCCCGACACGCAGGACTGCGTCAAGTGCCTGAGTTGCGACGACTGGAATGCAGGTTGACTATTATTCTTGTATTACTACTACTACTACTACTACTACTACTACTACTACTACTACTACTAATTTTCGATAGTCCTCATGTACTGCAGTCTGCAGTCTGCTGTCTACACTCTACAGTCTACACTACTCCTAGAGACTCGAGAGTCGATTGCTGCAGGTACAAACCTGCAAGTTAGCCCATAACTACCGGAAAGCGTTGGCTGTCAGGGACCACGAAGAACATCAACAACAAGGCCCAGCTTGTTTTGCGGAAATCACGCACGTAAAGCTAGACAATGCAATTCTCAAAGGTCTTGGGCCTAGTCGATCGAAACTTGTGAGTCCGATCTATCTATGAATCGTACTTGGATACACGATAAATGCATTTTGCACATTCAATTCTCACTCAATGCCACAGTACTTGACATAACACGAGTGTCAATATGGACAGGGAAGTAGCCTAACAAGAAGGTGAGTCTTTCACGTGCATTGATCCTTCGGCCTAGCCTTTGATGGAAATTATGGTACTTCTCCTCCTTGAAGCAATACACCCACGACTAGACTCATTGAGGGCGCCGAATGGTGTACGGCGGTGCGCTGTGCAGTGGACAGCTGTATACTGGCGCTGCATAAACACCTCCTCGAGAATTGCAGCATGCCACATGCAGTATAGGCCTCGGGGCTAGAACAGGAGGCTTCATGTATGCTGAGTTGTCCACCCTCCACATCCAGCCTCTTCTGCGAATCGAGCGCCTCACGTAACCCCAACCCCAGTTCGCAGCTGCAGCCACAGCTGCAGGGGGGGGGAGGAGCAATCGAGGAACGCCTGCTCTCCGGAGTCGGACCAGTTCCTAATGCCATGCCGTTGCGACTTGCGACCTTAAACTACATTACTCAACGAGTCAACACCATCTAACTTCCTGGTTCACACCTGAGAGTCCCAAGGTACACCAGCCGCTGGGTCTTGCGGCTCGCGGCTCGCCCGTCGCGACCGTTGGCTCACATTTCAACTTTCCATTGGATCGGTTCAACTTTACTGACTCGGCGGGTTTTTATGGTCTATGTTTTTCCTTCTTACTGGCCCGTATACTTGAAATTGTACCCGTCTTTATGGACATATGATCAATCTTGCCCCCATTCGGTGTCCCAGTTCGTTGTCCCTCGATAATCTTCGCTTCCGTGAAATCGAGATCGGGAGAGATTGAGACTGCCATTCAAGGACCTTGGCCAGGTGGGTCCTTTTATTGATTTCTTGTGGATTTCCTGAATGGCCCCGGTCATTTGCCAATGGCCGCCAGCTCCTGTAAGCTGCGGCCCCATGGAGACCGAAATTCGATCGTGGGATGAGATCATTGGAGGGTTCGGGGGCAGAATGCAGGTCCATGGCACAAATCAGAGCTTGGTACTTTTGTACTGGCAAGATAGTGGTGAATACTGAAATGCTAATGCATCACACTGGTGACTGGTATAGACATTAGACTATAGAGAAATCTATTAGTATAGAGTATAGACTAGGGACTAGGGACTATGAGAAGGTGCAACTGGCATATGTCTAGACCCTCCATCAAGCTTTTCGGAGGATACGACTGCCGTACTACAAAATAGAAGTTACCCCCCCCTGGCGATAACTAACAAATGATAGTCCACAAGTACCCCTGTACGCATATCCAGGACACACCCTCACAACCTCGCAAACTGCAAATATAGCCCCAACCCATGCCTTAGAAGACTCGCTGACTCCATACATCCCCCTTTCCAACCATCGCTGCGTCGGTGTGCCCGGCTCACTCGACCCAAAGTAGCAGGCTTCCCCCATCTCCACGCAATTATCGCCCCAACCCACTGCTCAATATTCCATCGGCTTGATGTCCTCTACCGGGCACCTCCGTCTCGCTCCATCCGAGCATCCTTGATTTCCGAGCTTTGCTGCGGTTCATTTCGATTTTCACTCTCCGGGGATCCGGAGTCTCTCGGGGCGTTTTCCTTCTCTGCGCCCACTGCCGCCTACTGGTGGATCGCTGTGGTTCGGGCCCGGACTTTCGAGCAATCTTCACATCCGGAGGGGAGCTCGTATGGGTCCAGCGACCCCATTCAGGGACGGTTTACGGGTTCCTCGGTACGTGATGCGGCCACGCCGCCCAGTATGCTATCTGAGTCTGACCTCATCATTAGTTGATTGGATGTGCATCAAGGTAAGTCCTTTACTCCTGTATGATTAATGTAGAGTATTGAATGCTTTACAATGGTGTGCAGTTGGAGTATATATATTTTCAAGAAAGTGATACAATTGCATAACTCATATTGTCACAGTAGATATCCTTTGAGTCTATAACATTATGACACTGAGGCACACTGTGAGGCAGTAAGGCTGCTGTGCAGACAAACACCAGATATATCCCTCGTGTTCACATCGAGTATACGGTCCTATGATCACCAATCTCACTGGAAACCTTGGTCTAGACTACCTCCAAGGTAATAGCTATGCCTAGATTGGGTATATTACAAGTGTGTCAGATCTTATTGGACTTAATTATTAACACTGATCCTGAAACACCCTCCGCCATTATCAGTCAACTGCCCAATCCAACAATAGATCACCCCTATCAAAACATATCGATCTCCCGAGTCCCCAGTCCACAACCTAATCGGCATCATCCAAAATCATGTCTCAGTCAATTCATCTTGACATTCTTATCGAATCGAATCGAAGACAACGCTCAACCCCTTGTTCAGAGAAACAGACAAGAAACAAAGACAGGGTATGACTTCATGAAGCTTCCCGTCGCCGCAATAAGCTTCATCTACAGGTAGGTTTCTTCTCCCCTCCGTCTCCGTTCACGGAGCAACCAGCCCGGTAACTCGTCATCGGCGGCATCAATCCACCTGCACCTGCTACACCTTGCTTTAATTCATGCTCATGCTCATGCTCATGCTCATGCTCATGCTCATGCTCATGTCACTCGTGGCGGAGATTCGGACAAAAATCGATGCATGGGTCCTCCACTTCTAATTCCCCCTCGTTTGACTCTGAAGGCCACATCCTCGCGTTGACTCATAATTTAGTGAACCTACGGTAGCTTGAATGGAGCCATCTACATAAAAGGGGCGAGATGCTGGGAAACTGCGATGTGCAGCTGATCCGTCCATCCTCCGGTAGGAGGTACCATGAAACGATACCTCATATATTCACTGACACTCCATTTAAACTATAGATACCTTCCTACTGGACCTCCAGGTAAATAGCGGTGTCGATGCCGGTGTTGGTATTGCTTCTAATTTAGGCCATGCATGAGCAAAAGAAGCAATTAAAAGGAGTAAATGCAGTAATGCACCACCCAACTGGAGCAGGAAAAAAAGTCAAGCGCTCGGGCCAATTGTTCCTGCGACGAGACTGCAGGGGGAAATTAGCTGCGGCTGTGTGATCGTGACGGGATCCCTTGACTAAGCTCCCGTGCGATCTGGTGAGATCATCCATGGCTGTCCCGTCTCGGCGATAGGTCCATATCTCAATGTTAGGTAGGCGCATCCCGTCCTTCGCTCCAAACAGCGTTGTGATCCTTATCGAGCGGCCTCGATCCATCTCATAGATGGGTTGGTAGTTCCACCCTTCGTCACCTTCGCCCAGCTCCCGTAATGTCTCCCGACGTAAGAATCGCGCGGACCGCGCCCAAATGCCAGAACCTGCCATAATCAACGGGTCAAACGATCGCGTTGCTCCTTTGCTCAAAATCAGAAACCTAGGAGGGTGACCAAATCTCACATTTCCGTGCTACATCAAGAAGATGTTTGGGAGATAGAATCGCCGACAGTATTAAATGACGGTGTGGTGAGTCTTGACTAATAGCAGTCCATGCAACAGGTGGTTCTCACAGTCTCACTCGCTTTACAAGAGCTAAGCATCATTTCTCTTGCCCAAACAATCCATCCCAAGTATATGGCTAGCTGCAAGAGGCTACTTTCTCTTTTCTTGACAGCCCTCCCCATTGTTCTTAGGGCCAGCGACCTCAACGCAATGAATATCCTCGTCAATCCCGAGACCGTCTATATCATAGGAGTTATTGACTGGGCCACATCAAGGGTCCTACCATTCAGCTTCGCCCTGTACGAGCTTGATCATCATTTGAGCTGGATGGCTATAATCTTTCATAAGTATGGTGTCAAGATTGATGCGAAGGGTGCAGTGCAAAAGCGTGCGAATGGACCCGTCGCATGGTTCGCTCGCGTATTTCGATGCTTTCTGTATAGCTGATGAGTGGGCTCCTCTTACCTGAGGCTACTGCTTATGATGTACTGCAACGCAGGCATGCATCGATGTCCATGTGGCCGTAGGTAGGATGTCATGTGCGGATGCAGGTCAGGTACTTCGATATCTGTTGGCAGTGAGCTCTGTGTGTGCGTGATCTCTGTAAGGGGTTGCCAAGAGATCCGCGTACCTCCTACCTAGTAGATTACATCACCATGTTGGCAACTGCTGACCTACTTAAAAATCCAGTTGACATTGATCTGATATGCCGAAAATGCGACACATATGTGGTTTTGGCTAATGGCCAAGATAACGAACAAATCATGGACAATAAATGGTACGAAACATTCAAAGCTTCAACGGCGAGTTTATCAAGCTCCTGTCTGATAACGAAGATCGTAACGACATTACCCCGTAGCCAGGTCTCCCCCACACTCAACCTCGTTAAATACGACCCGGAGTGGTAATACAACTGTCTTCATATCCGCCCCTCCACAACAAAGAAACCTCCGGTCTGGATCTGCCGATTGCTGGGGCCTTGATAAACAAGCCGGCTGACGTTTCTCTCCAAAGCAGACGTCAATTATTGAATTCTCGGTTTCCCCCGTCCATCGCTGCCATGGCCCCCGTGGGAACGATCCTGGCTCGACTAAAGGGTCTTTACAGCAAACATCAAGGTTTGTTTTTGTCTCTCGCCCTCGTTATGGTGACGGCTTTGCAAAGGTCACGATTACATAGCCAAGGCTACAGAGTTCCAGACCTGTCACAACTGACCGGACCAACTTAGATGAGCCCTCATTATCAGTGCAAACGATTACGATATGCTCAGTATGGCCTCACTGGATCCCTCAACGCCTTGAAGGCGGCAGCCAAGTTTCAGTTCCTTGCTAACGACACCCTGTTCCAGGTCGCCTTGACATTACTCTACGTCGTACCCTTCTATCTCTCTCCGGCCACGCGACCCTCACCTAGTCTCAGCCGTGATGCGCCCTCAGTCATCCGAGCGCGCATCCGCGTCGTCACCCTCTCGTGCATCACCTGCTCCCTCGTTGTTCTGTGGCTGATCGTGGAAAAGGGCGGGTCTTCGCCCAGTGCGGCATTGACTTTGATGGGCTGGTGGCCGCTTGATCTGGGCGATATCCTGCGCACCTTGCTCTTGACCGCGATCCTGTTCTTGGGACCACTCTACGAGCGTGGAATCGCCGAGGGAGAATGGCGCTCATGGTTCAGTCGCACGTCATGGTCTCAGTCTCTCAGCGGATGGATAGGGTGGAGGAACTACGTCGCGGTAAGATCAGTAGCCTAACCAGCCGTGCCTTTGATGCGACAAGATGACTTGTGACTAACATGTTTCCTCATAACGTAGGGCCCTATCACCGAAGAAGTCATGTTTCGCTCCGCATTGGTCCCTCTTCATATCCTTGCGCGCGTCTCGCCCGGTCGCATTGTTTTCCTGTCGCCTCTTTACTTCGGCATTGCCCACGTCCACCATTTCTATGAGTTCCGACTCACTCATCCAGATACCCCCGGACTCGCGGCTCTGCTTCGCTCTCTCTTCCAGTTCGGCTACACCACCGTCTTTGGCTGGTATGCCACCTTTGTGTATATCCGGACCGGCTCTCTTCTAGCCGTCATCCTGGCCCACAGTTTCTGCAACTGGTGCGGACTCCCCCGGCTCTGGGGTCGTGTCGAGGCCGGAGAGCCTTTGGGGCCGCCCCTGCGTGGGAAAAAGGATGAAGATCGGAATGGCAACACGGTCACCGTGGGGGACGGCCAACTGGGGATTGGATGGACAGTAGCATACTATGTGCTTCTGGTGGCTGGTGCAGTGGGCTTTGCCTGGTGCTTGTACCCTTTGACAAACTCATACAATGCCCTGGTGACATTTGACAAGAGCACGAGGGGTCAGAGTATGAGGGGTCGTAATTGATACCAGGATCCGAGCCTGCCTTCTCCCCTTCCTTTTTAGAGCCAAGCAGACGAGACACATTAATGACCCACGAACCCTTTGAGGCGGGAGAACTCTATGATCCTTCGATGAAGGTTGAGAATGCCCGAACGATTCACGCGGATTTCTACCACGACCGACGTCGCAATGTCTACTGTGAATTTCGGCTATGTTTGAATTGATGACCTTTATAACCATGTCGATATCTGCATATCCTCGAATGATTCATTGAGGTTCTCAAAGTACAGTAAACTTCTGAAGTCAACCAACTTATATACCTGGACGGCAATCCAAAGTCAATTGTAATCCTCACAGCTGCAGCAGTATCGAGACAAGACGTTCAAATGATGACACGCATATACTCCCGAGTCCCGGCAGCTCATTTGCGACGGAATCCCCCATGCTTTCATTAGAACACAAGTAAAGTATCTACCTGTCGCCCCGGCGCACTGGTCCCTTACCTAATGCATGAGCAGCGAACAACTGGACGACATTACTCGCGCTCGCGCTTGAGGGCTCTGATACTGACTCGTCTAAGCTGGCCTTGCTAATTAACGGCAATGTCAGTTGAGGGGCCAAATCAGAAATAGTAGGTACCAGGTACCTAGATTATCTACGTAGTGTTAGATGTTGTATCTCCCTCCTTAGGTAGGTCGTAGACGTTGGCCTAGTGTAAGACTAGCTTTCGTAGGGGGCGTGACTTCCGCAGACAAAGGTCCTGACCTCGGATCTCGACCTCGAGACATAGTTATATCAAAGCTTACTGCATAAGCTACGGTAACTAGTCAAAGTGCGGGTAGTGGGTAGTGGGTACTGATGGTGGTACAATAGAAAGTAAGCCTTAGCACTCGAGGGGGCCAATGTGCCGGCCCGAATATCGATCAAGCCTCGGGCAAGAGACAGAGAAAGCAGCCACCACATAGAACAGTTGGTCATGTATTGCCGATGGCGCAGCCAATCTCAAATTGTATTCACTATACACAGGGCTGGCACTTGGCATGATACCTCGGAAGAAGAGAGGATTAACGTCTGCTCCGACCCGGATGAGGCGTCCGCGTTCCAACTTAGTCTAGCTCACTTTCCACCTAGTGTTTTCGGGGCAGGGTATACACACTATACACTATAGTACGTCAGCATTAATCGAACTCATCAATTTGAACCTTCTAATTGACACTCCAATTTCGTCTCCTTTGGGTTCCTGAGTCATCCACCGTACACTCTGCCCCAATTCTGTGTTCAACACCTACAACGATGTCTGACATCCCAGGAAACTTTTGTGCACTTTGTTGACGAGTGTTCGCAGTAGCCCTGAGTCGTTCTCGTCATTCTCGTCGCCCGAGGAAATGATGGATTCCGAGCCGCACTTGCCAAGCGGCATACCAGGTGCTGTTGTGTTGTCTGCACCTTCGATCTCCGTCCTCAAACAGACTGCCAACGATGTCTATCTTCGACTCAACTCCGACGCGTCCTACACGAACCAGTTCATCGTCGTCAAGCACATTACCCAGTCGCTACAAGCGTTCCTCTCCGAAGACGATAATCCTATTGGTCGTTATACCAGGTTGACACTCGACAAACAGCATCAGCAAGCAGTCATTCGAGTCATACCTTCATCGGATCACGAACGTGTCACAGAACGCTTCCTCTTCTGTCTTGGTCGCAAACTCGTGGACATGGGAGTTGATAGAAACCTGTTCTACATTGAGGGGCAAACGCGATACCCTGGAAAATCATGCGAAAAGGAACCTGACCAAGGCTTTACGCCCTTAGCGAGTCCGCGTGATCTTCCTGAGTGGCCCTCACTGGTTGTTGAAACTGGTCTCTCGGAATCAGAGGCCCTGTTGCGGAATGACGCGCATTGGTGGTTCTCAAATTCTGATTACAAAGTGAATATGGTGCTTCTTATTTACATTAAGAAGCAACCCAAGCCCCATGTCACCTGGCAGCTCTTTCACCTCAAATCCACGACTACCAAAATCACGCGCGGGCTACAAGCCGAGGTCGCTCGCGCGCTGTCGTCGGATACCACTCCCGCTCAAACGGCCTCGCCGTCAAAGCTACAACCTCACTTGGCAGCTGAAATGATCACTGTCACTGCGACTGATGTCGACAATACCCCATTGATACTTCCATTTGAGAAACTCATGCGCCGCTCGCCCGACCCAAACACGAAGGAAGGGGACCTTATCTTTACCCCTGAGGACTTCCATTATTTCTGCCGCTCCGTTTTCTCGGCTTAACTTTCAAGAGATCTCTGTGATCCAATAAGATGCACAACATGGCTAGGTCGCGAAATGTACTTCAGAGGTATTTATCCATGGTATCATTGACGACCTTGTTAGAATCCTGACTGACAAAACTATCATAGCCAGACGAGATGCACTAATCGACGAGGTTATCGACGAAACCATTGGCCGAGTTCTTGCTATGAATACCGTTATTGCTATTATTATTATGAGGTGAATAGCTGTTTTGCTTAAGAAAGCCTAATAAAAGTCTAGCTTGTCAGCTTTGCAAAAGAGATCATTTCATTCTGTAGCCTTCATTCGTGGAAAACTAATGCCTCCCGCGGTGAGTATATAGTACTGCCGCTACTGCGCCTGCTGCAGAACCTCATAAAGTATTGTCTCATGAATCTCATCCATTACACTTGTTCCATGCGCGTTAGTTAAGCCATGATGGTTTTTAAGTGGTGCCGCGAGCCTTAAGCGGATCTACCACTGTCAACATGTCAAGTATGTACTGTAGTCTGTACTACATACTACCTCAGCATATACTACTTATATACATTTACTCAGGTTCTCGATTTGCCGCTAAATGACAATTTGCGATTACGCAGTGCGTACCGTCCATATGACCGTGACCCTACATACATGACGGACCCGATGACTGAGACAATCGAGGGATACTTTGCAATCAGAACTGAAAGCTAGTGACCATATCAAGGATCATATTAGCATGGCTGTTCCAACTTTCTACTAGTTGATGTGTGGCAAGTGGTAGAACCCGCCTTTCCCCGACAAAGTCCATAGGAATTGGCATCTCGTGAGCGATATGCCGAAAGTCACGAGCATGCAACGATATAGCCGGAATACTCCGGGTCGATAAGAGACCGGACCGGAATGATGAGATCTTGATCATCTTCGTAGCCAAGTAGGTAAGCACTATGAACACGGATTGTATTTTCTGGAGGGAGGCTCAGATTGGGGTCAGGTATGATGAATATGAAGGGCTGCACTGATCTCTGCAGTATGTACTGTAACATCAGGATGGTACTGAAACTACAGTAGTTGAGTAGTGTCTTCAAGTCTTCAGGTCTTGCCTGCCTTCAGATCTGTGCAAAGGCTACAGTAGTACCGTGAAGTCTGAATTGGGGAACTTGCTGGATGTGATCATCATGGACTGGATGAGGGTGTACTACAGTGGAGTGTGTATACATGGATCATAAATAGTGTGCATCTCTTTAAAAGTCATCGACCGGCTGATTATGTATTGAGCCTCATAGACGAAGTACATACCTTGTGTATGATGCAAGTACTACCTGAAGCCTCAGATTCATTCTAAACTCTGCGTTGCGCCATACCGGGACAAGGTGGCTAGAATTGTTTGATCCCAGATTGATTCCGGGTACTACTCCGAGAGAGTATAAGATGCAGCTGTACAGTAACCCGAGACGCCTTGGAAAACGAGGTGTATAATTCTTTCGTAGATATGCAAAATAAGAAGGATCAATTTCCACGGACTTCGTTCGGTCAAGCCTTTCGTTAAGTAAAACACTTCAATCCGCGTCTTCATGAATCAGAGAATAATAAGTTTTCCCCTGAGAAAGCTCAAACTCGTTGGTTGGTATGTAATCGATCCTGGCTGCCGCCCTGCCACGCAAGCAAGGATTCAGCAGCCTTTCTCAAAAACAACGTAGAGAATAAAATATATTATCAGATGGAAAGAAAAAACATACAACAGCCAGGATTCGCATGTGGTCACCCACCATACTACTAACTGGCCGGCGTGTGGCTTGAGTACGGCTGAGCGGACGGGAAGCCCTATTTTCCACACCCTATGGTCGTATGTGCTTAAATTAGCTGCAAAGAGAATTAACACGCTTCGCAACAATGTAAAATGGGAAGGATCAATGTCTAAAGATATCGTTCGATTAAGCCCTTCTGAAGTTAAACTCTAAATATTTTAATAGGTAGAAGAAGAATAACTCTCTACCTCTAAGAAAGCTCGGACTCGTTAGTTAGTATATAGCCGATCTTTGCTACCGTCCTACTATAGAAGTAAGGATCTAGCAGCCTTTCTCAACATCAGTCTTAGAGAATATATCATTCAAATAAAAATAAAAAACATACAACAGCCAGGATTCGCATGTGGTCACCCACCATACTACTAACTGGCCGGCGTGTGGCTTGAGTACGGCTGAGCGGACGGGAAGCCCTATTTTCCACACCCTATGGTCGTATGTGCTTAAATTAGCTGCAAAGAGAATTAACACGCTTCGCAACAATGTAAAATAGGAAGGATCAATGTTCAAAGACTTCGTTCGATTAAGCCTTTCTAATATAAAACTCTAAATATCTTTATAGGTCTGAGTAGAATAACGTCCTACCTCTGAGAAAGCTCGGACTCGTTGGTTAGCATATATCCGATCTTAGCTACCGCCCTACCATAAAAGTAAGGATCCACCTACAGCAGCCTTTCTTAAAATCAGTCCTAGAGAGTATATCATCTGGATAAAAAGGAAAAACATACAACAGCCAGGATTCGCATGTGGTCACCCACCATACTACTAACTGGCCGGCGTGTGGCTTAAGAACGGCTGAGCGGACGGGAAGCCCTGTTCTCCACACCCTATGGTCGTATGTACTTATGACAACTGCAAATAGAATTAAGACGCTTCAAATAATACTAAATAAAGGATGAATTTCCAAGGACTTCGGTCAAGCCTTGAAAGTAAGACTCTCGACCGTATTTTCACAACTCTGCAAAAAATAGTTCTTTCTTCTGAGAAAGCTCAGACCAGACTTGTTGGAACTCAGTCGGCATGTATTCAAGCCTGCTTGCCGCCCTGCCACGAATGGAAAGTAAGCATTCAGCAGCCTGTGTCAAGATATATTAAGAACAAAAAGCGAAGAAGTAAAAGCATACAAGAGTAAGAATTCGCATGTGGCCACTCGCCATCCATACAACTCGCTTACTAATTGACCGCTGTGTGATCCGAACACGGCTGAAATCAATAGGACTAGGCTAAGGTGCCTTCCTACCCTCAAGCATCATCCGTCGCGCGATGAGGGGTGATTAGCGCCCTGGGTGTGCGACAAACGGGTGAGATCCTCTAGTTACAGCATTGACCACCCGTCTCTTCCTTTTGGGGCACACATAAACATCAAACAACTGGAGAACATTGATCGGGCCTCTGCCATACGCCTCTGAGCCCCAGTTACACTGCCTCGCTCCAGCAAGTTTTTCATCGCCAATTAATGCTGGCTTAGGTAGGTTTCTTTTCAAAGGCCAGAATCCGTTGGCAGGTATGGATTCTTCACTTTACGAGGGGCGGTCAGTTCTCTAGAGTCTAGATATGTTGATTGCTGACTGCGGTAAATCGTACTTCAAGCGACTGCCTAATGTTTCAGAAAAACAGACTCGCCGTCCTGTCTTTGTGGATATACTCTATCTATACTCCATCTCCACTGGCTACCTCGTCGAAACCTCTCATAGTTTTGATATGCGCGTTCCGTAGGCTGGTAGGCTGGTAGGCTTGTAGGCTGGTGCCGTATCTCTTTACTGCACATCAGACGGTTGTATAATAGAATATCGCCTAATCAAGCTTCCAGATCTTGGATGCTACGTCGACCTAGGCTAGGTAGTTAGTGCTGTCTCTCTGCCCATAAATTTTACAGCCACTACCGAAATTTGCTTCCTCCCCGAAGACTGCTTCTCGCGGCCCAGAACCCACTGAGAAGGCATAGGCGCTAAAATGTAATTCGCGAACGTAAGTGCAAATGATTCTGGATCGTATTGTGCTGTTTTATGACAGCAAATTACGGTTTTCATTTCACTAGAAAGTCGAAAACAGGCAGTGAGACACTGTATGACATTCTCTTCAACTTGGGCAGAGTGCAGACATGTCTTCCACCGGTCAAGCCTCATACGGAAAGGATGATAGGTAAGTGCTCGTCAGATTGCAGCCTCAAGAGTACGAAGGCTCATTAGTAACCAGGGTGTTATATGCAGAGTTTCATCCTCACAACTCATTGTGACATGTACTCGTATCTGGTAGTCCGCTCGTTCCCCAGGACGCCCTAGGCTGGCGCTTGGGTGTTGCGCTCGTTCAGCCGGGATTGTTGGGGATAATCGTGAGGCTCTACGCTAGGTACCCGCCCGCATTCGAGACTTATGGCTGGTGGTCTCACTTATCTTATGTAGTTTCCGTTTGACAACTGCATCGAAGCCCTTTCTCCTTAAACTCTCTCTTGTTGAAATACACCGATCCTGTAGCCGAACATGCCGCTGAGACCTTTGAGCCGCGATGCCTACCGGGTGGGATGGATATGCCCGTTGGAGGTGGAACAGATCGCGGCAATGGAGATGCTAGACGAGAATCATGAACGTCTTCCGCAACCGCCCGGGGACACAAACATCTACAATCTCGGCAGTATCAACAACTATAACGTGGTCATCGCTGGTCTCCCGCGGGCGGGGAACTGCTCTGCAGCCACTGTCGTTACTCAAATGAGGATGACTTTCCCAAACCTCAGGTACGGCCTGCTGGTCGGGATCGGGGGCGGCGTCCCCACAAAGACCGACTGGGGAACGATCCGTCTTGGGCATGTGGTTGTTAGTGAACCGACAGGTGTCCACTCGGGGGCGATACAGTACGACCACGGGAAGGCGAAGGCGGGTCAATTTGAACGCAAAGGGTCTCTCGCACCGCCGCCAACTGCTCTTCTTAACGCTGCGCGGGAAGTGGCTGTCCAGCGCCAACGGGTGGATGATGATCCAATCTGGATGAATTTGCATCGAATCCAGACGGGCCGTCGAGGATTGCGCCGCTTCAAATACCCTGGCGCTGCGAATGACTATCTCTACCCACCCAGCTATCCACATGGCCAGGAAGGGGTACCGTGTGAGAAATGTGGATGTGACCCAGGGCAGCGTATCGAGCGACCGACGGACGAGGAAGATGACTCGTTCATTGTTGTACACCGAGGCACCATAGCATCTGGGGAGTTGGTGATAAAGGATGCTCAGAAGAGGGACGATCTGGCGCAAGAGCATGGGGTACTATGCTTCGAGATGGAGGCCGCAGGAGCCCTTACCGATTTCCCATGTATAGTGATTCGAGGCATCTCCGATTATTGCGACTCGCATAAGAACGACCAGTGGCATGGTTACGCAGCGGCGGTGGCGGCCGCGTATGCACGGCAGTTATTTTTTCACATGTCCATCGAAGAGGTGCAACGGTAATCTGTGACTGTCCCGGCATGGGAAGGCCAACGACAGATATTTATAGCTGATCAATGCGTTTTCTTAGAGATCCGAATATAACGCCTACATCTTTCGAGCTCCCGCTTAATCTGTCCGAGACATCCCAAGTGGCCCGGTTTGTCGCACGAGAAGATCAGCTGAGGAGGATCCAAAAGATCTTCGACACACCTGCTGGACGCCGTACTGCTGTGGTGCATGGGTTAGGTGGTATCGGCAAGACGCAGCTGGCAATCGCATACATCAAACGGAACCGGTCTGATCATTCGGCGGCACTATGGCTCAATGCAAAAGATGAATCAGCACTGAAGCAAAGCTTTGCTCGCGCAGCTGAGTGGATTCAACGCCACTATCCATCTCTGACATATATTAAAAGTGCTCTGGAGAGCCGAGACCTGGACATGACGGTGAAAGCGGTCAAACGATGGCTGGATGAACCGAAGAACGATCGCTGGGTGGTCGTCTATGATAATTATGACAATACCTTATCGGGCAATCAGAAGGAGAAAAGCCTAGCCTCTGCTTCCTTCTTTGAAGCAAAAACCAAGGGCGACCACGATGAAGATCTCGCAAAGGCATTCGATCTGCGGCAATTCCTGCCCGAGACCGACCATGGTGCCATTCTTGTGACCACGCGGTCCTCGATGGTAAAGCTAGGCCAGATGATACACTTACGCAAGCTTGAAGATATCAATGATGGTCTTGAGATCCTGGCTTCCGTCTCTGGGCGTAAAGATCTAAGACAAGGTGAGCATCGGGCGCACGGTTTGATGTCATGTACTAATATCAAGCAGACCCCGCAGCCACGGATCTTGCAAGGGAGCTCGATGGACTTCCCTTGGCTCTCGCGACGGCTGGGGCATATTTAGAGCAGGTGTCAACTAGCTACACCGAGTACCTCCAGCTGTACCGAGAATCATGGCAGCGATTACACGAAGAGACGCCACAGCTGGAGGCATCCGATCAAAAGCTGTACTCGACATGGAATCTCTCGTACCTATACATCCAGCAGCAGAGTCCAAATGCGGCTACGCTTCTCCGACAATGGGCCTACTTCGCCAGTGAAGACTTATGGTATGAGCTGCTGAAAGCCAGCGGCCCGGAGACGCCGGAATGGCTGGGCGCACTGACAAAGGACGAGCTCACATTTGACAAAAGCTTAAGAATTCTGTGCAGCCACGGCCTCGTTGACGCTGACCCGGTTTCACCATTGCAGCGCGGGAAGTCACGAGGGTATAGCGTGCATGGCTGCGTTCATTCGTGGATGATGCATGTGTTAAACCAGGGATTTGATAAGTCCATGGCCTGGACAGCAGTCCAATGTGTAGCGCGGCGGGTACCTAAACATGGCGAACACGAATACTGGCTTGTACAACGGCGGCTGATTGCACATGCAGACCGATGTCTCAAGATCTTGAGAAATCAAGAAGTTGATGATGGCGCTGTGGGGTCTCTATGTTCTTTGGGTCTTCTCTATGCGGATCAGGGCCGGCTCCTGGAGGCAGAGGCGATGTTCAAACAAGCTCTGGAAGGCAAGGAGAAAGCGTGGGGACGAGAACATACGTCGACACTGGGCATCGTCAACAACCTCGGTGTTCTCTACGCGGATCAAGGCCGGCTTCAAGAGGCAGAGGCGATGTACGAACGAGCACTGGAAGGCAAAGAGAAGGCGCTGGGACGAGGACACACGTCGACTCTGAATGCCATCAACAACCTTGGTCTTCTCTACACGGATCAAGGTCGACCCAAAAAGGCAGAGGTCATGTTTAAACGAGCTCTAGAAGGCAAGGAGAAGGTGTGTGGACGAGAACATACGTCGACGCTGGAAACCGTCAACAACCTCGGCAATTTCTACGCGAAACAAGGCCGACTCCAAGAGGCAGAGGTCATGTTTAAACGAGCTCTAGAAGGCAAGGAGAAGGCGCTGGGGCGAGAACACACGTCGGCGCTGGAAACCGTCAACAACCTCGGTAATCTCTACGTGAAACAAGGCCGACTGCAAGAGGCGGAGGCGATGTATAAACAAGCACTAGGAGGCAAGGAGAAGGCGTTAGGACGAAAGCACAAGTCGACGCTAAATACCGTCAACAACCTCGGTATCCTCTACACGGGTCAAGGCCGGCTCCAAGAGGCAGAGGCGATGTACAGACGAACACTACCTAGTGGGTAAGAAGAAGGCGCTGGGATGAGAACATACTACGTTCGATGCTAGAAACCGTCCACAGCCTCGATAGTCTTTACGCCGAACAATGCCGGCTCCAAGAGGCAGAAGCGATGTAGGAACGAGCACTCGAAGGCTACGAGAAGATTTTCATTGTGACCTCACCTCTTACCTACACCCCTGCCCTGAAGATTCTCACAAATCATGGCTTTCTATATGAGAAATATAGGGCAAACTCAGTAGATACCGCTCTCCTGTATTATCACTGGACGCTGGTGAGTATTGAGGCTGTTTAGGGCCGGGATGGCGAACATTATGCTTCGCTTTCCAACAGATTGAGAGTCTTTGACTCTTTTGGGTTTGAAGGAACCTACCTTCATAAGCGTAAGTTACGTAGCGACACAGTCAGAACTCGGATAAGATTATATTATTATTCAATAGTCTTTATTCTAGTTTTATAATGAGATTGCAGAGTCATGATTTAGGGGCGTGTTCGTATGGTATATGTACTGCCGTCTCACCGTAGTCCATAGCCTAGATAGAATCTCTCCTAGCCAGTCACTCTAACACTCATTCCTCTCTCATATCGTGATGCTGCATCTACTATAGTCACCTTCCATCAGAGGGATATAAGGTATTCTGTTCATATGGCATATGAAGAACAATCTCAAATAAGCAGTGTGAAGTCTTCCTCACCGTAATCGGGGCAGCTACGATTACGAGTTAGATCATCGGTCTAGTAACGACAAAGCAACGCTAGTGGTTTATAAGCATGGAGTAGTAGTTGTATAACAATAACGAATGTAGTATACAGAATCAAGATAAGCGTAAACAGGTAGGAAAGTTTTGGCGTAACCTCATAATGATCCCCAGTGTTGAATCTTGAGTTTCATTGTCAGGGTGTGTTGAATGTAGGACGCAGAAGAGAGTAGGACTGGTCGGCCGGATTGAGGTATACCTCTAATGCTTAAAAATCATGGCGTTACCTGCCCCGACCGAGGCACAAGCATTAATCAGGCCATTTGCCGTGTCTTCGCAGCCCATCATCTGTGTCATAAGGTCCTTGAAGTCTGCCCCACTAATCGTGGTTCCAGTAACTCCGCCACCAACACCGCCAGGGCCATTGATGTTCTGAGTGTTTCCGATAGCCAGAGCGCAGTTGCCCGACTGATACATGATGCTTGCGGAGCTAAGGGGACCCGTGTGCACGACGCTGATGGCGTTCATGGGATCTGACACAAATCGTCAATAAAAGCGTTTTCTACATGGTTAAGTTTAGCCAGATCTGGTAGTCACGTACCCATCACATTGGCGTTAACATCAATCTGGGCAATGGCGTCTCGGCAGTCATTGGCATTAGCATCACCTTGACCGTCGCAGCCACAGCTAAAGAGCCAGGACTTGCGCTTGTCGACTGCGGCGCCCATGCAGACAGATGCCAGGGTGACAGCAGAAATGAAAGCTGAGGTGAAATGCATTTTTGATGTAAGATGAATGTTTGCCTTGAGGGTCGTCGATTGTATATGGAGGATCTCGAAAGAAGTGGCGTTATGCTGATAACGGTTGTGGTACTGTGGTAGTCGTATTCGTCTCTGGTTGATGCTCTTTGAGAAGTTCTCTGGAGATTGGATACCCTGACGGCTTTTATATTTCGAATAGTAACCTGGAATTTGCTGGTTTCTACGTTCACCACCAGAATGAGGAAATGCTCATTCGCGAGCCCCCGAGCCCCTAGGGTGACGTAGATTTTTGGGGCCGTTCAAGAAGCTCAATCCTTCGAACGACCCTATGACATATGTGCAGTTTTCGGTGTGATGACTGTGAAAGAGGCCACCAACAATGGTCCTACCAAATTTCTCAGGGGACCAGGTTGATGGTATGTCATGCTGTGGGGAAGTATAGAACTGTCGAAGGTGGCATCGGGTAGCCTGAAGGATTCTTTGTGGGTCCGGAGAAAAAGTACTGTACACTTGTACAGTGCACAGGAACATTATGTAACCTCATATAAGCGTTTGCTTACTCACCGCCATCAACTGTAACTATAGTTAGTTAATCGGGGCTAACACGATTCAGGAAAACGGTAGACAGTGCCTACTGCCTACTGCCTACTGCCGAATAGGCACTGCATATAGACGCACGTTACCTGCTGAATGCGTCTCCGCTTTTGAACGCACAGGGCTCTGCGATCCTAGGGGCGTATTACATCATTTTGGGGGGAGGCGTAGAGAGCCAGGGTGTACCACAGCCTAAAGTCAGCATTGCCCCCCGGATCAACATGCCCCCAGACTCAGCAAGGCCCCCCCCGGATCGGCATGGCCCCCAAGATCCCAAACACTAGTCGTCCAGTAGTAAGGTACTACAAAGCGCAGGTGGCTTACGTCTGAGTAAAAACCGCACGCCCGTCAGATGGAGAATGTTCTTGACATGGCTTACGTCGACCATTGGGCAGTTCACGTCTGCTCCGGTCCACCTATTGAGTCGAGATAGGGAGCAGGAATGACCTTAGTCCTCTTTGCCACCGCCTGGAAACTTTGGGGAGTGAGTCTTGCCGGGTATGGACATATGTCAGCAATCAAAACGTTATGCCTACCAAATTACCCTAGGAATTTTCCGGGCCCTGACCGGGTAAAAGGCAGATCGAACGGATCAACAGGACCCTTTTCCAATAAGTCACGGAATTTACGGTGCCATCGCCCTGGGGTGTAAAAGTACACATATCTGTCATGTCACATATCTGTCATGTGTCATTGACATATCCACTCCAAATCTCCTTGAATCCCAAGCTTATGTCCCTGAGACATTGAAAATCAACCTCGCTTATTGAACCCTAATAAGTCGACTTGAGCGATATGACGACCTCGTGAAAGACTCTCATGATCAGTGCGGCCGTATAGGGAAGTTATAGTTCAAAGTTCTGCTGCTATCACGTCACAGAGCCTCTGAGAAGTACAATCACTCACCTTGCATAGCTCATGAGCAAGTGGGAAAATTCTCTGAAATCATGGACCGGACCTTTCAACAGATACACGGTAAGACACATCTTCACGACAAAAAAGACTAGCTAATTCCCTTTCTCGAGCGCTAGGACGACTTCCAACTGACTTACCAACTGCCCAGTGCCTATACTTCAGGGCTGCTCAACCGATTGTACCTTCAATACTCATGTTTGCTCCTTCGCTAACAAAACAACGAACTCCATCCACTTAGCTAAGCTCAGCTGCTTTGTACAGTGTTGTTCCAAGAGCCATCATTTTATAAAAAGGAGTAGCAGTAGCAAAAAAACATACAACAGCCAGGATTCGCATGTGGTCACCCACCATACTACTAACTGGCCGGCGTGTGGCTTAAGTACGGCTGAGCGGACGGGAAGCCCTGTTCTCCACACCCTGTGGTCGTATGTACCAGAGAAAGTAGACATAAGAAATATAAGCCTTTTGTTTTTGCGTGTTGTGCTTGTGGCTGCTGCACATTTCTTACTTCGCCATGACCTTAGTTATTACCAGAGGTTGAGTCATCAAGTTTTCTGGAATTCACGCACATGGGACTTGAAAGTAGCTTGCCTAGACAGTTCCCAGTCTCGCATTTACTAAGTTCATTTGTAGCGTTTCAAAGACACTCAAGGACTATCCTTGGACCTAGCCAGCTCCAGATAGTTTTCAATTTCCTCATCAAGACTTTCCAACAACCTCTCACGATCCCAGACCGGTTTCCAACCGATCAGGTCCTTATTCAAACAACTCACCTTTGGACTGCGCGATTTAGCTTTATGTTCTGTAGTTGAGGAATTGTCTCTTCTGACATACCTCGAGTCCCACATGGTCAGGGTCAGATTGACGGGAAGGTCCAGTGCCTCTGCTGCAAATGCATCATCCGGCCATGTCTTTGCAGTTGGCTCGTCCACGAGTCCACGATTGTGCATTGCGATTGCTAGTCGATCCAGAATCTCCCACCATCTGGCCGAGTGTGAGACTGTGAAGTAATAGCCTGATGTGCCGGCCGGCAGGGCTCGTTTTTGGAGCACAGCTTCAACTATTTGAATGTAGAATGTCGTGAGGTCGGATATATGCGTGAGAAGAATTTCCTTGTTGACACATCAGAATCTTGATCGATCGAGGGATGGGTTCTATTCTCAAGGAGAATAGCAACAGAATAGACATCTAGCGAGTCGAGCGCTGCGAATTTGACGTGATCTTTGACATACCTTATCCCTGGCAAACTTGAAGACTTGCCTATTCGCAATAGCCGTTCGAATGAGGGCCGGTAGTAGTAGCGTGGTTTGATTCCATGTTCCGCCTCCTCGCCCATCTATCAAGCCAAAGAGGTCAGAAGATTGCCGCTCTGCCAATCGCTACTGTCGTTCATGTCTTCTTCAGCCAAATACTAACACAGAGATGAAGGTAACACTATCAGACCCGTCAACCCGGCCGATTCTGTCTGTTCGGCAACGAGGACATCAACCTGGATGCGACAGTATAAGTACTCAGCGCCGATGATAGGTGCGAATGATCGGAGTATGGGTTGGAATGATCTCACCTCCCGCACGACATACGTGTCCGTACACTGTTTTTCGAGAAAATACACGGGGTCAGTATCTCTCACGTGTCCGAAGGGCCATCCGGTACTTTCGTCAAATGCTGATAGACCCGAGTTCTGCGATTAGACTCAGTAAGGCGATCCAAAAATGGACATGCCCGACTCAAGGTCGAGAGCTTTGTCGGCTACTTACATGGATGAAGCACGCTTTCTTCCCGTTTGCCTCACGTCGCCGTTTGAGCGCTTCTATCAGGTTATGCGCGATGTCTCCGTCTATGGATGTTGCAGTGTGAACAATGATACTCACTGCAACAGTATATATCATATCAGTTTCAGAATGACTCGAGTCTCACAGGGTAAGAGACACAGGCGAAAATGATGAAAATGATTGGGGCCTTGATCCGTTGGAAATAGGCCGACATGCCAGAAATGGGATGTCGCTCACCGTCATTGCGTATCATATAGCCCGCCAAGGCATATGGATTGTTCAGGTCAATTTTTGCAGCAACCACATTATTTTTGGTAAGGCTCTGAGCTTGCTCTTCCGAGCGAACAGCAGCATGTATTGTCGCTTTCGCGAGCAGGCCATCCTTGACGTGGGCGAAGCTTGCAATAATAGATCCTCCTCTTTCATCAGTCAGTCCCAAGCTTCATGTTCAAGACACTGACTTGGTCGAGACGAAGTGGATTGATACTTACATATAACCGCAGGCACCAGTTATAAAGATGTTCTCACCCATTCTCGAGGTTCGAAATTAGCTGGGCTAGGTATTTATTGCCGTCGCCCAAGCTTTGCCAAGCTTTCTCAATAGACCCGCTTGCCGATGGACTCTCTTCTGTGGGTTCGTCTACCCGATGAAGGTCGTCTCGGGACTTCAGACGAACTCAGGCGTGAAAGAGACAGAGATTTGAGGTAAGAAGCTCATACGTACGAAAAAGTTGATTCGCGTCAGACAATTAAGCTGGTGACAAAATCTTCCGGGGTCTTTCGGCTAGTCACCTTATGAGATCTAAGGGAGGTGGCTTTTCGGGCGCGGGGTAGAAAGTGCATCAGCGGACCTCGTGCGGATAGCGGTGCATGGTAATTAAGGGAAGAACAATTTGTCACATGCCCAAAGACGGGCAACGGTAGAAAGTCAATTTCGGGAACGAAGTCAGTCCTTGAGATCAGTGTACGAAGAATGGTTTCCATGGTTCTGATGACCGACAATCGAGATCCTACCCTGAGGCTCCGCACGGCTCTCTTTGCTCAAGTGCAAACAAGGGTTCGCCGGATGTGGACAGTACTTCCTCATCTGATTTAAGATCTGAGATTATCGTGTACGGTTGCTCCCCGCGACCTTGTCTGCAATATCCTGGATCGTGTATGGTCCACATATCAGATCAATCGATATGGTCGAAGACAAAATGATCAATCCCGTCAGGATACATTCGGGAGCCCAGCCACATACTAGGAGGGTTTGCTCCTTCCACAATAAAGCACATCTCTCCCAAGAGGTTGTTTCTGTATGACATCCCTGGCTCTGTAGGAATGGAGATCCGAGAGACGCCTCGATGATAAACTTCTGCTTGCATGGAATCTTGACCATGTCCTGCAAAAGCTTCTCGTCGGTATGTTGCCATGCTCCTTTGAACGTCAGCTCGCGCAGTCAAGGGGGTACAGTACAACTTTTCAATGTCGAACAGTTTCCACTTCGTGGACGGCTAGAAAATTCACAATTTTTTCAGGTTATCAAAGGCAGTCTCCAAATATGGTCTTCGCTTGAGATCAAATGTTTTCACGATGGAAATATCGAAAGCGCGTCTCAGGCATTCAGAAGGAGAATTTCTGCCAAGCGCTCAGACTGACTCCATCTCATCGCCTTTGGCCTTCATTAGATTCCCAGTCCAGAAATCAACTTCTCGGAAAGCGTATCATTGAGAGTTAACACAGTCCAGTGTATCATTCCGACTCGCAACTGTCATTACTGTTTTTCCAAAAAGTCATCAGCGATTTAGCCATAGTGTTGCTCCAATCCATGTCGGGCGTATTCAGTAAAAGCCAAGGGATGTCCAACTTCTGGCGAGTCATATATTTTTCTAGGCGTAGTTTGGCGTGTCCAGGTCCGAGGTCGGTGTATTGCGTGTAATCACCTGCGCAAAGAAGAGCACGCTTTGCTACGTTGACCACCGTCTGGCGCTTGTGGCGACGTTTCTGGCTTTCTGGATGGGATCAACCAGCTCCTTGAACGATGATTTCCCTCTACCTTCTCGCGTGGTGGTCATGCTGGGGGAGTTTTTTGCATATAACTTAGCTTGTGTTTGGTATCGAAGCTGATCGGAGTGAAATGAATGTAATGGAAGCAGGAGAAACCTGTGTAGCGTGCACTGGAATGCACGAGCGGACCTCCTATGGATCCGATCCAGATAAGGAACAACTCTCGTCTCAAGCTTTATTTGAAACCTTATAGAGGATCTACTGTACAGTTGATATTCAGATGCGAGGGTTTGTAAAAATACACAAGGACGGACACGCTGGCCGGTAATGCAGAGCCAATCCAACAATCAGGCCCATAGAGCACAACGTCAATGCAAATGCAATGCAACGCCATGCGAATGCAATGGGTTAATAGACAACATTCATCAACTTCCCTCCCTTAACAACGATGACCCGCTTCCTCTTCTCCCAATCATTCTTCTCTTGCAACCATAGCTTACCCTCCGCTGTTTCCAAGACTCGACCGATAATCCAGTCTTGTTCTTCCTTCGATGGACCCTTGCCACCAGCGGGTGCAGAACTGGATTGCTCCATTCGTGGAATGGTGACTGCACAGCGTAGCTTTCCATTGATTTGAACTGCAACTGTTTGGCCACCACGTGTAGAGAGAATCTCTGCTTGCTCTTGGGTGAGGAGGGGAGTGGGCCAGGGGCTGGAGTGAACTGAGGGTACTGAAACCTCAAGGCCACTGGATTTTACAACCTTCTCGTGGAGGATCTCCCAAGCCTCTGATGCAAAGGCTGGTGCGACGGGGGCGAGAAGGCGGAGAAGAGATGAGACGGATAGATAGAGCACGAGGGGGCTGGATGGTGGAGTAGATGAAAGAGCATTGGTCAATTTGATCAAGTCGGAAATGACCGTGTTCAACCCGTAAGGGTCTGACTCGATGCACGAAGTCACAGATGACACAATTTTATGCGATGCTAGAATTGCATCCGCATCAGAGTCACTCAGTTCCTGCAGAGAGGTTGGCAAGTCTACGATGTGTCCATCGGATCTCTCCATGTCGTCCACAGGAATGGATAATGATGCGCGGGTCAAGGACTGCTGAGTATCGAGAACCAACTTCCACAGTCGACCAAACCAACGCTCAACCCCGACAATCTTGGTTTCGTCCCACTCGAGAACTTCGCTGACAGGGGCAGAAAACAGAATGTGAGCACGGGTTGCATCAGCACCATACTTTGCAGCACAGACAGTGGGGTCCACGCCATTGTATTTGCTCTTGGACATCTTCTCAAAAGACACGTTGGGCGTCATCTGAGTTCCCTTGATCAAGGGTTGGTCAGGGCTTGTCAGGTCGACTTCAGATGGTAGCAAGAATCGGCCAGTTGAGGGCTCTGTAAAAGTCTTACCATGAACCATACCCTGGGACAAGAGTGTCTTGAAAGGCTCAGCGGGGCCATTACCGGTGTCAAGGCCTTGGGGGAACAGCTCGGACTGAGCAAGGAACTTGTAGATAAATCGAGCGTACAGGAGATGCAGAATTGCATGCTCAACGCCGCCGATGTACACGTCTACCGGTCGTGCAAGGGAGGGTGAAAAGGGTGCCTCCTTGTTTGCGGGATCCAGAAAACGCAAAAAGTACCAGGACGAGTCAACAAAGGTATCCATGGTATCCGTATCACGCTTGCCAGGACCACCGCAGCTGGGACACTCGGTGTGCAGCCAGTCCTCGGATGACTCAAGAGGGTTACCTTTCTTCCCTTTCAACCATTCTCCTTCGATCGTGGGCAATTTCACAGGGAGATCCTTAGTCGGGACCGGGACTGGGCCACATTTGCCGCAGTGAATGATGGGAATCGGGGCTCCCCAATACCTTTGCCGGCTGATGAGCCAGTCTCGAAGGCGCCACTTTTCAACAAATCGAGCATGGCCAACTTTTATCAAGTCCGCCACAATTTGCTTTGCGGCTTCTCGGGAATGCAGGCCTTGGTACTTCCCACTTCGAGAGGTTAGCAGACCATCCTGAGTGAAAGCTTTAGCGTCCTTGGCAGGTATTGTGCTGTCATTTGCACCGCTAAGTGAAGACTCCGGCTCGATCACGATTGGAATGGTTTCTGGATTCATGTTTTCCTTGCAGAAAGCCAGATCTCGGGCGTCATGACCCGGCACGGCCATAACGGCACCTTCTCCGTAGTCGCTCAGGACATACGGTGCGGCGAAGATGGGCAATCTTCTCTGAAGGTGAGAGCTTTCACCATCGATCAGCCGTAGTGGATGAGATGCAGTCACATCTTTCAAGCGATAGCCGGCCTTTGAATCAGCTGGCAACGATGCGGCTTCATCCAAGAATTTCCGAAGCGCCGAGTCGGTCTCAGCTGCCTTGACAACAATGGGATGGTCCAGCGCCAGAGCAAGATACTCCACACCGTGCAGAGTATCTGGACGTGTGGTGAATACTTCTACACGGACCTCCTGTCCATCAGGGCCGGTGGTGACTGGAAATGTGACGTTTGCGCCGTATGATTTTCCCAACCAGTTCCGTTGCATGGACAACACTCGCTCGGGCCAGCCCCCAGCGAGCGAATCGAGGTCCTTAAGCAGATCTTCCTTGAATCGCGTGATGCGGAAGAACCATTGTTTGAGTTTCAGCTTCTCAACTTTGGCGCCAGATCGCCACGAAAACCCATTCGCATCCACTTGTTCGTTCGCAAGCACTGTCTTGTCAATGGGATCGTAATTCACCAACGCTTCCGCCTGATAAGCTAGTCCTTTCTCGTGAAGCATGAGAAATAGTCGCTGTGTGTGCTCGTAGAATTCGGGGGCGCAGGTCGCTAGTTCCTGTAGACATGGATCTTGTCAGTCTTTCATTTCTAGAACCTTGAGCCAAATGTCGCGCTTTCAGTATGACGAACCCTGTCCCAATCAAAATGAGCTGAGATACACTTCAATTGCTCCTTCATCCGTGCAATATTCTGCTCCGTCCAGACCGCAGGATCAACGCCGCGCTCAATAGCTGCATTCTCAGCGGGTAGGCCAAACGCGTCCCATCCCATAGGATGTAACACATCCCGGCCACACATTCTGTGATACCGTGAGATCACATCAGAGATCGTATACACTCTGAGATGTCCCATGTGCAGGGTTCCCGACGGATAAGGGAACATCGACAGGATGTATGATTTTGGCTTCGAGTCGGTCTCGGCCTGGTTTTTCAGCACCGATCGCGGTCGCGCCTCGAGCGCTTGCCATTTTGCTTGCCATTTCCGATCGAGAGCCGGAAGGTCAAGTTTCTTGTGCGTATGAAGTGTCGATGCTAGTCTTGGGAGACCAGTGGCCGAAAAGCAAAGTATGGGTGAGCGGAGGCTAGCCGGCGTGCATCTGCGAGCTCGCGCGAATGAAGGTGTCAATTGAATTCGGCGGAGCATTTCCATGGTGAGACAAAGCTCATCGTGGCCATAAGGACCAGATCTTGGAGGTGCCTAATTGCTGTTATAGGATGAAAACGAAGTCCACGGTCTGTGTTCCCGTGTCAGTTGACGCCGATCGCTGCTCAGGGTGATCTCGATATTATGTTGGGCCATGTCAGTCGCAATGAGTGAATCACAAAAAGCTTCCGCGGACTCTGAAGCCGCAATCTCCGAGGCTGGTAGCAAAATAGATTGATAAACATATTCTGAGTGATGAAACACATCGAAAGCCCGGCTAACTCAATTGGTCAGAGTGCCAGACTTTTAAACAAGAAAGAGTTATCTGGAGGCTCAGGGTTCGAGTCCCTGGTCGGGCGATTTCGATTTTCTTTTTGTTGCTAATATTAGCTTGTCCCCCTGCCGGATAATCGGCTCTCTGGACTGGGAATTGGCAGGCTGGTACCCAGTGACCCACACTACCCAGACTATTAGAATTTCACCAGAGCACTACGATGCGGATGCATTCCCGAGTACCTTTGGTGGTTCGAATTCGAGATTGGCCTTGGTGGTAATTTAGCGCGTGTTGACCTCTTTGATAAGTGCTTTATATTACTGGTGATTCACGAATCAGCTCCCAGTTGAACTGTACCTTGCTTTTAACAAAGATGTACCCGCGAGGCGCTGATACTTCCTTTCACAAGATGGAGTAAACCATTAGATGCACCATAGCGGTGATTACAAGCAAACATAAACACATCTTTCCATGCACTTCCAGACAATAAAGTAACCTCATTGTCCCAATCATCTGCGCCGCCTCCCGTGCCTGTAGCGGTCGTCCGTTGGCCGCCGAAAAGATCTCTCCTACCCGTATACCTTGTTGCTGCTCTCGTGACGGCCTCACAATCAGCGTCTCGCAGCTAGGTGGCAGAAGACTGGCCTGTACCAGCAATAACATAATAGAAGAGGGAAGGAGGAGAGATAGGTGGGTAAAAAGCATGAGCGCCGATATCAGGATCTCGGATCTGACAATATACGCTGAACTCTCCATCGTGACCTTCTCGATCGACGCTGGAGCAAGAGTGCTGTTGAACACATCCGGCAGATACATCATCACTGCTTCGGCCGCGGAGTAGATCAAAGTGGGAAGTGCCAGAGCTCTCCATCGTCGGCGATCGTGGGGACTAGACACGAAGCGCAGCTGGTCGGGTGGAAGGATAGTTTTTGCGGTCCAGAAGAAATGGGTCTCCGCGAGCAGTATTGATGCAACAATATACGCCACCGGAGTAGGAAGTAAGATGGTTGATATTTTCGTCAACGAGGAGTGCATCACCCAGTAGGTACACGCGGAGCCGATGCCATTCAGGAGAAGACGAAAACCCCCTCTGCGGTAAAGGACAGCACTAGTCTGGAGCAAGTAACGACTTGAGGGAACTAGCTTCTTGTCTCCGAACTGAGAGCTATTGACCTGCTTTTCCACAGACTCGAGGATGAGAATGGACTTCAATACATGGCCAATGATGTATCGGACCTAAATCGGTTAGTTTTCGTAGACAATCAGGATTTTGTGTCAGTAGCTTACTAGAAGTTTGAGAATAATCCCGAGAGCAATAGGTGCTAAAAGTAAAATATGGTCGGTTTGAGCAGGGTCTTTCTGAAAGAGTCGATGAGCTCGCGCAAGTAGTGGATCATCTCCTGCGGAATGGATGACAGTATTGATGAGTTCGCGAAAGAGGGTTAACAAAAATTGTGGTCGTGGAGTGTATGCCATCGGTTATTGAGACAGTGAACGGGAGCAGGAATTTGAAGTTGTGCACTTTTTCTCCATTGCCCAGAAGGAAAGACAGTAGGTATTATATCTTCTCCGAAACCGAAACCGACGATTTATCCAATCAGAAAAAATCGCGCACCGACTTCGCAAAGTCCCGCGAAAGGATCGAGCTAATACCGCGCTACTGCCACGCTACTGCCACGCTACTGCCACGCTACTGCCACGCTACTGCCAAGCTACTGCCAAGCTACTGCCATGCTACTGCCATGCTACTGCCAAGCTACTGCCAAGCTACTGCCAAGCTACTGCCAAGCTACTGCCATGCTACTGCCATGCTACTGCCATGCTACTGCCATGCTACTGCCATGCTACTGCCATGCTCAGTTGCTCACACTGTCACACATACTATTATTTTCACCGTCTTAGTACTCCGTAGTGATCAACAGAACAAGTTCAATGCTGAAATCTTTTTTGAGCGGAGAGCACAACCAGTTCAGGCCCTCATCAGACGCCCATATGACTCAAAGACATACTTATACGGAGCTAGGCTACGGTAACAACCGAAAGTCTTATCATTAGCTATAGCAAGTAAACCCATCGCGATCCCAGTCGCTCCTTCCTCTCGCATTTAGCGCCTCATGCTCGATTTTCAAACACCATCTCATGGTGTATCAGTCAGAGCTTGGCTGTGTGCACATGCGACGTTCACACAGATCTTACAGTCACCTATCGGCCTGGTTAGTCCTAAGTGGGTACTGCTTCGCTGTTGCCTTGAAACTACCCCTCTCCAATGTCACGCTGTTCTAATGCGAAATCAACCCCTGGTCCCCTAGTGTCTCTAGGGATGCACCTTCGTCTAGCGGCTCAATGCTACTGGCCAAAGAGCGGACTTTTGACGGCCCTGGAAACTGAATCAAGACCAGTATCGGTTGCTAATGATCGGGTAAGCATCCATGCTCAACTATGAGGGTTATACTCTCGGAAGCCTTATAAATAGAGTCAATTCCACCAGCTGGATATGCACAGAAACAAGCACAGCAAGCTACTGTCTGATCAGTCTCTCAGCTCAGACCCTCCTCGGCCTCCTCTCCCTCTGCTCTTCCGGTTTCTTGATACCCTCCAATAACAATGAGAACTTTTTCGATATATCTCCTCGCTGGAGTGCTACTCGGACGAACCGCCCACAGCCAGCAGCTCAGCTACAAAGACAGCATCCAAGCATTAGCCTACGGCAATATCGCCACATCCTCAGTGGAATCCAGCGGCGATGTCTGGCTGAACATCACTGGCTTCGCGGAGACTGAACTGCCGCACATGCAGACGGTGGTGGGAATCCACTCCTTGGACAACGCCCGTGAGCTACAGGTGATTGCAAATCTGGCGCAAAATGCCGCGAGTCAGGCACTCTGGGGCGACCTCGTGTTTCTGCACAACGTCTTTTCAATGAACGCCTATCCCGCATATGCCAACGTTACGAGCACGCAGATGCAGGGAGGCCTGTTAAGTGCTGTGAGCGGCAAGAATGGGCCAGAAGAGAGCTTGATCGAGCTCTACGCCAGCACATCGAGCGTCCCGGGTCTAGGGGTGGCGTACCGCGCACTGCCCTCCCAGTACAACAAGCAGCATAGCAAATCCGACATCTCGTCCTCGGTAGCGGCGATACCCACGACGACGACCGCTGCCGCCATCGATAAACGGGAGATGGACTGGACTCGCAACCAAATCGTCTGCAGTGCCGCGCATGTTGCCGTGGGCGCCGCCTGTATTGCACTGCTTGGGCGCATCCGCCTCGATGGGAGCTGGAAGTCGGGCGGCCCACGTGATATTTGCTACGAGGGGTGCTGCATCAGCTGGAGTGCCAATGCCACCTTCCAGATTGAGAACCTTTATAACGATGCCCAGCGCTGTTATAGTATCTGCGTGAATGCGTCCGGGGGTGTTAGCTGCGAGGCTTACAACGTCAGTCTGCAGGGAACCATTGTCAACCAGTGCTTGAGCAACCGGCCGAATGGATGTGCTTAGATTGAGAGGGGAGTCGTATGGTCTTTTGTGGAAAATCGAAGTAAGGAGCTTAGCGAAAGGGAGAGGTTGTTACCCCCGAGGATGCTCCAACGACTTGGATGTTGGCCCGAGAGACCAGGTATGACATAACATTCGCGAAGCAGCAGGACGGGTGGACTCTGGAGGATGGATGTAAAATTTCCCGTCAAGATTAGTCTAGTCACCAGTACATACAATTTACTATTCAGTACTGTACTGAGTACTGACTAATGAGGATAACGGCTTGTCAGCAACGTAGAAGGATTCGAGATTTCGGCGGTTGCAGATGGGAAGAGTTTGGTGCCCTTAAGATTTCGAAACACTCTTTTCAAGGCACTCAAATGGCGTTGAGCAGGATTGTGCGAAATCTAGCCAGCTTAGTGACTGAATATTAAACATCTGGTCTGGTGTTGACCATTCGCCAGATCAAGGGGCCGATCTTCTGCGATATTCAAGGACCTCCTTCGCTGAAGCAGTTCCGGTATTCGCTTGTAAGGCTTCATTTTCAAAGAATGGCGAGGTCACCGCGTGCGCGTCGTGCATGTTGAACTTTCAAGGACTACTCGCTCTAAGATGTCTGCGTCAAAAAGGCTGGGCCATCTGTATGTTGTATCGCTGGTTATGGATGTCAAGCATCTCTCGACGGACAGCTAACAGACAGCCTTGTGGCGTCCAGTCACGTGCACACAACCATCGTCGCCAATTTGGAAAACCCTCTCAAGTTTCGCGCTTGCGCTCAGCTGAAAGATTTATGATCGCAATGTTGGATTCGTTTGAACAGATGTATGAAAACGTCCTCATCAACACCTTAGCCGACCTAACCTCTCGGTGGCCCAGTCTGCTCAACTATGACGCGGTCGAAGTGCAGTCCGCTTATCCCCGCCCCGGGGATGCGTCGCTTCGGAGATAAAGCTCGCCTTGATCTTCATGTCACTTTCTAGCCGGAGGTTTCCCGCGCGGCCAATGCACTTACCTCCGCCACGCGGCAGATCCCACAGGAATGAACGTGAAGTTACCCAGGCTCGCGGAGTCGCTAGTGCGCGACTGTAGCAGACAAGCTACCAATGCCCCAAAATTGACAAGAACACTCGCGACGACAAGACATCGGGCCAGTCGACTCCGAGCTCGCCTCGAGATACCTCCTCCGTTTCCGGTTACGAAAAGCTGCCCAGAGACTACTTGCAATTGTCCCACAACACCAGCGCTCCCCGAAGGTCTGCCGATCGACCATAAACAAGCGTTGAATGGGACGATGGCGGCGTATGCGCAGCAGCTTGTTGTCTGCACGGGACAGCGGGACTGGACCAGCCGGATAGAAGACGATGGAAAAGAGCAGGGATGGGGTGCACTCGTCCGGGGATTGAAACAAATGATGGGCCGTGGTGGGCCGTATCTTGACGTAAGTGAGCTTTTAACATCAACCCAAAATATTGCATCGACTACAGATCATATCTTCATTTTGCTGATCGTAATTATGGCGGTATAGCCATTCAACAATCTCCTTGTCACCAACTCGTCTCTCAAACCATCCGTGCCAAGTTCCACTGCCGCCTCAGCACTACTCTTTCCAGCTTTCAAATACATCCCTTCCATCCCGACCGCAGATCTCGAAACCTTCATTCGCGCATTCCTTTTGCCGACCCAGCTCCATGAGATGCACTCCTCCCTCCCTGAAGCTAAGCAACGGGACATGATCCGCGTGCCCGACCTGGAAAGCCAGTTCTCTAAGGTCATGAACATCCAGCAGTCTCCGACGATCCTCATTTGCGGACACGGAGGACGAGACATGCGATGCGGGATCATGGCTCCTGTGCTCGAGAAGGAGTTTCAACGAGTGCTAAGTACAGCCGGATTCCAGTTCGATGGGAGCAGCGGTGTTCAAGACGGGCCGAGCCACAGTAACGTGGGATTGATCAGCCATATTGGAGGGCACAAATACGCAGGGAATGTGATCGTCTATATCCCACCGAAGATGACGATGGGTCCAGAGACGACAGGAGAGTTGCATCCGCTGGCGGGCAAGGGGATTTGGTATGGACGCATTGAACCTAAACATGTGCAAGGGATCATCGAAGAGACCGTGCTCCGGGGGAGAGTTGTTGCGGATCATTTCCGAGGTGGAATCGATCGCAACGGCGACATTTTAAGGATGTGATATTAGTGAAGTTCCATTATCCATAAAGGTGTGCGCCATAGTATTGAAATCAGTAGGGTCAACTGCTAATGTTAATAGGAACTAGATATTCCACAAACCGACAAGCTTGCTGCCATTTATAACTTCGACTCCAGATCTTGCAATTTTGTATATTATTATCCCCCGACGACGGCCATCGATATCTCGTTCTTGAGCCAAAGACACGAAACCTGGAACGCACTTTCACACAGACCATTGAAATCGTCTCCGGGAGATCGGCAAAGGCCGAATAATTGGGTGGCTTTATGCTTGTGAAGCAGTCCTTCGAAGCGCTTCATGAATCGTAAATCTTACTCTCCCATAGTCAGGCCATTGCCCGCCGAGAAACAAAACCCAGTGGGTTTGATGTCGCCATCTGACGAGATTGCCCAGATGGCGGGCTCAAGGGGGTTCATTTCGGAGACATGGGACTCGTTCCAAGGCACAGATGTACCCTCGTAATCAACAAGCATTCCACCGGGTTCGAGATCAAAGTGGCGATGAAGCATGGCGAGACCAAACGTACGGTCTGTGCCTTGCTCAATGAAGAATACTTTGAAGACATTTTTTGACAAGTTCATCGCCATCCAACTCCACAAAGTGGGCATGTGTATCCTGAAGAGAAGGTAGGGTCTGAAATTAGTCGATAGAGTGGCCACAAACGTATACCTTATATTGGGTGAACATTTGACTTGAAGAAAAAAGAATCCAACCTTGTAAGATGATCTGAGATGGACTGATATGTCAACCGACGTTGGGTCGCTATTACCCCGACCAGGTGTTGACCATGGAGAACAAGGTCTCGCCTTTGATCACTAGTAGATGTATATAAATTTGCTCAATATCTACCGTCCAATGCTTCTTTATAGCTCACAACTGGAATACTGTTTGTGAATTTGTTTAATGAGGATCGAATGATCTACACGTAGAGCCAAACTACCCAATGGCTTTCGACTTCCTAACAATGTCTAGGCCACACCTGCACGTGGGGCAGCATAGAGTCGCTTGGCCTCTCAAATATTGTATCAATCTCTATCTCTCCCTTCGTCTCTCTCCCTCTCTCTCTCTCTTCCATAAGGACAGATTAGAGACTGGCACTTCTCCTCTCTTGAGACGTTGTGGTAGTGTCTTCTGGCTTGGAAACATAGTGTGTGATAGACTAATTGTATAAACGAGAGAGACGAGTATCCCCTGGCCCACTGTAAGGCTTAATCAAATGAGTAATTACCTTCTTCTCGAGCAGTCCAAGAGATCATCGCGACTGCCGTGTACTATCCGAACGGGCAGATGCGGACCAGAAGCGGACGAATTTCAAATGAATACTTCAACTCACAGCATCGATGGCTGCATCAGTGTGCCGAATATCAAATTTTGTTCTCTAGCTCCTCTCAGTCAAGGCTACAAGCTAGCAAAAACTGAAAAGTGAGATTTTCGAGTTGTCACGGGTGCTTTCACTGTCCTGGGTACAATTATCAGCGGTCTGTTAGCAATGATAAAAGCAAACTCTAAAACGCGTAGATTGTTCCCTAGGCGGCAGGCCTATCACCTTTCTGTTCAACGAGCTACCAGCTCTACCTTGACCGATACTTCAACTGGAAATGAAATTCTTATGGTTCTCATTTTGAACGAGGTGGGTTATTGAGGTAGAAGAAAGGCAATCCTGATGCTCTGCAAGTATAGGCGTACACGTGTCTACTTTATAACACTGGGTCATCAATCTGATAGCTGTCTTATCATTCATAACAGCAATCAGAATTCTGTCACTTACCGTTTATTTTCTGGTATGTTTCAATTTATCACTCCGTATGACGCCTATGTTTTGGTGACCAAGAGATGTAGGGGCAGCGGAAGGTTTTGTTTCCCTTTTATATATTCAGTTTTTTCCCCGGACCTAGCTTCGTCTATGCGCAAACTGTGAAAGTCTAAGGTATTTTCAAAAGACATATATTGACCATAAACACACAGGAGAGACGCGATATCCCTTTTAATAAAATCGAGAGTACCCAGAGTATCAAATTTCCCCAGTAGCGTTTTTGATTGTGTCTTGTAATGATGATAAGGTCGTCAGACAGTGATCATGCACAAGAATTAAGTACCCTATGGTAAGTCCTTGGTAAATCTTCATTTGCTGGCAAGTCTCGACAGGGTCATCCTTTCCTTTTCATAATACATCGGACTCGTATATGGCAGTCCAAAGAAGGATTAATCACACACGACCACAGGGTGTGGAGAACAGGGCTTCCCGTCCGCTCAGCCGTACTTAAGCCACACGCCGGCCAGTTAGTAGTATGGTGGGTGACCACATGCGAATCCTGGCTGTTGTATGTTTTGTGTGTTCAAATTTTTACTTGATTGATACATTGCCTGTGATTGTTCAATACGTTCTCGTGAAAGGCTGCTGAATCCTTACTTTTATGGTAGAGCGGCAGCCAAGATCGAATACACACTTAAACAAGTCTGAGTTTTCTCAGAGGTAGAAAATTGTTCTTCTCAGACTTGGTAAAGATACGAGTTTCGCTTATAAGGGCTTAACTGGACTAAGTCTTTGGATATTGATCCTTCCATTCTACATTGTTGCGAAATGTCTCGTTTTGTCTTGTAGTGAGTCCAAGTACATACGACCATAGGGTGTGGAAAATAGGGCTTCCCGTCCGCTCAGCCGTACTCAAGCCACACGCCGGTTAGTTAGTAGTATGGTGGGTGACCACATGCGAACCCTAACTGTTGTATGTTTTTTCTTTTGATGTTGTGTTCATCATGGTCAATGTTCTTTTTCTTATAGCCTGCTTTTTTGTTGAATCCTCAGTACACACAAGGATTTACATTTGCGGGGCCGCCAAGCAAGCCGTAAAAGTCCCCGGAGAGCCTCAGAGCAGTATAATTTTCGAAAAGGAGGAAAACTAAGCCGAATGAAACAACGATATTCACAACAGAGAATCTCATGATACGGCACATTCTGTTCTTGTGAGCTTTGGTGCTAACCCCTATGCCTTGAGAAGCCCGCCGTGATGGCCTTTAAAGAGTAACCCCCATCGGATAAAGCCTTGCTATGAAGACAGAGATGAAAGCGTATTTAACTGTCTGCGGCATGATCGCTACTAGGCATAGACGGGCAATACCTTAGGCCATGCTCACCCGGCGAGAGCATCTCTCATGTATAGGACGACTTTCAAACCTCTACCATATTTAGGCATCCATTCAGGTACCTTTCAAAATCAAGTAACGACAAGATCAATCATTCATACCAGCACGTTGACTCCCGCGTTCCGTGTAAAACAACAGGTAGACTGAAGTTCTTGAACCGTAGGAGGTATTAGTTCGTGAGCACGTGCGCAACATGCATACTTTGAGCAGCTTTGACTACTGATTAGTAACTAGTGCTCAGTCGCGGCACAAGCCTTCCAATATGACAAACCATCACTGCATAAGGGCGATACCTCGATAACCAGATATAAGTATTGATGCTAAGAGCAAATGTGCTTTGACGAGATACTGTGACATATACTCGAAGTTGACAAATGACTGAATGGATACCAGGGTCCATATCGTGGACTCGGCTCAATCTGGACAGAAATTGGCAGCGTGTGGGGGTGCAGGGCGACTTCGAAGAAAATGAGGATTCTAAGTTATCAAGTTCACATGATAATGCCATTGTACATCTCAGGCTTGGCGGAGAATGTCTGTGCGGTAATGGCGTGAGCCTGACCCTACTAGTGCGTCTTGTACAGCATGTGCTGCAATCTTGAACGTTTGCCTAAAACGGCAGCTCGGTTATACCTTCCACCCCTTGTGTTGATATTGACCCCTCGCTCCTTGCCTGACTCTTGTGGCCTTTTCCAAGGAGGCGAATCAAAGTGCACAGTGTAGTAATGTATAAATGTACACTGTATAGTGTACAACTGTACACTATAGTCTTGTACAGTATCTGAGGATTTTCCGTACCCGCAGGAAGCGACCTGAAGGCTTGAAGGCTCCTTGTCTCTAAAGAGGTCTAGCTTGTCCAGGGTCTGGACGCTACGGTGGTATTGAAATGGAAAAGGAATGTTCGAGTCAAGTGTAAAAACAATCCTTGAGCTGCCTCGGCCCACCTTGGATGGTTTGAGAGGCTCACAATGTCATGTGTTTGTAGACACTGCCGGTAGATTTACCTTGTGAAGTTTGTTGTTGAGTCCGCCTGCCGATGCAGGTTGTTGACGACAAAGCTCCTTTGATCACGTGGTGGACGGCAGAACGCTGCATTACATAATGATTCTCATACGGACTCTAGTCGGACGCTCGACCCTTTTCTATCTTTGTTATCTTCCTTAACGGAACGGGCCTTGCCGGACTTCCCTGAATGCGGACCGATTGCCGCAATCCATCACCGCCCAGCAATCGCTCTCTGTAACAGACCTGATCCTGGCGGTCTTGTTAAAAGGAGTGGTCTGTTGTCCAAGAGGAGAAGTAGAACCCAATTAAAAACGCTTGCGCGATGCTGGCTGAATTTGAAGAAAGGCTGACACCCATTCAGCCAAGTTTGAACGGTGCTGATTGTGGACACTGCTTCGTCAACGTATCAGATAGCAGAAATCCTGCCGAAGGTGAGATTTTGGCGTCTTTGATGGCGTCGCTCAGCTCCGTGATTACTCAACTACATTACCGACAAGGTTGATACACTCGGAGTCTTGGTGATCGGGTTTCGGAGACCGCCAAAATTTGTCAATCACTCTTCCAGAAAGAACATCATGACAAAGCTTGTGTACGGTAGAAGAAGACAATCGCATGACCAATCGTATACTTCGAGATTCTCACGGGATTCGGACTAGCCTCACCCAGTGAAGAGGGGCCGAGAACTGGCCATTTGGACCTTTGCATAGTCCTGTGCCAAACATTGCTCGAGTCAAGAAGTAAGCAGACGTCATTTGGCTCCTTCAGAGATGGAGTGCACGTTTTAGAGCCAAGCTTGGAATTGATGCCGCAATGGCAGTCCTTCCAACCTCTGCTTCCTTCGAAGGAAATTCGCTATACCGAATGACTCGACATGATTGCAAACTCAGTCGGACTGTCCATGTCATGGTCCTTTGCCATCCGGAGCAATGCAACAACCCCAATCAATGGAATACTTGCACATGCTTCTCGACAGAGTCCACGCTTCACATGGTCATACTACTCAACGTGGAGCAATCGACAGCGGCTAGAACTCCAATCATATAGCAACATCCTGATTGTCAGGCTTTTTTTCAGAGAAGTGTGCACTGTGCAGAAATCCTTGTGGGGAAATCTTACCGGAGTCGGAGACGGCACGGTTCAAGATCGACAACAGAAGGAACAGAAAGAACAGGAGCGACCGAAATAAGCATGAGGTGCCAAAGTACGTTGACTTTGCTACAAGAAGGCCCGACATGACTTCATAAAGTTCATGGACTAAACACATGAACGGTCTGAGCGTGATGGAAGACGGTTTGCGAACGCGGACGGCTTCGCTTTGGGCTTCTTCAAAGGATACCTGAAGCAGCCACGCGAAGTTTAATTTAAAACGGGTGGATGATTGGCTTAAACTTTCTGGATTGTGTATGAGGAATTCTCGCGTCCGATCAAACCTCATAGGATTCGTACTGGAGCTGAACGCATGGAGAATCAACGAGTGCTAGTCCATACATGACACACACAATTGTATAGTGGAAAGAGTAGAGTCACTATGATTGTGTTCATTCTTGAATAAGAGTGCATGTCAGCATGACCAAAAACTCCGAACTCTAAGACAGGAATAAGGTGGATCTCACTTCGTATTCCACGCGAGAAGAAAAACCCGCCTGGACTGGAGCTAACCGTTCGGCTGACCGGGATGCGATCTTAGCGTGGTGTATTGATATACCAGATGATTGAGTCCCACTGGCTCTTGAGCAGAAGGAAAGTCCACGAGCGGAAATATTACCCTTATCTACCACTCATCAGTCATCAGACTTCCTTATACTGCAATAATCTGCATGATTAGTAGTTTAGTACAGTACCTTAGTACATTACCATCGTGATACTGCGCTAGTGTCACTTGTGGACCGACAAAGCGATACAGCGAACTCAAAACATCTGCGAGAACGCCCGCATCTCTTCAGCCCATGATAACCTCCGACGCTTGTGACTGGAAGGAACTGGAACCCAGAATCAGCAGTCGCTTATGTTATAATATCGGACTCTCAAGTTGACTACATCTGGATGAAGCTGAATTGTTAGATGATTACCGGAGTTGTCAGAGCTGAAAATCAGAGCTGAATGTCGATTAAGAGGGTGCTCCAGCTGTGTCGTCATGGTCTTCTATGGACAAGTCCGCGGCGAGGGAAAAAATCCATCTTCAGCTTTGCCAATGGCCCCCAAACTTGACACTGAAAGATCGCAAGGGGCAGCTGTATTGGCTCTTCTGCACAGCCGCTGGGTACTGGCGACGCGTATGCAGCGCTGAGTCAGATCTAGTCTCTGGTAGGCTCTGGTCTCAGCCTTTCTTCAGGGAACAGCTGCAGGAGGTGCACTCAGGATCTAGCTGCAGGAGATTTCCTGCTCTGAAGTCTGTATCAGGGCATCGGGACTTTTTTGGATCCCTATTCCATACCTTTCTATTCTGTTTTGGGCTTCGCCATAACCCTGCTTTCCATTCATGTAGGAAGTGTGCCCTTCGGTCAGGTGTCCACCTGCTACCACCCAGAGCCATTGTTCATAGCTGTTATGTGAAATTCCTCTGACCCTTCGACACCTTTGAAATCTTTCAGGCCAAGCACGCGATATCCACCTCGTTATGACAGCTAAGGATTCTTCTGCAAAGCCCGTTGCAGCAGCAGAGAGCGTCGAGAAAGCCAAAGCCCCTGCTCAAGCGGGCGCTTCACAGCCAAATGTGGCGCCTAAAAAAGGCAAAGACAAGAAGATCTTCAGCTGCCACTCATGTCGGCGGCGGAAGCTCAAATGCGATCGGTTCGATCCATGTGGTGCCTGCCAGGCACGAGGAGAAGGACACATGTGTACATGGGAGGAGGGACAAAGACCGGAGTGAGTTGTTGAACTCGATCACTTGATATAGCCAACGACGCATGTGCATATCGCTGACCAAGAGTAGGAGGAACCACCGAGACAGCCTTGAGCAACTACCGAAACTCATTCTGAAGTTAACTGAGGAGGTCCAGGAGCTGAAGACATTAAACACAGCTTTGATCGAGAATATCAGGAGCAAAAGCAAGGATCCGACTGAGGGCTTAGATTTGACCCTGTTGGACTACAGACCCCCATCCCGCGGGGTTTCAAGCGGCAGTTCTGCAGGCTTTGTCGGTTGGGGTACGTTTGAACGTCTCAGTGATGCGTTGAGAGTGGTTGAACTGACCTAGAATGGTACAGATTTGCAAGGTCAGAACCCGGATCTCAATCAGTGGAAATCGTCATTGCTTGGATTGCTACCGGAAAGCTCGTTGCTTTGGGGCTTGATTTTGCATTACGTGAGCCTTCACTATTACCTCGAAATGATTGTTAGCATCGCGAGAGCCTCCGAGACTAACGCCTCGATTTAGATATCCGCAGCTGCGTCGCTGACCGGCTTCATCGACGTCCAGCAAATTCTCCGCGATATTGAAGAGGTTGAATGGGCACGACAAGGGCTGGATCTCGCCAGCTCCGCAACCTCGTTGAAGCACCTCGATATCAAGGTCTCCATGATTTTGGCAGCTGCCAGTCTCGCAACCATTGATCTGGACCCAGGGAAAGCTCAAGAGCTGGGACTCGCCAATACAGACATTGACGCGCTGGCTCGAGATTTATGGAAAGGCTCGCGGACCCTGATATCGCCCGCAGATCTGGACTCCTTCCATCCCTCTACCAAGCCAATCCTTACCGAGGAACCAGCTCTGCCACCGCAAGAGATGAAGGGAAAGTTAACTCGGCAAGGCGGAAATCACATTGCTACATCGACTGATGTCTCGTTGAAAGTCGTATCCATTAAGATCCTGCTCCTGCTAGCGGCGAGATCGTTTGCTGCGCCATCCGAGTACCTCAAGCTCCACCTGGACGTCATCTCCTCCGCTATCGATGCGTCTCTCGATGGACCGTCCGATGAGAGTACTCCTATTCTAGATCGCGAATGGCGTTGGCAACTCTGGTCCTTCATCTGCCTACTGGATTGGACTTCGCCCGGTATCTACCACAATAGCAGCTACTTTATCCGACCAGAAATGCACCACAGCCCACCTTCCAAAGCCCCTGGTCTTCCAGACGACGGGGCCTTCTCACCAGCTATTTCGCAAGAGCACCGCGATCGCCTCAACCAGACAAGACATTACCTGGAGTACGCACTAGCCTTGGCTCATCTCTCCCGTCGTGCAGAGGACTGCATCAGTCGTCCCGGACCCGTCTCCCCCGCAGAGGCTGCAGAGCTCTGTTCCAAATTGGACGCACTGGACAATAAACTCGCCTTCTACCAGTTACTAGGCAGCACGCTTCCCGACGGCAGCACCTTCAATCCCGCCAGTATAATTCCGGTCGATAACACCCCAACTTCTGGCTCTGTAACTGGCGGGAATTTAGCTACCGACAAGCACATCACCCAGTATAGGCTCTCTCTAGCACGCGCACCCTCAATTCAAAACATGCATCTCAGTCTCGAGCTCGGTCTCATCCGTTTCAAGCTCTTCCGTCATGAGGCGTTCCATCTCATGCACGCACCAAGTACCACCGTCACACTACGCATGATGTGCATGGACGCTTGCATGGACGCCTGTATCCTCGTTCTTGAGCAGTGCTTTAGCATCGGGAACCGAGACGTGCCGGGTAGTCAATCACACTCGCAGTCCCACTCACAAATCCCCTTCAACTCGAGCTCCGAGAAGCGCGCCTGCACAGGGAGTCTGCGCCGTGTGCTACAACCAGCCTCATCGGCAGCACTTGTAGGCCAAGTACTTCTGCATGCTGTCCTGAGTGCGGACGGAACAACCCTCGGAACAGGAATGGCCCTAAGCTCAGGGCCAGGCCAGGCAACAGACTTCCAGAATAACATGGGCACCGTCTCGAAAGGAAACTCCGCAACGGAGTTTTTCGCTTTTGCGCAGGGAGCTGGGGATTTCGACACAACCGCGAGCGCCGCCATGCCGCACCCGCAAAGCGCGTATACGGCGGCGACAGCGGCAGCGGGCGGAGCCTGGGGTGGTGGCTGGACCAGTGGGGAGAAGGTGAAGGTGTTACAGTGGCACATTAACAAGATATTGGAGTTGTTGGAGGCGTTGCAGGGAACTTCATCGTTGGCGCAGTATAAATTGAGCTTACATCAACAGTGCATGTAATTTTTGGCATTGAGCGTGAACGACTTACTTGGACCTGTCTCAGTATGAATGTTTTATTTATTTTCTTTGGTGCATAGGTAGTTCGTCATATCCTCAAATAGCGGAAGCGGACGTGAACAGTACGGAATCAGTCTGATCGCGTGTTCTCTGTTTCAATTTATCTATGATCTGGAAACATGTGAATCATAGGGGCCGAGCTATCTGGGGTCGGATTGTACTAGCTGGACACGAAACATGACACACGGAGTAAGAAAAATCCTGCCTGTACACATGGTTTCCCATCCCGAACTTCAAATAGGAGTCGGAAGCTGAAAGAACACATTATTGGAATAGGACAAAGATGCATCGAATTGTTTATTGAAAGGGGGAGCTTATCAGACAGAGCCACAGCTACATTCCAGATCCATAAGACGAAGAGATTAAAGGTCAAGTTTTCAGATTGTACTATTCAAACGAAAGTCTAGGTAATTTTCCAACACAGCAAACTGAGCAACAAAACACAAAAAGCAGGGGACACATCTAGTCGCAAATCATTCACTTTCTCGGACAAAAAGCCACAAAATCAAAAATAAAAAAAATAGACATCACAAAGAGCTGAAATGGGAAAAGGGAGGAAAGACACCTATACAAGACTTCCTTCTGAATAATTTCCAGCCACTTAAGCAGTGATCTCCACCGCGTGAGAAACCACCACGGAGCCGTCCTTGAGCTGCTGCTCGTGAACGGCTTCCTTGGGGGCCGCCCGAGAAGCAGGCTTAGCGTCAGAAGCCCGCACCAGCGCTTTGACCTCGTCGACAGCCAGAGGGGGGTTCCAGGTGATGGCCGCCTCCTCAGCCGTTCGCTGCTTACCACAGGAGTGGCACTTGAGCCAGTCGGGGCGGCAAACGAGCCAGGCTCCGCAGCCCTTGCACTGGCGGGAGAAGACGTCCTTCCAGTTCTTCTTCTCGTCGTAGTTGAGGTACAGATCGTAGTAGCGCAGGAGACCGTCCCAGCGGAAGTTGAAGCGGTTGGAGTCGACGGCTGCGCGCTTGATCTCGTTGGAAAAGTCGATCACCTCGCGGACGACCGATTCGGGGATAGTCTCCTCCAGTGGAATCGGAGCGATAAGCTCAATCGCTTTGCGGGCGACAGCATCGAACTCGGGAACCTGCGAGCCCCAGGCCCAGTTGATTGAGTGATCGACGTAGGTGTCGAAGGTCAGGTTGTAATCCTGACGAATGAGTTGCCAGCCCGGAATACCGATACCAGCGAAGAACTGCCACAGGAAGGAGACCTGGGGTCCAAGGCGAGGTTCACGGAAGCAGACGTAGTGGAACTTGTTCATCTGGTTCAGAGAAGGAATGAGTTTCTTCGCAAACTCGTCATAGGGAGCCAGTGTCTTGCGGATGGACATCTCAGCCTCCTTGGCATCTGCCACACGCTTGGCCTCGTCGAGCGCCTTGTGAGTCAGCTCAGCGGCGTAGGTCGAGGTAGACATGGCGGCAGTGATACCGGGGGAGTGCAATGGGTTGGTGAAGCCGCAGGCATCACCAACGGCCAACCAGCCGGGACCGGAAACAACGGGGGACTGGTAGGTGAGGGACTTGCGGATGTACCAGGTGGTTCCAGGTCCGTACAGGTTCTCGATGAGTCGGAAGTTGCCCATGAACTTCTTGATGAGATCGTACTTTTGGACGAAGTAGTTGAACTTGCGCTCAGCCTCGCGGGTTCCGTAGGCAGACATATCCTCGGGGTACTTGACATCGTTGCGGACGGCGAAACCGATGCTAGTAGTCCAGCGGAACTTAAGGTCGAACATCTTGGCAAGCTCCTCAGAGCTGGGGATCTGGTCACCGGGAACACCAGCCTCAGCGCAGTCGAGCAGGTAGGAGATCATGTCCATCAGGTTGGGGATGGAGCTGCCTTCCCAAGAGGGAAGACGGATGACCCAGGCCCAACCCTCGGGGAAGCACAGGTGGTTGGTGTGGTCACCCTCGTAGTAGCGGAAGGGGATGTTGCTCTCATCAGTGGGGCAGTCGAAGTATCCCCAGAAAGCGTCGTAGTTCCAGCCCTCGAACCGGTGGAGTGACGCCTTCTTGGAAGCCAGTTGGCGGAAGCGACCGGTGGCATCCACAAGCAGGGAGGAGTCGATGGTGGTAGCAGGCTTGCCGTCGAACTTGCCGGGGTTGATGGCAATCTTATTGCTCTTGACTCCACCCTGAATGGTGCTGCCGTTGAAGTCGACTTGGCGGCCGTGGAAGACGTTGACGCCGTTGCGCTGAGCCAACAGGGTGAAGAGCAGCTCGCTGATGGGACGCTCAACCTGGAATCCGCTCAGGAAGACACCGGGGGTACCGTTGCTGCAGAAGTCGGTATACTCCCCCTGGTTCTCACGGTCTAGGAAATAGAAGCAAAGGCCGTCCTTGAGACCAAAGAGACGCAACATGTACTCGGCAGTCAGGCCGTGCATCTTGCACCACAGTGAGAAGAGCGGCAGGGTACTCTCGCCGATCTTGTAGCCGGGCTTGGTGCTTTTCTCGATCAGGGAGATGTTGAGCTTGCCAGGCTTGTACTTGGCCGCATGAATAGCATAGATGAGACCATGGATACCTCCACCTGCGACAACAACATCAGAGTCCTGGGGGATCTCTGCACCGGCAGGGTTGTTGGAGTTGAGGATCTGCGCATCGTTGAAGTCGTTGGCGGCGGCACGCTCAGCAAAGGTGTGCTTGGGAGTGGGCTCAATTTGAGACATTTTGAAGTATGGAATTGGAGTCTTGAGGGAAATCCAAAAAGAAAAGTGTTATGTGACTTGAGATGTCGAGATGATTGAGACTGTTGCTCTTGTTGCTTTTGAAGCTGTTGCTGTGTGATGGAGACTGACAGGTGATTTCATGAAGCTTTTATATTCATTTGAACGTGAGATTGAATCTCTAGTAATTGATAGTAAGCCGTGATGTCCATGATGTCCACGGCTTGCATGTTGCCTCTTCCACTCTTGCTCATTGCCTCTCGTGATCCTTCCAGAGTAAGTCCAGCCTTTGGAGAGGGAAGCGTCCGCATATCCGCGGATCTTCGTACTGACCGCCCGTGGACACTTTCTATTGGCGCATCTGACCAGCATCTTTCGTACTCTTTGCTACTATGATTACTGGGGCCAGAAAACCATCCAAGATGACTTGACAAGCTCTGATTGTGAATGGCCCATCATTCGATTTGGCTGCATGATCGAATCTGAAGCTCGATGTCGGTAGATTCTAGATCCTGCAGTTTCACGCATGCCTCCCCAGAGCCGCGGACCAGCAACTATTGGTTACGCTTGAATCTGTCACAACACACCTTCCTTTACAGGAGTTTCATGCCTGTTGCATTTCTATTTGGAAATATACTCGGTGAATGGGAAATCGTCCGATACGGTATCCAGATGGCCTGCGAATCTCATCGCCGCTGGATCCCAGTGCTTTAAACGTTATGCACCTTCTCCTCAACAGGCCGCGGACCAACAACGATTGGCCAACTGAGGTTGATAAGAGTCCTTGTTTCTTTCAATTGATCACAATGAAGCAATAACTGCCTTAGGCACTTCGATTGCTCTTCCGTGCCTACGACTCAAGCTTTCCATGGAGCGCGAGGCCTCTTTACAATTCAACCGAGGCAACATACACAACCAGCGGCGAGCGATGTCCGGAATCACGCGTATGATGCAAAGCAGAAGTAAGTCATCATTGAGAACTAGGACGACATCAATCTCATATTTCGCCCACGCCTTTTCAATCTATACTCACGCCATGTTGGACACCTTTGCAATTGCCGAGGGCATGCCATTACTCTCCTCCTCGATAGCAATCAAATGATGTGCAAGATCCCACCAACCAGGTCTCCGGGCCCCGATTAACTTCATTCAGGTATCTGCAAATGTCCATGACAAAATACAGCCGGTATTATTCAAAGTACCCTGCAGGCATCCCTGTCAACGGCTGCCCGACATCAGTGCGCTCAGTTTCCACGTGCAATGCAAGGTGCTTGGCCCCATTCCCTGGGTACTCCCGTCTCGGGATGCAGTACGCAAGGAGATGCGCACGGTCGAGCCTCGTGTATGCGGAGAGGCTTGATGGCTGTAGGACTTTTGTATCTTATCGCGTTTCCGACGAGTGCCGACTGGAGCCATCGAGTTGCTGTCGACGAAGCAGCAGATCGGATGAAGAATTCCTTGTGTCCACACTTCTTCAGCGTCCAGCCAATGAGTTCTTCACGATCAGGAGGTCATCTGTCGGATGCAACAAAGGCGTGCAAAAGCCACAGTGACTGACTCCATGCCTTCCGATGGCGCTTCTGTTGCATCCTTGGCAAAGGCTTGTCCTTGACGTTCATGTGTCACAGTGGCATGGTGGAGAGGCAACACACGGTCAACCATTTGCTCTGTTAAGAAGAGAGGTAGTGCTCCGTGTGGCAACTGTGCCCACTGCCCACACATTCGGACTGTCTGGTGCAATTCTCTTGACTGAAACCAAAATCATGATCGACAGTCGTATCAACGAAGAGTAAGCGAAACACGCCACAGTCGAAGACCGACGCGCAGAAGCCCACATTTAGCCAACGGTATGAGATACTTCCGAAACAGCAGATGATAGAGACTCGATTTGTGCCGTCAATAGGTGAAAGATTGTAGTTTTATACATATCAGACATACTAGGTTGTATCTTCGTGGGTCAGTCGGCCTCTGACAACGTAGACTTAATTGAAGCACCTAATCTCTGTGACAGCTAGATATCGCATTGATTAGTGAAGGTGAAATCAGTTGACGCAGTCATGGTAGAGTTAACTGTAGAGCAATGCGATTCACAAGGTACAAGTTTAGATAGGAGTTTGCACTCTCGTCTTGCCTCATCGTCTCCAGCAGATGGTCTCTGGCACCTTCCTTCGGAGACAAGACTCTGTGTTGGAAACCACCACTTAGTGATCACCAGAGACCATCAGAGCTGAAACTCCAGGAACCTTTGCCACATCGGAGCACATGTGATCCCATTTTTTCCGAAAGGGCTAGGATGCGTAGCAGAAAAACATCACGATGTTTGTCTCAACACACGTTGACCTCAACAAGTCCAGTAGTTAATGTCCGCGGGGATTCCAAAGTCTCGGATATTTTGCCACCGCCCGCGGAGTTTCGGAGCTTCGGAATCACATCGCCCAGCCCGATTGCCCGAATGAATGCATCCCGGAGTCGTGAAGTGATCTCATTCCACGAAGAGACCAGCCAACAACGCTGAACGTCGGTATTGACAGCTAAGCATCTTCTAGCTAGCTTGTTTGAGCTCAAATGTAGATCTCCAGACATTACACCATCATTGGATGTGACCGAAGCCACGGCTGGGCTCCACAGTCCCACATCGGGGAGGACCGTCTTCGGCTTCCTAGGAGCTCGGATCGAAGCTATGTGTGAATTGATTCAGTCCAGAGAATCAGTATCAGTCGTGTGGAGTTTCGGAGCTTTACCAACTGTGAAATGTCCCACTGTGCACATCTTCGAGTGGGGGCTAGTCGTCGACTGTGTAGCCTAAGGATGCAGCTTCTGGCCCTGGACATATGGCCTCCAACAGGTATAAAGAGAGGGATTGGAATGGACCTCTGAGCCTTCATTCACGACAACAATAACAACAGTGCCAACATCCTCCAATAGACATAGATGAACTTTTCTTCTCTTCTACGAAATACACTTCGCACCAAATCTCATTCGACCTTTGCCCGTGTCCCAAAGCGCAGTTTTTCCTCTTCAATCCTTGCAATGGCTCCATTCACCCTCTACACCCACGCCGGTAAGATTTTCCTTCCAGTCAGATCAAGCCTCGAGAGTCTCTCTGATGAAGATCATTCGTAGGCCCCGGTCCCAACCCCGTCAAGGTAGCCATGGCCCTCGAGCACCTCGGCTTGGACTACGAGTGTGTTCCCCTCGGCTTCGGCGAGGGCAAGGGCACCGTCAAGGACTCTGAATACACCACCAAGGTCAACCCCAACGGTCGTGTGCCCGGCCTGATTGACCACAAGAACAACGAGTTCACCGTCTTTGAGAGTGCCGCCATCCTGCAATACGTGGCCGAGAAAGTAAGCGGCGTTTTCCACCCATCGATCTTGTCAAGATCCAGCTGACAACCATTCCCAGTACGACGCCAGTGGCAAACTCGGCGGCACTACCCCCGAAGAGCGTGCTACCATCAACAAGTGGCTCGCCTGGCAGGTTTCCGGTCTGGGTCCCTACCAGGGCCAACTAGTCTGGTTCCTCGCCTTCCACGAAGGTGCCCACGGCGAGAAGCCCAACGGCTCCGTGATTGCCCGCTACCAGGCCGAAGTGGAGCGTCTGCGATCTGTGCTGGAGAAACATCTTGCGTCCGCGGAGAACGGATTTGTTGCCCTGGGCCGTCTGACCATCGCTGACTTTGCCATTCTCCCATGGTTGAAGATCTCTGTGCTGGCGGGCCCTGCCCTGAAGCCATTCGAGGAGTACCCGGCTATCAACGCTTACATTCAGAAGCTTGATGCTCTGCCTGAGGTGCAGGCCGCTTACAAGAAGGCTGTTCCCCCTATGCCTTAGATTAGTTGAGCGCAGATAAATTAGACGATATGCACTTGTTCTTTCCATACAGCTTTGCCACAGTGTAGTCCCAGTAGTGAGTGAAGCAATATAGAGACAGGAGAGATGGGGGGATTCTACTCCTTCATGGTGGAGCAAACTCTTGCTCATACCTATTTCTGTGGTCCCAGATCTCCTGTCACACCGTGCAAAATCCTCACTTTTGCACGGTCCTACCACTTCATCTGCTCCACGTTGGGTAGGGATACAAGCTCTAATTTCGATCTCGTCGGAGAAAAGCAAAGTTCAAAAGGGATTCATGGTTATCCAGGCTACTGGAATGCCTGTTTGGCTTTCCTGAGGGAGATGTCGATGTTTTTAAACTGCCCAGCCCTAACTATCACGTACCATCACATTGTCTGGAATTTCAATCGCGGCCCCAATCTAATCTCGCTCAAAAAGCTCAAAATCGTAGGAAACAGCTATAGTCCATTTCAAGACTCTCAGCTAGGTGTCATTCTACAAATCTCTCATTGACAGGAATACCCGAGTACAACAATCATTGGCTCATCCTTCCTCCTTCCTAATTCGGAAGACGGGCTCAAATCACCACTGTACCTGATAGCCGTGCCCGGACGATCGAAGGATCAAGCACGAAATTCAAAGGAATCACCACAGTTAGATACAGACCAACCGCTTAGACCTGCACCCGGCCACAGCTGGAAACAAGCTGGACGCGCGGTCTAGAACTCGTGGTCAAAAGATGAATCCCCCCTTCACAGCAGACGGAAACCGCGGACGACAGTGGCAACCAGGTGCCCTATCCAGACCAAATGTAACGTAGTTCGATGTAATATCCGCAATTTGATAGGCTTGATGCAGTGTGCCGGACCTCTGTGAGCTCTCGTTGGGTCGTCTTTGCTTGGTTTACTCGTCAGTGCGTGTCTTCATGCGCGAAGCTGGGCCGTTTTCCACGTGTATGGTCTATTGGTACGGTGTCTTTGACACGGTCTCCTGGAAACAGAGCAAAAGATGCGCTGCGTGGTCCAGGGGCTTGGGAGTTGCTCTCCGCGGACAGCCGGTTACCTCGGGGGAGGAGAGAGAGGGACGGCTCCAAGCTGATGCTGAGTGGCCTTGGAGCTGCAGAGAAGATATCTAATATGTATAAGAATGACTCTGGATCACGGTGTGGAAAGTAAGAACTCCAAGGCCAGTCTCCAGTTCGCTACCAGTGCCAAAAACGCTGAAAAGAAACCACAAGAATACTTTTATTCTCCTCATCGCTACTCTATTCGATATACGAGCGATCGCTTCAAAATTCATTCCACTTTCGGTTTTCATTCATTGAATATAGACGATTTTTCTGCATCTTCCTTTCATCGATAGACCAAAATGTTGTCCAACGCCATCACCATCACTCCCAGTATCGAAGCGCGAGGTGTCGAGCCCTTGCAGGCGTTCGAGACCACGCGCCGTTTGAGCATCCAGACGACTCTTCACGCTCATGACGCGGTGTCGGGAGCAAGACAGAAAGCCGCCAATGAGGCTCTCATTGAGCGCATTTCCGAGATCATCGCCTCATATCGTATCAGCGGACCCCAGGACCGGTACGATGAAATCTACAAGCCCAAGATGCTCGAGACTCTGCGGTACTTTGTCTCCAAGCAGGAACCCATCAACATGGTAGTCCCCGCCTACCCGTTCAAGAGCCCTAACCACGACGAAAAGGTTCTGGGACCCGAGCCGGATGTCGGAGAGCGTATGTCCCTGGAGCATTTCAACTCCATGGGTGCGCGTATCCAGGAGATCTACCCACCTGGTGGCCATGTCACTATCGTCAGTGATGGGTGCTGCTACAATGACCTGTTGGGCGTCTCTGACGAAGAGGTCTTCCGATACGCGGAGGGTCTTCACCACATCGTTGACCGACTGGGACTCAAGCACATCAAGTTCTCGGACCCCTTTGATCTGATCGAGGGCTCGCACAGTGTTCCCTATACCGAGGAGGACTATGCCAGCCGCATCGGTGAGCTCAAGGATCGTCTATGGGACACGTATCTTCCCGCCGGCTATGACTTTGACGCGGACCTGAAGAGAGACCCCAATGCCACTCTGACGTATCAGGGCTATATCCGTTTCCTGATGACCGATCTTGCTCTCTTTTTCAAGGAGAAGAAGATGAGCAAGAACGCCGTCAAGAAACACTGCTCTATCGTCGCTCGTGGCATGATCAAGCGCGGCAAGGCATTCTCTGCCCTCGTCGCCAAAGCCTCGCCCTTGCACGTGCGTCTGTCGATTCATGCCAGTGACAACACCGACAAGCTCTCCGTCGCACTACTGCCGCACAAGCGATACAGCACTTTTCCTGTCACTCCCTGGCACAACACCCCTTACCTGGACACAACTGGCGTTTCGCTCAGTCTGAACCGCAACCCCGCCAAGGGCGAGGCCTCCTACCGTGTCTGCCAGGATGAGCTGGGCCTCAAGTTCCTCTGTGCCGATGCGCCCATGTACCGGGTCATCGAGGCCATCGATGGATCCGAGCTCGCTGAGAAAGTCCAGTTCGAGCCTCTTTACCCATTTGGACTCAAGATCAAGGTCCCCAAGGATACCTCTATTGGCCAGTTCCGCCTGGAACACGTCGCCGAGTTGGCCAAGGTGCACTCCCCCATCATCTTCGAGGGTCTGGACCCCATGCAATACACTGCCGAGATTGGTGATGATTTTCGCCGTGTCGCCGGTGGTGCACTCTCATTGAGCATTCTGCACGAGGGCGTCGTGACCGGCAACAAGAAGAAGAAGAAGCACGTGGGCGAGTCCACTGCCAAGTCATATTTCGTGCAGATCCCGGACACCACGGACGGTGGTAGTGGTGACCAGAGCAAGGGCGATGGTGATGACAATGCAGCCAAGACTGCTGCGGTTCATCCGTTCCTTCAGGCAGCTGCGGCGCTGGACGATGTGCGGTATCGTGTGCTGCACAACTGGCAGGTGGGCCATGCAGTTGTTTCGGACCATCGTGTTGCCCTGCCGGTGCACCTGAGCCCATCTAGTCTGCGAGTCTTGCGCGCGGAAGTTTAAGGTAGAAACTTCTAACTGTGCTTTTCTTGTTCCTCATGTTTTCCCTTTTTTTGTCTAGATTGTCTGTTTGTTCTCTCTATCGCATTACCTCTCCCTCTGTCTCTCTTTGGATATGTTGGCACTACAGTAACGTGGACCCGGTTCGTGATGTGTTTACTTTGACCCCTATTTGTTTGGTGCTAAGCAGGTCCGTCGTTTTCTCAAGCTTGATTTCAAGTCTTATCACAAGGTTGTTTGGTTTTTTTATTCATCCATTTCTGTTCTTGTTCCTAGATTGTCACTTTCCCATCTCATGAAGAATAGGCTTAGACCCGATCGCTCTAAAACAGACACAATATCTTAGTACTGCGTTTATTCCGTTCTGGCAATCAAATAAAATTCCTTCCAATCTTCTACCTTTGTCGCTTTTTCGTTAATTAAATTCCTTTTTTTTTTTTTTTTTTTTCTTTTGCACAGAAGAAAAAAAACACAGATAAGATCCTAGATCTCGAGAAAAGAAAAACCACCACATGAAACCCCCATCTTGGCTAGCCTTGGCTCAGCTTGGCTCCACCAACATCTATCTCCACGGACTTCGATCGAAACAATCCAGCACGTCCCTAACTAGAAGAAGGCACCCTCGATAGATCTGCAACAGCACCACGGACCTGCAGCAATTCACAAACCACCCCCGTCCAGTCCGGGCACCTCATTGGAAGTCCCGACTCCCGAGTTCGGAATTCCAACTTTCACTGAAACTCCGCGGCGTCAAAGCGATGCTTTGCCACTCCGCTAGACTTAGCTCGGAGGGAACGGGGGCGGCGGCGGCGGACCGGGGGTGATCTGCGGCGACTAGCTACTAGCCACTAGCCACAAGCCACAAGCCATTAGCCATTAGCTAAGGATGGTTAGCGTGGCTAGCGTGAATCTCAGACCATGGGGGTAGTATTCATGACCACCCAATATACAGCGGATAGAATGAGACGAGAAAACGATAATTACGACAACAGGGAGTGGAAAGTAAGGTATGCTTGATGCACGGAGTGATTTTGTGGACGGATCTAAGCGGGCTGAGTCTACGTCCGAGTCAGAGATGATGTCCAATCTGTAGAAGACTTGAAAGGAAAAAAGTTTACAGATCGTCCGCGTGTCAATAGGGCTAACGCGTTTGAATCATGGGGCATCGGTGACGGGGGTACTCGTGCAGGGCTCCATCATGTATGGATCTGTGGTTGTGGAACTGGTTTACGTCCGTGGAAGGGCCAGGTCCCGGAGCTGAATACGTGAGATATGTCTCCCAGTAGCCTCGGCGGTTGACAGTGGCGCCGAGGCCTGCGGAATGTGATTCTACTGACTATTGCATCTATATCCGGAGATTCTAGAGATGCTGGGTGTACAGAGTGAGAACTTGAAGTGAAGGCTACGCTATAGTCTATGGTAGTCAATGAACCTTGGTCATGTCCAAATCTACAAGCTATAATATGAAATCTGACGGTACTGACATTCTCTGCGTTCAAGGGGTTTCGAGTCAATCTGAAGACTTATAAACGCCTAGAACGCAAAGCTAGCCGTCTGCAGGTGGGTGCGTCTGTCTAGCTGCGTCTATCCGTGCACAGGCTTCTCCGAGGTCCATGGGGGAACACCTACCCATTTGACTCGGCTGGAATGGGAATGGATTGATCACAAGAATTGAATAGGTATCAAGATTGATTGGCAGGTGGTCAGGGTATTCAGACACTGAAAGTTCAGCAAGAGCCCGAGATTGGAAATTTGAGGTTTAGAATAAAGAAAAAAGAAAAAGAAAATGGTGATCATGTTCCAAAATGGGTTATACTTCAGTTTCATTCATGAGTAAGGTTGATCAATACACTGATCTTATCTCTGAAACAGCAGTCTAGTATGCAAGACCAGCCAGGATCGAATGAAAGGCCAGAAATCGTCACAAGTCCAATAAAATCATCAAAATTATATACTGCTAGACAAGGATCCTATGTACAGAAATAAATCTCATATAACGTTTAACCAATCAAAGAAAAAGGGGGAATCTCTTTTCATCCTCATCAAATCAATCGGAGCAAATCATCAAATCTCGTATCCAGATCTCACTCACGTCCCACACCTTCGAAACCCTAAACCTTCAACTTCTTGCTCCCAATCCCCATGCCGATCCCCACGTCCCACCCCATCCCCTGCTCCGCGGACATTTCACCCGGATACCCATCGAGAGTCAAACTCCGCTTTCCGGGACTCGTGGGTCCGCTGAAACCTGCAGCACCAGCCCCAGCACCTGCAGTACCATCACCCAGATGCAGCGCAAATGCATGCTGCTCGTTCAACCAGCTTGCCAGGCCTGGATCAGTCTCAGCTAGATCAAATAGGCCGGCGTCATATGTTGACGGATCAGAAAAGGCCCAGGAAAAGCCATCTGTAGAGTCGGTGGGGAATTGCTGGATCATGGCGTCGATTTCTGCATCGGTGAGAGGGGCTAGTGGGGAGGAGAATGAGGTGCCTGGACCTGAGGCTGTGCTGGAGATGGAGAATGGAGGGGTAGTGTCTCTTGTCGTGCTAGTAATGGTGCTGGTGCTGGTGCTGGTGCTGGTGCTAGTGAATGCAGAAGTACCGAGGGAATGGCCTCCAGGTACGATGGTTTGATCCGGCAGGGTTGTTTGGTCCTGGCTCGGACCTTGTGATTGCGATTGCGGTTGGGATTGCACTGGCAGTTGGACGGGGGGCTTGGAGGGAAAATACGACTGGTCCGAGTTGCCCGACGGCCCTGCATCGTGGATGCGGCTCGTCGAGTCCCCCGTCTGTCCATGCCCATGCTGGGGCTCTGGCTGATGCATGGGGGCACGGCTGCTGCCGGCGCCACGTGCACTGAACCATGCAATCCACGAGGAATCATCCATGTGTCGACCCGGGGGTGTGACACTGCCGGCATATTGCTGGCCCCTGGCTGAACGTTGTCGGCCGTCGCCGTGCTGCAGATGCTGCGCGTCCCCGGTCACCGATAGGAGGGTGAAATAGCTTGTTGCGCTGCTGCATGAGTGCGCACGTCCACTGTGGTTGTTTTTGAGATTGGTGCCGGTGCCAGTGGCTGCGGACTGCAAGGGTGTCGGAGAAGATGGGGATGGGATTGCTGGACCGGAGGACAGAATTGCAGGGGTCTTGCATTTGGTGTGAGCGAGTAGCTGCAACCATTGTATATCCGGATCTCTGCCCAAGGGCGTTGTCGATCCACTGCGGGGGGTGGTGCTCTGCATAGTCGGTGGTTATGTGTCGATTGATGTGATGTGACACAGACAGCTTAGGAAGGGGATTATAAATGGGAAGACCACGTGGAGATGATGCCAAGTCTGCCCGCTAGATGGATTGGTGTCTGCGTGGTAGATCAATTGTGATTGGAATGGGTTGGGTTGCACAAGAAGCTTGTTGGTTCACTTTCTTGTTGCAGCGGTGTAGATGAGAATGGGAGAAAAAGAGAAGTCCCACGAGATGTTCCCTGTCATGGATCATAAATATATACCGACCACCACCTGCACCTGCACCTGCGCCTAGCACCGTTGGAGGTCTCAGGCAGCTGAATGAGAGACCTGCTAGTACCTACCTTAATAGAAATTAAAAGACTAAACCTACCGCTGACCTGCATTGATACGAAACGTTCTTTTCGCCTTCAGGATCCAAGCCCTCATGCTGACGTGCATCTCACTTCTCACTTGATACGGTTGGAATTGATTTGATTGTCCTCGGCACTGCGTTTCCGTGCAGGATTGCGCTTTGAATGCGGCTACTGATAGGAAGAGCCCCCCCCCCCCCCCCCCCCCCCCCCTCTGACCCTTTACCCACCCCTCTTCGGGCCATTTTTTTCGAGGGATTACCACTTTGAGTAGCCAGTGACAGAAGATCAGATCATGCAGACAGACCAGCCCAGAACCGTCAAGCATGTGGTTCGCCCACTTGGCACTAGGAATGCGAGTCTTGTGGGTGAGACTGCAATGCCACTGGCCCGTCGGTGATTCCGCAGCTTGCATAAGATCGGCGCTACCACACAGCCCGGACACTCTCTTTGACAGGAGTAGATTCATCCCGTAGAGTTTTGGGGCTGACTTGACCCCACCGGACATAAGCGCGCCACAGCAAGTCTGTTGTATTAGGAGGGAGGGGGAGGAACGAGCCAAGCATGTGCTTCAAATTAGATAGGCGAGGGGAACTTTCACTGGTCAATTAGGTTTTTTTGTTTCCGATTGTGTCCAGGAGTAAGTTTAGGGTGTCTGTGGTTTTATCCGTGGACATACGGGGGTCAAGCAGCTACCGTAGGTGGTGCTTTTAAACCTAATTAATGTTGGTTGGTACTAAGATGGGATGGGTATCCACTATCGACTATCCACTTTTCAGAGTGGGGGGAAACGGTGGGGGGCAGAGTCGGTGAATTTGTGACCTGAGGAGACTAAGCTTTCGCGACCGATAATAAGTACGTACTGGACACTCGTACAGTAGCTCAATTACAAGGTCCACGACTCCATGGAAATCAGGAATCCGCTATAAGGCAGAGTCGTACAAGAATGGAGTATTTCTGTCAAAAGTCAACTACTATCGTGACCGAAGGTAATAAGCCTACTAGTGTACTCGGGTATCAGTACTGATGTAATCAGGACTCAGGAGTCAGCAGACAATGACAGGTGTATGACATACTTTGCCTCAGTTAGGTACCTGGAACAGACGGCGGGGCCAGAGGCGGGGTTGGCATGGCGGGCCAACCCGATGTACCACGACGGTCTCGATAACAGCGGATCCACAGCGATAACAACAACGCAAGCGACTTATAGTTACGGAACTAAGGTATTGCACAACAAATGGACAAACACAACTGCCACCTACTCGGTGGAGTCGGTACTAGGTTGAATAGTCGATGTCAATAATTTCCGGTGGTATCAGATCTGCCTACTCTCCAGAGTCTCCACAGCATATCGACATTGTCCAGAACTCACACTAGTCGGTCCGCTCAAACTCTCAGACCCTCTCTGCCCGTCTTCGCCGACTGCTACCATCGTACTACATTAGCGCGCCACATTGGGATCTGCGTTTCTTCACTCCAGACCACAACAAGCGCCACATTGGGCGTGGGTGCCTGATACACAGAGAGAAGAAAAATTAAAATCTCAACTATGAACTATACTACGACGGTGTAAGTTTTCGAATATTCGTATATGCAGCATGGATTTTCCTCAGGGTTGCCTAGTTGGGTCCACTCCTCAGTTGATTTTCTTAATTGAAAAGGAAAAAGTGGGGCCAACGGGATCGGCTGTATGCGCCCGGAGACAACAGTCAACAGTACCTCGACGAGTCGTGACTCGCCGTGGAGCTTCGGAGTTTTCATCAAAACTCCACGGAGTTTCAAGACACGGAGTTTTGGGAGCACGTGTTATATTTTTTCATTTTTTTTTTTATTTTTGATTGTTTTTCGTCTCTTCACCACACTCGACAGTCGACATCCCCTTGTGGCCTTTGGCACTGGTCACTTGTCGCACTCGAGGTGCATCGATCCGCGGAGGACGAGATGATTTTCCCACCCCCACTGTCGGACATCTTCAGGGCCGCTTCGGGCTTGGGTGCTTGGGGGTGGAAAGTGGGAGAGGGACTGGTCCCGATCGATTTTGGCGGGCCTTCCCTCCCGCAATGAATGCCATTGTAGCTTGTGGTGGAAAAGGTACAAATAGCCGGACATCCTTGGGCCAAGATCTGACGTTGGATATAAGCATAAGCATTCTCGTCTTGACTAGCTCAGCTCTTGGCTATCCGAACCATCTAGTCCTCTTTCTCGATTCTCAAGACCTTCTTCTTTAGAAAATCCACCATCCACCGTTTACACCTGCCCAGCATGCCCACCCAGCACCGCATCCTCTCCCTCGTCTACAATGAATTCGAAGCCCTGGACCTCTTCGGCCCGCTGGGCGCCATCGTCCCCCGAAGCGACTACTACACCCTCGAACTCGTCAACCTGCATAATCTCGACTCGCCCCGCGGCATCGAGACCTCCATGAAGAACGGCATCGGCGTGCTCCCGACCCTCTCATTGGCAGAAGCCCTCCGCGAGGACCAGCACTTCGACACCCTCTTCATCCCCGGTGGATTCGGCATGATGCCGCTCGTTTGGGACCCGATCCTGCTGCAGCGCATTGGCCAGCTGGTGGATCGCGCGCCGAATGTGTTTACCGTCTGTACGGGGTCCATCCTGCTGGCTGCGACGGGGCGATTGGACGGGCGCAAGGCGACGACGAATAAGCGCTTGTATGATGAGTTGACTCCGAAGCGTACGTCCCTTCCCACTCTACCTTTTTTTCAAAAAAAGAAGAATTTCTGCTCGTTTTGGAGAAACGTCGTGCTGACTCTCTCGTTTTGACATCTTATCAGACCCCGGCATCAACTGGCAAAAGCGCGCCCGCTGGGTCCAGGACGGCAAATTCCTGACGTCCTCGGGTGTCACCGCCGGCATCGACGCAGGCTTCGCCTTCATGGCCAACACGTACGTTGCGCCCGAAGACCGCTCACAGGACGTCCAGACGCCCTCGGCCAAGGGCGACGAGTGTCCTATCCCAGGATTCAAGAATGAGAAGGCGTTGAAGTTTGCCCATTTCACCGCCTTTGGACTGGAGTACCGATGGCACTCGGATCCGGAGGATGATCCGTTTGTGGACTTGCCTGGAACGAATGGAAGTGCATAGATTTATGATTTGATTTTGGGATCTTGGGGGGGGGGGGGGGGGGGGGGGGAGGTTAGAAAGGTGGAATGATATTTGGGGGTGGGGGGGGATTGGATGTTGCGAGGAGCCAGGGCTGGGGTTGACTTTTTGTATTTGTTTGGGTGTGAACGGGTGATGAATGGAATAAAACTGTTCGTTTAGAGTGAGTCCAAGTAGGAATGGATGTTAGGTGGGCACGTGGTCTGTATGAACCGGGAAATCAAAGAAAACAATATTTGATATTCGAGAAATTGAAAACACAAAAACGAAGACGGGAATATGCCCATATCGGATTGGCTGACATGAGAAGAATGCAAGGGGTTTTCAATCTTCAAAAATGAGATTAATCATTAAATCAAAAGGCGAGAAAAAAGAAGAAGCAACCCACGAGACGGGATTGGCTGATATGCAGACAATTGTCAGATTGAAGCCCATCGTCAGGAACTACTCATTTCGCCATCATTCTCATGGGTCCAATTCCCCTCATTCATCATAGTCAGCCGAATGGAATGAATGAACAAGTAGGCTACAGATTCGGCAACGATCCATCCCCTAGCGCGTGGCAAAACTTCGCTGCAACGTACGCATCCACACTCGAAGGCGTCGTCGCAGTGTCACTCTCCCCACCCAATCCAAAGGTGTCACTCCTCATAGACGACGGAGACGTGTAGGTCATCCGAGTGCCCGACGCAATAGTGCTATACGAATTGGGGAATGGGGGGTCCCCATCCCCAGAGGACCAGACAGGTCACCCAAGTTTGCAAATGGCAGTTCCTTGGGCGGTTGAGAGTCGAATGGTAAGGGGAGAAAGTCAAACGGCTCGTAAAAATTAGAGCTGAACCCATTAGAAAGGATGGGGAGCACGTCCAAGTCGTATGGGAATGCGCCGTCGGGACCGCCGATATGGGCGAAGGCGGGCGAGACATCAAACATGGGAAAGGGATCGAAGGGGGCGTGATTCTCTTGCATGAGGGGGTCCGCAGCCATCGAGTCAGATCTTCCGCTGGGACTCAAGCCCCGAAGGATCTCGGCGACTTTTGACCGTAACGAGGCGTGGGCGGTTAGTGGCGGCTCGCCCTGGAGGGTGCCGGCCGCACTGCCCGGCTTGTTGATCTCGGGGTGAGCGGATATGTCCTCCGATAGCCTCATCAGAGCCTCCAGAGCATCGACGCTCCGTTGGGCGGACCCTTGGACCTGCTCCGAGTGAAGATCGTGGAGGGAGGTCTGGTCTGCCATGCTTTTGGTTCGCAGTAATTCAATCGCTTCCCTGACTTTGTCGCGTGTCATCAATCGGCTGAGGTGGGCCGTGGCACTATCTGTAGCCTCTTGTTCCGAAGTGAAGATCAGGTCGAGGAGTAGCACGACAGCCGCGTTGAAGAGCTGCGTCTCGCTGGTCGACAACGAACCGCAGACGGCGCATCGGGCCTGGATCTGGGCCTGGGTGCCGATAATGTTCTGTGCTAGCAACTGACATGAAGCACGCCCGATGGGAGATAACAGTGTCGCCCGATGCAGTCGAAGTAAGAAGCTCCACAGCTGCTGGTGGAGCATCCATCGTTGCACGGGAATCGCCGCCGATGGACCGGTGGCGGTGAGTCCTATTGTGCTGCCGAGTCGAAAATACGACGGCAGACCGGCCACGTACTTTTCGTACTTGTTGTTGAGGTGTTTCCGCAACTTGGCAGATTCCGCGTTGCCACCGGGCTGCTGGGACTGTAGCCCCCAGAGATCGATCGATTCACGGACAATACTGCCGAGCTCGAGGGCGTGGACGGTGTACGACATCATAGTAAACTCGGATCGAGGTCGCTCTGCGATCTCGCCGTTGACACTGAGTCTCCATGTGGACAAACAGAGATCATCATCATTGATATGTAGTGGCATCCGAGTGTTGAACTGTGATGGACGGACGGTGTAGTACCCAAGGGCTTGACCCCGTGACCAATCTCTCATCACGAGGGCCCACCTGCACAGAATTGTTGTTAAAATCAACTAGAACACAGATCAAGGCAGTAAACCCTAGCTCAAAGTCCGGGTACCTACCATATTCGAATGCCCACTTCCGTGCGAAGATAAGATGGTTCTGCCGGCTCAGAGCTGCCATTGCCCATCAGCGGCGAGTGCGATGCAGAGGCGTCCAGTTTGATGTCGCCGAGCCGATGCAGGCCGAGCTTGCGGGCTCCAGAAATTGCAGTGACTAGAACCGCATCGAGTGCCAGAGACCCCTCTTGACCATCAAGCAAAAGCATGATCGCGGCCTGCAGGCCAGTGATCGAGCCACAGAACAGAGAAATTCCATCCTGGAGACAACGCAAGCTTAGAGATCTCCAGGCCTGGGAGCGCATGTCGGATGCTCGCAGCTCCTCCACGCGCATGGCCGAAGGCGTAGGAGTCCATCCGAGCATTGACGGAGTTGGGTGAAATGCGAGACCGAGTACGAGCTAGAATAGGATAAAGTTATGGGATGAGCGAAAAGAAACAACCCCCCCCCCCCGCCCCCTGCCCCCCGAACAACAACAACAAGAACAAGAAACAACGTCCTGAAAGTGCAGATATTCTCGAGTACGTACCGCTAAGAGGAAACAACCCAGTGATTCCATCGTCACTGTGCTCGATATCGCCAAGACCCGCGAGTCTGATGAGGCCAGATGCAAGCACTTGCTGAACTGCTCAACTTGTTTCATAAAGCTCGGCGTATGCACCACATTGCCCAAGGGACCCTGGCAGCGGGTCACAAAGATTTCAAAAAGAGCATGCATTGTCTCCAACTCTGGCATCGCATCGACAATCTCTTGGATCAGGGTGAGTTTCTCACCCTGTCGCTTAGGATCATTATTTTCCCAATGTCGATTAGGAAAATCCGGCGCAACCGACAACGAGGTTGGGCCGACCAGAGCGGGTAGAGAGGCACTCGCACGAGGCGGTCCGTCGACAAAATGCTCCAACAGTTGCATTGTCTCCTCGGCTTCTGCTTCGCCCTCGTCCTCCACCGATGGTGTCTCACTGATTCCACGTACATCAATGTCAGTACCAAGCCGTTTCATGGACGCTCGCCACAGCCCTGTCGAACAGCTTCAACTTACTTTTTGATCGCGGTCTTGTCTTTATTATCCGTCTTTGATCGTTTGGCTCGTGCTTGCCGCTCGTCCTTGGTACAAAGATGGCCGATGTTACGCTTGACGCATTCCATCTGTAAAAGCGCACATATGAGCCTTCCCGCCCCCTTCAATTCACTGATATGCGCAAGAACAACTGACACAAGGTTCTTTGCGGTCGCACTTCAGCTTGGACGCTCTACATCGAGAACACGACAGTGTAAACTTGCGTCTCCCCGAGTCGGCGCCTGCGCCCGCGCCCGCGCCCGTGCCCGTGCCCGTGCCCGTTGGCTCTTTGCTACCATTTGCATCCGTCATGATGAGGTGTGATCTGAGATGGTCGACGAGAGGGAATGAACACCGGACATGGTTTGACAAGTCGCAACCCGGGGCCGCGGCCGGACCACGATATGGTCCGAGATTGGGTCTCTCAGTGGTCGTTCTGGTTCTCGGACTCTCCGATTCCTCCCTTTGCCTTTTTGGGGTTAGTGAGCGCCGCCTGCCATGGGAGAGGCACGTCACAAAGGCCGACCGTCGTAGTCAATCAGTAGTGTAACTTACTGACCGTAAGTAGTCAACTTACAACCTTAACTTACCACTAGTACTACTGTACTAGCAAAGGTACCTTACTGATCTTAGTTCTGGCGAAGAGGAAACGCGGTGAGGCCCCGTGCGTTTCTCCCCTTCGGTTCCAGCCAAGAACTCACCCCACCAGAGAGAACCGAGAAGCAATAAAATAATCCACTTGGCACTCGCCCCGGCCCGCTTACACGACGATCAGTTTGAGAAAGTGGTGGGCCAGCAAAGATTGCGATCCGGAAAATCAATGGGAACATGATCAATTGCTCATCGTAGCCCCCACTTGCTTTCGCATCTGGACTCGTGGCTGTGGTTCGGCGGGTCTCCGTGAATCATTCCTTTCCACTGATCATCGTTATCAAGAGATTGCGACCACCCGCGTTGGGCAGTTGAGACTTAATGCCAAGAGTGTCCTAGGAGGAGGCACAGCATGGAATCTCTATGTTCAAGCAAATGTTCAGCCGTAGATTGGGTGGAAGCCTGGGCAGCACAGCTTTAACTCACGTCATGGCATAACCATGCTACTATGCTACCATGCTACCATGCTACTGTTCAAGGACGTGAGAGGCGGATGTGGGTTGAGTGGTGCTGTCAAAGCGAGAACTTCCACTCGGAAAAGGTAAGCCGGTAAGCACGCCGATCACGTATTAGGCAGCCTTCCAGCCGCGGATGATCTCAGGTCCCTTGGACTCGCATATGAAGAGTCACCCGACTGAGCACGTACACGAGGATCTTGTAAACAGCCTCGGCGAGGATCAAGGCCCGCACTCCGATCGCCGGGAGTTGAGTTTCAAGGGCTCTTCGAGAAATCACTTAGAAAAAACCCTCGGTCGGCCTACGGAGTGAAGAGTGGTCTGTCTTCAAGCCCTCTGATTTCTCAATGTGGATGTAGATGCGTAATCTCTTCGGTAGACCGCAGCATTGTATCGGGCCTCTTGCTCAGTTTATCCAGTGGAGTCTATGGAATGGCGTCAGGATGGAGGATAATGCCAGGGTACCGGTCGGCGCGGAGTCAGGACCCAGGACTCAGAAGTCTCTCGATCTCTATGGGCAGTGGGCACTAACTAGTGACTACCTTGGGTTTTATACAATGTCTTCGGATATGACTGAACTCAACTGCATCAGAGTAGCGAACATGGACCCCTACGGGAACAATGTTGTCCAACGAAATCCACTCTGCACATGGCATGTCCAACGAAACTCACTCTGTACAAGAAATGTCTACAGAGATGCATGAATCCCAATCGTTCCATCAACACCTACGGCGCCGATCCTCGACGGTCCCGTTTCCGCTGCCACGATATTGCTAATATTATCCATGATAAAGGATGGCCAGATCGCTTCAGTCTCACAATCCTCCTCTTTGGTCACCCCTGTCAGAACCAGAAGGGAGTCCATTTTCCCATCTTGGGCAAACAGGATATCCGTGTGAAGATTGTCTCCAACAAATATGGACCGACTCTCGTCGATGTTGTAAAGTGATTTAACAGTTTCCAGCATGGGCGCATGAGGTTTGCCGACCACAATTGGCTCACGCTTTGTCGAATCGATCAATGGCGTGGCAAGAGAGCCAGAACCTAGGAAGCGGCTGGTTAGTGGACTGCAAGAACACTAGAGAATGAGAGCAATGTCTTCTTACCGGGCCATAATTGTCCCATAGCGGGAACCACCTTGTCATCGTTCGTCAGGATAAAGTGGCAGCCACCTCCCGTCTTCCCAGCGAGGACAGGCCCTTGTGCGCCTTCGCGCGTCAAGTATCTGTATGCCTTGCAGAGCTTGGCGTAATTGAGGTGCATGTCGAACCCACAAAGGACGGCACCAACCGCAGGATCAATTGCATCCTCCTCGACAAGCGAAGAATAGTCGTTGGCAGGGAGGAACTTGTTGTCCTCGGGGTGGGTTCCTCCACATCGTTGGATACCAACCGTGTCGAGCTCTGCTTCGATGCCTTCCATTCCCATGACAAACACCTTGCGGTCAGCGGGGAACTTGAGCACGTTCTTGAGATAGACAGCTGCCGCATAGGCACTAGACAAAATTTCATCCTGGTCGGTGATTTTGCACTCGTCAGTCGATCGGGATGCTCCTCACGAGAACATGATACTGACCTCCGTGGCTGCAATCCCTAGCCTGTCAAACTTTTTTTTAAGCATCGGCCGGCTTCTGGCCGCATTGTTCGTGACAAAGATGACTCTTTTCCCATGGCCCCTTAGAAAGTCGACTGCCTTGCTAGCTCCGTCGATAACTTCGTCGCCGGACCATATCACACCATCGCAGTCGAAGAGCCAAGTATCATACCGGGACAGAAGATCCGCATAGTCCTGAGGGGTCGAAAGCTTTCGGGGAGAAGCCATTTTCACCCCTAGGAAAAGATTCAAGATCTGGAAAAGAATAGGATACTTCTCCCCTCTATACAAATAAAAGCGGTATCTTGGGGGCGCGATTCTCTTCGCCTCACGGACTCCGTGTGATGGCAGCGAATCTCGCCATTTTCATGCGAGTCCGCGGATCTGACAACGGCTGGAAACCAAATGGGCAAAAGCAATTCCAACACACAAAGATACAAGATAATCTTCAAGAGCCTACTTTGTGGGGTCAATTAATGTGGTGAAAGATGCACGTGTGGCTTGCCACCGCCCTCCACTCACAGCTCCGTCGGAATCCGCAAACTACGACTATGTCTCCTCAAGCTGACAGGCCCGGAGCGAACCACGAAACGACAACACGCTACGATGGGAACATCGATTGTCTTTGAGCGCCGTGGCGTACTCGTCTTACATGTCGAAGTGAAGGCTGTATTGCAAATATATAAAGACAGGACCTGACGTCCAGCGATAGAGTTTTGATCATCATCAAAGCAAAACATTCTCAAGGCGAACAACATCATATCAAAAAGATTGATCAAGATGCCTTACGCCGGCAACCTCCCTACCCCGACAGATGAGAAAGTTTCTCAGATTCTTTCCATCATCTCAGCATATCGTCACCGCTCGGCAAATGTCGCTGATCGCTTCTCTGAATTCGTTCCAACTCTCGAGAAGCAACTCTCTGAAACTGTCTCCAAAGGCGAGACTGTGCGATTCATTCTCCCAGCTTTCCCCTTCAAGGCCCCCGCCGAGGGCGGCAAGCGCAAGACCCTAGGCTCTCTGCCCGACAAAGCTGAGGAGATTGCCTTGCAGGTCCTCGACGGATTTGCCGACTCCATCGCAGAGATCTACGAAGGGGGTGCTGCTGTGGTACTCGTTTCAGATGCATCTGTGTACGGAGGTATGTTAAGCCTACAGTCCCTTTTTTTCGTTCCAATCCGGGAATATTGGCTGACGGCAACCCACAGATCTTCTCAACATCCCCGATGCCGACGCCTTCACATACCAGCAGGAATTGAAGAAGCTGGCCTCATCTCTCGGTCTCACTCACCTTGAATTTGTGCGTCCAGGTACTCTGGCTGGCGTTGCTCCCGAGGAAGCCAAGACGCTTGAGGAGTATTCCAAAGCTGTCTCTCAGACCCGTAATCTTCTTGACGGCACCCTGGCTCAGTCCGTCGATGCCAATGAAGATGAGAACGTGCAGGCAACAAGCAAGCACTACGACACGGCACTGCCCCAGTCCGAGGACCCCGAAGCCTTCAAGGCTGCTATGCTCAAGCGGGGCAAGGTAAGCCGAGCTGCCCCCTCTCATGTCGTTTCAATATGTCAGTCACAGGAAATGCTAATACGGTTCTCCTAGGCCTACGCCAAGCTGATTGCACAATCAGCCGAGTCGACAATCCGCTTGTCTATTCACGAGTCTAACAATGTCGGTAAGGTGACTCTTGACCTGTTCCCACCCGCGACCAACCCAGACTTCATCACTCCCTGGCACGGCGCTGTTGCGGTCCTGGCAGATGCCAGCGTCCGCATTGTCGACGCCTCTACGGTCGACATGTCCAAGTTCGACGTCATCAACAAGCAGGGTCGCCCTTGGCTACTTCGCGAAAAGTCCGATCTCTTCGACTGGTTTGGCATGGAGCTCGACTTTGAGCCTCTCTTCCCCTGTGGTATGCTGGTCCGTCCCACCGAGGGATACGGCCCCTACAAGTTCGAGGATGTCAACATGAAGCGCGTGCGGAAACTCGCGCTGTCCACGGCCCCGCTTCTTCTGCGTGGCTTCACCATGGAAGTTGAAAAGGAGGTCTTCCGAGGCAAGGCCCGCGAGCTGGGTGAGATTCAGATGTGGCCCTTCGGAGACATCCTCGAGGTCCGCGAGAACGCCGACTTCAACATGAACAACGTGCTCACCCGCGAGGCCATGCCTTTCCACTACGACGGTGTCTTCAAGACCGTTCAGGATGAAAAGACCGGCGAGTGGATCTCGGTCCCTCCCCTCTTCCAGATGTTCCGCAACCGCGCCGCCTCCCAGTCCAAGGGTGGCTTGACACTCTTCGCCTCGTCGCGCAACCTCATCCCTCTCCTGGGACCGGACAGCATTCCCCTCGAGGAGCTCCGCAAACTCAAGTGGAAGACCTTTACCGCCGTCAACGAGGCATTCGGTGGCCAGGAGCTCAACCTGCCTTTCATCATCACCCACCCGGAGTCGGGCGTGGACACCTTCCGCTTCCACGAGCCCTGGCCCGCGAGCAAGTGTATCGCTGGCAGCAGCGAGCCAACCATTGTGCAGGTTGTCGGCTGGTCCGAAGCCGAGAGTGACGCACTCGGTGAAAAGCTCACCCGACTCTTGTACGATCGCCGGGTTGCCTACCGTCACCAATGGCAGGCGGGCGATTTCATCTTCAATGACAACGCCATGACCCATCACACTCGTACTGCGTTCGAGGATGGCCACCGTGAGCACTGGCGTGTGCACGTCAGCTAAATGATTTTTCTTCAAATGTTCAGCGATGATGATCTGGGGGGTTTTTTTTTCCGTTGAGAGACATTCCTATTTTATGTCTCTGATTGACTTGAAAATTGTACCGCACTGATTATTTCATTTGTCTTCTTTTTTGATTTTCAAACATAGAACTCATGCTCTACTCAATCAACACTACAGTACTGCCTACCTACTTCTACCTAAAATTAGCTACTCCTCTCGAATAACAATTCACTCACATGTTTCCACGTGATCTATCCTCTCGTCCGAAATTCTTTCCAGTGCCAAATGCCCAAAACTCACCTGACTCGACAACAAAAAACACCAAAACGTCACAGACTCAACGAAGCCACTCATGTCATCTAATCACCAGATCGCATCAAGCTCTACCTGACACATCCCCACCATGACGCAGTGCAATTCCATCAGCGAACATTCACTGCCTGCACACGCATCGAGACAGAACGAGACTCTCGGGCAAGGAGCCAGCTGGCTGATGATCGCACACAGTCCCGTCCCACTACAAGACCGAACTGTACTATGAAGTCAGTGGTTGACTGTAGTGGTGTTGCTGGCGTGACTTGTCAGATTCATGACTACCAAGGTGCCAGACTAAGGTCTAGGATGCCAATGGTCTTGTATGCACTATGCACTGATGCAGCGTAAGCACTAACCGTAGGAGTACGAGTAAGCGCCAAGAGAGTTTTAGTCCCGGCTTGGAAGTTGGAACTAGGGATTGAGCGTCGGGTAAGGCTTGTTGTTGGTGATGTGGTTGCTTGGTGGTTAAACTGTTTCATGTTGTTTTGTGGCTCTCTTCGACTGGGTGACTGGCTACTACTACTACTATTACTACTACTACTACTACTACTACTACTACTACTACAAGTATAACTGGACGCTTGTGTACCGGAACTTGGCGGTAGCGAGTAGATAGTAGCGACGCATACGTTAAAATGGGTTTGTCCAAGTAGACGATACATGCTTCACAGTTCACACCAATTGAAGTTGAATCTTCCGATATCAGTACAGTAGTAGTATGTAGTATACTAGGTAAGTAGATAGTCCAACGCTTGTCCACCTCAAAAATGAGAATACCACCCGCTTCGAAATTCGACCTTCCTCTCTCTCTCTCAAAAGCAGAGCCACGCCCTCAAACCACCTTCATGCCCCACCACAATCCACGACATCAAAGAAAAACCAGCAATCACAAGCCAAAGACCACAAACTTCGTCTTTTCAAGTCCCCAGCACCAAAAAGCCCATGTACCCTATCTAGTAGTTACCTAGTACCTACTACCTAGTATACCCCCTGTTCGAATGACGTCGGCAGTGTTTCGTTCTAATCGCATCTAATCCGTACTGTGCCTGTCTTACGATCTTCAGCGGATGTGGCTCCGGCTCGACTACTTTTTCCGTCTTCTATTTTTGTGCTTAATGGTTGTTGGAAGGGAAACTTCAGGTTGATGATGGGAGATGTGTATATTTGGGGATCTGTGTGTCAGTGTGGGGGCGAATTGAGATTTGCGAGTCAGTGGCTTTCGGGAACAGATTGGTATGTCGGTTGTGGGCGTTGGTGGGATGGGGGGCCAAATGTGGGAGTTGGATTCGGATCAGGGTGAGTGGAAGTGGGTTCGTTCATTTGGTATGTTCAAGGTTGATTTAGGTTGATAAACGTCATTAATCACGACGGGGAGTATTGCTGCTTGACTTGTTTACTATGGCACATCAATGGTGATTATCGTCTAGATAGATTCATCATATGCGATCCAAATCATTCTATTATTTGTGCTGCGACTAGTGCAATAGGCTCGTTCTAGGGTAAGATCTCTTGAGCGCCGAGACTGGACATAGGGAATAAAGAAGAAAACAGGTCAACAATGACTCGATACCTGTAGATCAAGAAATGTATGCAAAGTGGTCATTCGTCATTAAATTCTTCAAGCCTCGGACTTTTCGAGTCCGCCCTCGCTGCCGCCCACAGCAGACTCATCGTTGGTCTTCTTAGAGAACCGAGTGTCCCGGACAAAGAGAACGACAATGAAAAAGGCCACCGCAGCGAAACAGATACCCAGCCAGAGCGCACCACGGTACCCGTGCACCACATCCTTGCCGCCGCTGTTAGTGTGCGCCTCAACGGTCGCCGCAATGCCCAGGCCGATGGAGATGGAGTACTGCACCACCGTGGAGATGAATGAACCTGCGACACCCTGCTCCTCGGGCAAGACCGCGTTGGAGATCAGAATACCCGACGAGGCGAAGGAGAGATCGGGCCCACCGACAACAAACAGACAAGCGGGGAAGATGAAGGCCCAGTAGACGGGGGAGTAGTTGGCGAAGCTCATGAGGAGGTTACCAATCAGGAAAGAGAACATGGAGACTCCGAAGATGTACTGCGCAGGCACCTTGGGGATGAAGATTCCGACTGAGGCGGTCGCAAAGAAACCACCAATGACCAGTGGTACCATCTGGGCGACAGCCGTGAGTGGCTGCGCGTGGTGAATCGTGAGAATGAAGATGGTGGTGTAATAGAGGAAGATACCGAATGACATCCAGCCAAAGGACATCGCTGTCACAATGGGGGTGAAGCCCTTGCGAGTCCATAGGGAGTTGGGCAAGACGGGGGCCTTGACGTGTGACTGCGAGAAGGCAAAGGCGACAATCAAGACGATGCCGACAATGAGGAGCGCGTAGACGTAGGGCTCTTGCCAGCCAACCACAGAAGCTTGGTTCCAGGCGAACGAGAAAAGAATGAGACCCGAGACACCGAGGAAGGATCCCAGATAGTCGAACTGCTTGAGGCTGAGTCCAGGTACGGGCGAGCCCACGCTATGGGGGACAATGAAGTAGGTGCCTACGCCCAAGACGAGGCAGCCAATGGCCCAGAACCAGAATCCCCATCGCCAGGTAACATTCTCGGCAAATGCAGCGCCGATGAGCCCACCGAAGATGTAGCCTGAAGGCGCACAGAAGCCGAGGAAAGCAAATGCGATGTTCTTCTTGACGGAGAATGGTGGGAAAGCCCGGGCGATCAGGGCAAAGGAGTTGGGGACGAGGGCACCGTTTCCAATCCCTGTCATGCCGCGAGCAATGTCAAAGAGAATGACATCCTTGGCAAACCCGCTGATCAGAGACCACAAAGCCATCCATAGCCAGCCGAAAAGGAAGACGTATTTGTGGCCAAAGTGGTCACCCAATCGTCCGGTCACCAGCACGAAGACACCACCACAGAGAGAGTATGCGGCCAGGAACCAGGACATCTGGCCATTGCTTGTGGCATTCAGCGACTGCCCAATTTCTTGCACCGAGAAGGCGGCATTTCCAAGACCACCCACAGAGAACAACTGTGACAGGCCCATCACGAGGATGAAGAGGCCCTCGTGGAAGGTCGACGAGAAGGCGGACGGAGGACCGTTGACGTCGGGTTCACCAGCACCACCAGGTCCAGAGATCATGTTGTCGGGTGTCTCGATCCCTTCTTTGCTCTGAGGTCTGCTGCTGTCCAGCATAGTGGAACCGTTGGTAGAGGACATGGTGTGGGTTTTTTGATTGTGTTGATCCTTTTTTTTGTTGTCGTGGGGGCGCAACAAGCCTGTCCAGACAAAGAACGAGTCTTTTCAATCAGGCTTCCCTGAGGTGAATCTGGGTAGAATGAGATGGATGAGGATGAGCAGAGGAGCCCCGAGCATTATTATATCGTTGAGCTGATTGCTCATTTTGGCATGGGAATTTCCTGGTTCAGGGACTCTTCAGGGATGGGAGGTGCTGTGGCAAAGATTCGGAGTGCCAAACGGCCAGCAACAAGCCGGCAGGCGTGTTGAAAGTCCGCGGACTTTCAGGCCAAAAGTCCGATCACAGCGCAGATGCCGATCACTTTGAGGCGTCGCGGATATCCGACACCTTGTTGCCAGGATCCGTCAGCCTCAGCTGATTTCATTGGCAGTGGATGCTAATGTGGGCTCTGATTGTCAGGGAGATGCTCGTCGGAGAGTCGCATCTCACTTGCGATCGGAGTCTTGTTCCATCTAGGCTGGCCTTTTGTATATACAGTCTGCCCGCCCGCTTTGTTGAGTCTTCAACGTGTCTCCTCCACGGAACCGGAACCTTGCTGTGGCAGCCCGACGAGGCTGCATAATTGTCGATCTTTCGCTTCAAGCCGACTCTGCGATAGCTAATGAATGCTTGTCTCTTCATTGCTCACATGTCAGAGCTACTGATGCAGGCTTTTTGTCTCGTCTGATCTATCAACGGGCAGCCGGTACAACTTCGGCCCCCATTCTCATACCACTGTGACTACAGCAGCGACCACGATGCCTCAGTGCGCCACCGGAATTGCGACAGAGACCATCTGCTTAGATGTGACTTTTAAATTGGTATGTACTTAGCATGAATGAACTAACTTGTGCCTAGTCTGTACATGTGAGGCAATCGCCGCTCAGCCATTTCCCCAGAGACCGACTCGGACTGGCGAACGGCTAGCCAGAATGTGATGTTCGTACCAAATATGGTGTCTAACGTATAACTGTCAACAGATAGCCTACTCATGCACATCGAATCATGTACTCGGTCATCTGGTGTCTCTGCGGCCAAAGATTCCACCCCCAATATGACAACCAAGTAAGACAAAATGATATGGAGCAATAGAGGTTGTTTCTCACCCCAGCAGCAGCCCAATGCATTGCACATGCGCAGCACGTATGGAACTCGGCTCTTGGAGAAATCTCTGCAATCACCGTGGAAAAAGAACGAAATGTCCGAGCGTGTCAGTCCTATACACTGTGGCTGGTGGGAACTAGCATCAGAGCGACCATCGTTCACCATCTTTTCGAGTCGATACAATGATAGATGCCCGCAAACCAAGATCAATATCTCAAGTCAATCTAGTACAGGCTTCCAACCCTAAAACATCGCTGTTTTCTTGTGCGACGCATTATTGATTTCTCAACTGCTGATATATTGGTTGCAGGTAGGCTTCGTGCTGTTCGCTATCATCGCACACCCCTACCACCAACCGCTTTCAATTCACTTCACGACTGATGCTAGGACGTATCAACCTTTCGAAGAATACATAAGCAGTCATCTTAGGAAAGATCGATAGCATGAGACAGTAGGATGCGACTCTCTCACTTGGGCATGTTATTTCTGTACGAACTTGTTTCGTTTCAGACAGAACCCATTGGCATTGTCTACTGTATACCTTAAAACCCTCAGATTCCTGTATTTTCGGGCTCGAGAGACTGTCAAAACAATCCCGTCGCCATTCATCTTCGTACCGGCAGGTGTCTCTAGTGAGCTTTACAATCTTCCCAGTACCACGAAGATCATCCCGATTTTCCCTAATCTACAATGGCAAAAGCGCGGGCAGGTCCGCTAGAGAAGACGATCATGTTTCCCTATTGAAATTCTGCGTGCGGAAACTTGACGTCTTCGTCGTCTGGTATCTTGTCTCCATACGGATATCTGACTCCTTTGGATAGAGGAAGCCGTTGTTAATGCAGACTAGTAAACCGGTTATGATACTCCTTGATAGTATCGAAAGGGCTAGGTTTCGCGGATTATTGCAATATACCTTGTAGTCTTGCGGGGACCTATAACCTATGGATCCTGTATGGAACGGTTACCTGGCTCTGCGTTACGGGTATCTCTATCTAGTCGGAATCCATATACTAGTAAACTGATGACTGAAATGCAGATCATTTCGGTGCAAGGACTTGATGATCTAACAAAGAGTATCGCGAAAAGAGTGTTTGTCTATATCGGTGAGCTCATTCCAGCGGTTCAACAACGTGCTTCCTTGAACAAGCTCCATGTCAATAGACATTTTTCTTTCTTCATTGACCAGCCACCCAAAGACCTCGAACACTGAAACCCTGCCGCGAAAGACCCGTTTGATCATCCAAGGACACTGTGCCCTTGCTGTTGCGGCATAAGGACCACACTTGACGAGCAGTCCCAAGTCTTGAAAGATGAGTCTGGGGCTGAGGATTCTCACATCCTTCGACAAAGCTCTCACTTGAGGGGGAATCGGGAGGCCTTTGTTTGTATCACGGAAGAATGATGAGGAGGAAAAATTCATTCCTCGTACCAGTCTTTCGGCACATGGTCTCGAACGCCCGAGATCAAACATGATGAATAGCACCAGTTCTCCATCCTGTGTAAGTAATTGGTAGATGTAGAAGGTGCGTGAGGCCGTCTCGTGGTCGGGGAGTAAATGATGGAGAGTGAAGCCAGAATGCGGTCGATGAGGGCGAGATCGGTGAATGTATATGATCTTGTGCATTCACATTGACGCTGCGCGCAAACGATAATGAGCACATGATACTGAAGAGGTAGCAGGTTCTGCAAGTCAATCAGCCTTGTCATGAGGATTGCAAAGCTCCCAGAAGGTGCTTTTACATACCGGCTACCGCCAAAAGAGCTAGTTCTAAGCATATCTCTGGGCTGTAGTCCTCAAGCACGATTCTCAATAGTCACCTTTAGGATTCATCAACCGGCTATAGTGTTGATTGGGCCCGGCCTCCTGCACCCTATGCTTGACCATTCGACGATATCTCCACACCCCGCAATTTTTTTTTTTCAGATGGCGAGCTTGCTCATTCTACCCAGCAGAGCCCACGGTACTTGCATTATGAAGGATGCATGTTTCAGCAGTCCCTCAATATCGCTAAGGATGTGCCTCACGCCCGGTTGTCTAATCAAGCCACTGCTTCGCCCAAAGATCAAGTAGGTGAACATGCCTGTTTACATGGCATGTGATTCTGCCACTCACCACAGTCCATAGCTTAGGTAGAATCTCTTCCCCACAGCAATCTCACTCCTCATCCCTCTCACACATCGATACTGCTGCCCCTACCGTAGCCGTATCTCATCAATGTCCAAGGTTGTACAGCTAGACCAATCAGCCATGAGTGGCCCTCCCCAGACTTGATGTGGATCAACGCTATCTGAGCTGAGGGCATCAAGGAACATGGGAACATGTTGCCGGGTTCTGGACTCACAATCCTCGATAGACGAGCCCGCAAAAGCCGGGTCCGATCACCTTGGCACGTCTAAGCTTGAGTCATGGTCTCGATCGACTACGGTCAAGACGCCTTTGACACCGTTATGTAGAACTTCGGGAACATCACCTTTGAGGATGTCCCGAAGCTACAGTAGACATCTCAACCACTTTTAGCAACCTGGGCCTATTTCTCGAGAGTAAGATCAGGAAACTCAAAAAGGTATCTTTGATGAAGCCGACTGCGGTGCTGAAGATCAGTATGTTTGGGCCGTAGCGTATGATGGGGCCCGTAGACAATTCAAGTTGGGTAATGTATATTCGTTGATCTTTTTGACGACCTCGAAAGTTGAACTACCCTATTTCATAACGTATGATAGCGGCCCGTATGTAAGTGGGCCGCCCGATGCGCTCCATAAACGGTGGGTTTTCTCCATGTTGATGAACATCCCAATAAACGGTCTGGAGTAATGGTTCAATGGGTTTGGTGGAACATATGAGATGGATTGCATAAACAATGCTCCGGACAAATGAAGAAGCCGCAATAATGATCTTGTAAGTCAATCATTTGACTCCGAAGGGGTCTTAAAAAGAGTGAGCTTTCAAAATTGTTTAGCAGGACCTATGAATTGCTAGCTCTCGTAGCATAAATGAGGTACCCGTATCATGCTTCTATGGACACCTTGGAAGGTAGATCCAATATTGTATCGGAATTGAAGCTTTTTCGGATGCAATCCGCAGAATGTGATTTTTTTCAACACTATTCATTGTAGATCAGGTTCATCTTCATTTTGGAAGTATTTATGGTAGAGATCAGATAGAAGCGGGAGGCTGGTTTAACTTGAAAAGTCCTGTTTGATGGATCCCTGTTCCATGCACCCTGCATAATCAATGCTCATAAATAAATGCTCCGTTGAATCAATTTCAAGGAATCCAAGCCAGTCCGTAAGAGGGCTACCTAGTTTCTGAGTCTCTCGAATTTATTTTTAGGTCCTGAAAGTCCGGGGTAATCAAGCGTAGGCTACCGGAGTATCGGGACAGCGGGAACGAGGGAACGAAACATGAATTGATAGAGACGGCGGGCCTGAAGAATCGCCAGCTATCTTCCTACAACGACACAATATAAACTCAAATCGACTAATAAGGTAAGACTCCCTTAATTCCTCATCCAAAAGGCTAAAGGCACTCCAAACTGTGCTCAAAAATGACTGCCTGATCGGAAAGTTCTGCGGAGCGTGTGGTCTGGCACAGTACGCTGCCGTGCTATTCCAAAGAAAAGAAAAGAAAAAGAAAAGAAAAAGCACTGTCAAAGGGTATTTACTGGTTTTTCGTTGACCTAAACATGCGATACTTCAAGTTGCATGGCAGACTGGAAAGAATGAGTCATGCCTGATGGTTTCGATTCAGCGCACTCAATAGTCATGATCGATGCTCTCGGCCGTCTTCCGAAAATAATGCAGAGCCTCGGAAATAAGAGCCTTGTCCGACCAAGCTCAATACTTCAATACTACCTGACCATCTCGAGATATAACTTCGCAACTGAAAGAATCCTAGAAGTGGACCCCGACGTAAGACACCGATGCATTGTCAATTCCCATATGGCTTGTCCTCCCATCAGCCATCCCACGCCATACGTGGATCTCACCTGGACCCTGCAGCCCAGGTTATGGTTCTCGGTAGCACACACGGCGCACTGTACCAGACTACCAGTACTTTTAAATAGAATACTTTGAGACACCATTCTTCACAAAAAGCCCGGCTAGTGAAATGATTATTAGTACGCAAATTTGCTCTTTCGCGGAGTAGTAGACGATTATGACATACCTACTCAGACTTACATCCAGCCATGAACCCTATTCCCTTCTATTAAAGTTTCAGATTCATCATCGAACCAGAACCCTGCGCGACCGTTTCATCATTCAGCTCAACAATAATCCCTGTTTCATCAGCTCTTCGAGAACTAGCCGAAAGAGCAACCCGCTTTTTGAAAGAAAAAAAAAAGCCCAAGGTTCAAATCCAAAATCAAAATATCACATTACCAATCACGCACTGATCAGCAATTGCACCCCTGATCCCCGCCTGCCACATGTCTTGTCTTTCTTCTTCTATACTCTGCAGATAAGAGAATCAGCACATCGTGATCTTCCTGTCCATATTAGGCCTAGGACGTGCCATCGCCACGGATCATGACTTGCATAAGCTGTACAAGTTCATTCTATTCGAAATTTCTCGACGGCAGATCGACTGGGAAGCTGCATGAGTGGGTCTGATATTACTCATTCGACGCGATCCTTCGATGAGCCGTCGCATCATCAGAAACATGTCAACATTCTCATGTCAAAAAATAGAAAAGGATGAATCGGAACCCGACCCTGACTCAGACGCGCATCCTTGTGCTGCGGAATAGCCCCCATCTACTGGGAAGTTTTGAAATTTCTCGCGGCACTTTCGGTATAGGGTCTAGGTCAGACAGTTCGGTTCTGGAAGAATACCTCATCGGAGCATTGGAGGGCTTAGCGAGGGTGGTGAAAGCGATTCGTGGTCGAGGAGATGGTCATGATGATGGGTAAGCTGAGAGAGAGAGATACACCCAGGGCTGCGGATCGGTTCGGGGGTAGTCGGCCATTCCAGGCTTGTTTCGTCTGGAAGACATCATCGGTCATTCAATCATACATCGTACTCGATCTCTTTAGAATTGTGGTCAAATCTTCCTATATAAGTACAGCGTCAACGGCGTGGACCCCAGACATCACAACTGCCTTCATACATTGCATGGGGAAAGTCACAGGTCAAAGTTCCTGCTCATCATTTGACATTTCACCATTTGGGCTCCAACTGGCACCGCTCACTCATACACCACACAATCTCCACCCAAAGACAGTCTCTATGGGTCGCGGCGGCTACAACGGGCCTGCCAGTGATGCAGAGGAAGCGGAAGAGCCAAAATCTTCCAGCTGACAATGTGTTCGACACCTTGCTCCAGCAGGAAGAAGACACTCTGTTGAGCGATAAGAGCTTGGAGAAATCCAGACGTTATTCAAACACCCAAATGAATGTTAAACGAAACGAAGACACCTGCCCAGCCTTGCAAGAGTTGCACAACCCCATCGCACCCGCACATTCGGAATCCAAGCTCTCGTATCCGGCACAACCATATGAGCCGCCTCGAAAAAACACCATTCGCAATCTCACTTGCCGACACAGAATCTGAGACGGTGTTAAGCCAGGCACTTATACATCGGAAGAACTCAAGACACGGTGATTGGGGGACTCACTTTTCAAAGACTACACCAAGCACATCCTCAACATCTCCGCTCTCTCCCTTGCCGGTGATTTTGGTCAGCATGTCAGCAGCAAAGCGCAAGTGTTCAGCGGCAGTCACAATGTCGACGTCAAGATCAGCAAAGGCCGAAGCATGGTTAGGCACGGGGATAGAATGTTCAGAGTCATTCGTTGTGGTTTGGGACAAAAAGTCGTGCAAGTGATCGAGACATTTTTGTAAATTAGAGCTTTGTCGATGTGTGACTCCCAACGAATCTTCCCAATAGGATTTGTCATATGATCCATGTTCATCTCCGTCCGCCCCCAGAGGTGATGCGATTTGTTCGAATGTGGAAATGAGTCCTCGTAGGAAAGTCTGAATATTTCCCGGATCTGGTTGAACGCGTTTTTGGCGATTGGAGACAGAGAGCGCTGCACGCTGCGCATCATTACATGAAATTGCAAAAACGCGATCTGCCGACACAGCAGGGAAAAGCTCATGGACTCTCTCTACCAACGTCGGTGGCAGCGAGGCACCCCAATCTTCGGCAGGTAATTTGTCGCATTTGTTCACAGCCACGACAAGGCATTTCCCAGCCTCTACGCAGTCATTGACAGCGTCCAGAACCTCGGGCTCAACACACAACCGAACGTCCGACCCATCGTGCTCTAGGGAAACCACCACAACCACCACATCAGATTCCAGAGCTCTCTCCCTTGCCCGTCGAATGCCCTCCTTCTCAACAGCACCGATCACGACCTTACCAGACACGCTGGCTTCGGCGCGAATCCCAGCCATGTCTCCAAGTTTGCAGTACCATCCGCCGATGTCGACGCCAACATCCACTATATCACGCGTGGTACCTTCCTCAGTGCTCACGATAGCCGCTTCTTTCCCGACCACTCGATTCAGCAAGGAACTTTTGCCTGCATTCGGTGCGCCCAGCAGTGCTACACGAATTCCATTTCGTAAAAGTTCACCCTTGCTAGCATTCTGCACATGGAATCCAATCTGCACCACCAAGCTCCGCACCTGACCCGCAACGGACGCGACAAGCTCCTCGGTCGACTCATCAAAGTGCTGATCTTCCGAGAAATCAATCAGCGCCTCCAGCTCCCCGCGCGCATATAGCAGCGTCTGACGCCACGCCTCATACCGCTTGAGGAGAGCATCGCTTGCGCCACGAACAGCCAGTCGTCGCTGCTGCTCCGTATCTGCGGAGAGAGTATCACCTAGAGCCTCGATTTGTGGAAGACCCAGACGGTCATTCATGAAAGCGCGACGCGTGAATTCGCCCGGCTCGGCGTAGCGAACGACAGCGTCGGTTTGGCTCGTAAACGCAATGGCATTCAGCACGGCCTTGATGATGGCTGGGCCACCGTGTACGTGTAGTTCGAGCACATCTTCGCCAGTGACAGTTTTAGGGCCGGGGAAGTAGAGGACTAATGCACCTGCGTCGAGAATCGTGTTTGATGAGGGTGGATATGAAGGATCATAAAGCGTGCGAAGAGTTGCGAATCGGGGCTTTGGCAGAGGTTTGCCGGGACAAAGAGCGCTGTAGATCTGGTGGAGCGCAAGAAAGAACGGTTAGCCCGTTGTTGTTGTCGTTGCGACTCGCTCAGAAATGCTCGAGTTAGAATGTGACAAGGTAGTATCGCACCGAAGAACACGCCGGCCCAGAGACTCGCACAACTGCAATCGCAGCTCTTCCAGGAGCCGTTGACAATGCATAAATCGTAGAATCACCATCCAGCATAAAGCGCCGGCGGGCGCTGGACGAGAAACCTCGGACCTTTTGCGGAGCTGCATGCGGAGCTCGGGCAGCGAAGCTTCCAGCCCATGATCGGTGCTGGTGCTGGCTTTCAGCGAAACTCGGGATCGAGGTGACTATCTTGCTGCATGATGGGCGGATGGGTAACGCCCAACGTAGAAGCCGAGGGCTATTAGCCCGCATACAGGTTTGAGTGTCTGTTTTGAAATAGAACTGCTGGACAGTTGGGTTGATGCCGCGTAGTCCGGCGAGGCGATGAGAGCTGGGTCTCTCACGTGATGACATACTACTTGGAGATCTTACTACTACTGTCCTGGGGCTTGACAACGCCCTCCATCATCGCACCGGAGAATCTGTGATCTTGCGTAAGTAGGTATTGAGATCGCCAATAGCCCCTTAATTACAGGTCAGGTCACGACCAGGGGATTGAAGTTCCAGTCAGACCGGGAGGCAAGCTATCACATACGAAAGAGACATTTTTTCAATGCCAGTGCAAGCCATACCTTTTTACCTGGGTCACTCGTTCTTTCGCGCAGGGTCAAAGACGTACAACTACAAGCCTAGCAGTGACTGAATCCCTGGATCTCAATGAATGACCACTTATCTTAGAACCTACAAGCAAATGTAGATATTGTAGTAGGGAATCCGGTTGCATGTACATAGAGCAGATAGTCTGTTGAGATGCATGTGCCTGATGGTGGCCTTACGGTCGGGAGAGGCTGTTTGGACATAAGGAGAGGGAGTCAATCAACTTGACAACCATGATGATGCGGCGGATAACCATGCGGATGCGAAGGATATGATACAACCATCGGATTAAACGGCTTCAAGAGAGTTCAGTATAGTCTTTATAGTCGGATTCTTTTATATTATAATAACATACTCTTTTTGATCTTCCTCTTTACCTTCGGATATCCTACGGATAGGTATTATACGGTCGGGCTAGGAGATCTCTAGATGTATATACTAGTGGTTATGGTTTAGTTCCTCTATAACTCGACCTATCTAGTAAGATTAGACTATTATAAGTATTCCCCTCTATATTAATAACAGAAATAGGGGCTTTATAAAAAGGTAGCTAAGATAGAGGACTATATTATTCCTATAGTATAATTATAAGAGGATCTAATTATTAGGGGGTCTGTATCGTAGGACAGAGAACCTATTAGCTAGGCAGAGAGTCTAAGTCTATAGTTCTGATTTTCAAAGACTGAATCTTAGGGTATAGTAGACTTTACTAGTTCCTATAATATATATATAGGGGTTCCGCGTACTGAGTCCCTATAGCCCTACACAGAGCCTTTAGGGTTATTACCCTAAGGTAACGCGGGGTCGATTCGATCGTAAATTATCCTAAGTTACTACGTATAACTTACGCCGTAATAACTATTCCCCCTTTCTATACTAGTTATCCCGACTAGGGATATTCTTATCTAGGGGATACTATAGTCCGGACTTTATTATAGTACTAAGAGAAGAAATTATAGGTATATCGTATATAGAATACTATATTCTTAAATTTAGGAGATATAGATATAAATAAAGGATTACTATATTACGTAGCTATAATCTTCTACTACTATTAGCGATACTATTTAAAAGAAATCGCGGTAGGGTACTTAATTCCTATTTACTAGATTAATATCGGTCGGGGAGCTAGGAATCTATCCGCGATAGGATATTTTATTAACGATTTATCCCTAAAGATTTATAGAATCGATTTTCTCTATGGATAAAGAGATTTTTAATTTTAATCTACTTCCCTTATTTAAGCTTAGTTCTAAAATACCCCGTCGTTATCGGAATTATTATTACTATAAGGCTACTAGCGGAATAAGCTATATATCTCCTACGCTAAACTTTATAATTATAAGCCCCGATTTTCTTTAGTATCTAAAATATTTCGGTAGGGCTAAGATAGAGTATAACTATCTAGTTACGATAGTCCCTTTTACTATAGAGTATAAGTTTAATTACTTAGGATTAGTACTCTATAATAGCTATAAGAGTAACTATAATATATATAAGACTATAAGTTTTCTACTCTTTTCCGAAATACTTCCGAATTACTAATAGATTATAAGACTCTTATATTAATAATCTAGGATATATAGATATTCTATTTTCTTTTAAAGATTTACTAGATAATCTTTAATAGTATCTAGGAGATTACTATAGTATCTAGGCTATTATATATTCCGGTTTAGCCGGTTAGTATTTATTCCGATCTATTCTAGATAAATAAGGATCTTACTATAACTTTCTTAGGGGTTATATAGGTTTATAAGAAGGAGTATATTTTCGAAGATCTAAAGTATATATAAAAGATATAGATCGCCTATAATTCCTTAATAATTTATTCTAATAAATTCTTTTTATAGAGATACTATTATTTCTATTTAGAAAAGATAGTATTATATTACTAGAACCTAATTATAGCTTTTAGTCCTCTCTTAATATATATAGACTAGTATCTTAGTCTTAAAGAAGGAGATACTAGATTTATATTATAGTAGACTAGGCTAGTTAACTTTACTAAGTACTTAGAGACTATAATAACTATAAATAGTATACTTAGGATAGAAATAACTATAATAAAGAATATAGTATTAGAGTTTATAGAGTATTTCTAAGATAAATTATAGTAGATTTAGTCTAGTTTCGTTATATATATTTCTATATATTTTTAAACTTCGTGATAGATTATTTTATATTTTATATATTCTCTTTAGATATCTATTTATTATATTTAGACGACTAATCTTTCTATTTAACTAGGAAATAAAGTTATCTATTAATCTTTATCTTTTCTTTAACTTCTTCGACTTTATATTCTTAGTTATCTTCGATAAGATTAGGAAGTAGGAGTATTTTAGGAGTACTTCGCGATAGATTATTATACTATTTTTCTAGGAAAGAGATATAGAAAATATTATAGAGATATATATACTTTTAGGATAGTACTAGTCTATATACCTAAGTTCTAATTACTTATAAGATTTAGAATAGGCTAATTCTTCTAGGAGTAAGCTTCCTAGATTCTTTAATTCGTAAGTTTTATATAGAAAGTATTATAAGATTATTATATTTAAATATTATAGGGATTCTTTTTATATTATAGTATTTTATTATCGATTTATTAGTCTTTTACTAGTAAGTTATTAACTTCTTATATAAACTCTATAGTTTCTCGATCCTAGCTTATACTCCTAGTAGCCCTTCTTTTTCTATAGTAGCCTTATTATATATATAGAAGAATATATTATATCTAAATAGTACTTTATAGGAACTAAATTTTATTATATTATTTTAGTATAGATTATAATAGAATTCTACTATTTATAATAAATTTAGCTATATAGTTTATTCTTCCTCTATAAAGTATCTTAGGTAATATTTAAGGGTTTAGTTTATCTATTCTATTTAGCTATCGGTTTATAGATAAAATATAATTAAAAACCTAAGCTTTATTTTTAAGATATTAAATAGCGAAAGCTAGAATTTACTAATAAATACTAGATCCTAGTTAGATACGATTCCTTCTTATAGTCTATAGACTAATTCGATCTTATTATAATATAGCTTAGCTAGTTATATAGTATTAATTTTTATATATACTAGGAAAAATTTTATAAATTTAGTAAATCTATCTATAATAACTAGGATTAAGTCGACTTTATTTCTCTTATAAATTATAGATAGAAGGCCTATAATAAAGTCTATCGAGGTTTCTTACTATAATTAGGTTAGAATTAGAAGAGGCTTTAATAAGCTATACTTCTTATATCTTAGTAGTATAGCTCTTTAGTATATAGGATAGAATTTTACGTATTTATCTATTTATTTATAGAGATTTTTCTAGTAGAATTTTTAACTAATCGATTTAATTATTCGTAACTAGCTAAAATAGCCCCCTATTACTAGATTATTATAATATAGCTTTATTAGCTCTTACTTTAGTTTCTTATTAGTTAGAATATATAGTTATCCTTTAAATTATACTAATTTATTAGGATCGACTAACTAGTATCCTAATATTAGGATATTCTAGTTAATTAATAAACGAATCTCTCCTATATTAGGATTATCTTACTAGGTCTTAAGGATTATACTTTATAGGTTACTAGTTATATTCGAGATATAGATATATTATCTAAGATAATAAGCTACTATTTTTTATAGTAGGAGTAATAGGCGTAATCTAGCTCTTATCTTTAGATATCTAAGATACTATCTAGCTCTTAAATCCCCGAATCCGGTAATAATTCCTTTTTAAATTAATATAGATCGGTTAGTACTAACTATACTACTATCTAGCTCTGTTCTAGTATCTCTTTAGTTACTATTTAGGCCTATAATAGATTTAATAGAGTAGTATTTAAGATATTTCTTAAAGCTAGCTCTATTATTCTTAAGGATATATCCACTAGGTTTTTCTTTCCTATATAGTATAAAATTATAAAATTAAATATAGAGAGGGTTATATACTATTATACTTAATATCCTTATAGTTATAGGTTTTATATAAAGGATCTTAAGTTATTATAGTCCGAAAAGACTTCGATTCGGTACTAAGATCCTTTAAGATAATACCGCTAAATCTTTAAACTATATATAATTATATATAGCTCTTAATCTCTAGTAGTATAGTAGGATTCGGTATTAAAGAACTTATAAGACTAAAATATAACTAGATACTAGATTCCTTTATTATTAGGTTAGGATAGTATCCTAGCTATTCCCTATTATAAGATATCTATTTCTAATTAGATAGTATAATTAGGATTAAAATATTATAGAATCGGTACTAACTCGAAAGCGTAGAGTAAATTATAAAGAGCCTAGATTATATAGATACTAAGTTTAATCCTATCTAGTTATTTTCCTTTTTCGAGGTCTTTCGTAAGATCTATAAGAGGTTTTACGATAGTCGAGTAGTTATAGATAAAGTAGTAGTAGAAGTTATAAAATCTAAGAAAGGATTAGATCTCTTTAATTATAGATAGTAATAGCTACTCTCGGATTAACTTAATCTATAAAGGATCTATCGATATTCTAGTAGTAGTAATAATATAGCTAAGGAATTCTATCTAGTCTTAGTAGAAGAAGTATTTATTAGGATTAATATAGAGTTTATATTACTAGAGTCTTTTAAGAACGAGTTAGATATATTTTATATATAATTTAATATCCTCTAAGAAGATTAGAATACTATCTAGATAGGCTATATAGAAAAGATCTAGGTATTCTTATAGTATAATATAGATATAGTTCTAGAATATAGCTAGGATATTAGTAAGACTAAAAGATATAACTATATATTTATAGTAGCTATAT